TTTGGGCAGTGCCTTTCCCACTTTTGGGGAATTTTCTTGTTATTTGGGTCCCCCTCCCCTTGCCCACCCTCCTCCCACCGACACCACCCACCCCATCCAGCTCTTATTGTAATCTAAAGTATCCGGAGGAATCATAAGCATCTGAGATATGAGAAATTGGCCCTTTTCGGTCACCTGGAATATTGCCCCGATCGTAGCCTACCCTGCCCTGCCTTTTCTTTCCTCTTCCTCCTTCCATACCGGACCGTGCCCATCGTGTACATAACCCCAGCCGGTGCCCGCCCGCCACCCGTCGCCAGCACATTCTGTGTTAGTTCTTTTCCTCTCTTTTCGCCTTTTTGCCCGCCCACGCTCCTTGCCTAGCTGAGCTCTTGCCCGAGGCGTCATTTTCTTCAGCATCCGAGGTACCACGGCCTTTTTTACACCCTCCAAGGAATCCGTCCGTCCTTTTGTGATCTGGGACCGGGAGAACTTGAAGCCCCTCGGCAACCTTGGCCTGGATGACCCGTCCGACATATTTCCAAGAGATTCACAAAACTACTCACACACCTGTACACCGATCTCAAACGACTCGGCGTGTTCGATATAGCAGCCCCGACCTGTTTGGTATATGCTGAGAGAGAGAACGTTATACCCCATCCGCCAATCCCCCACCTTATAGGTTCTATTGCGTATCACCCAATGCTGCGCATCTCACTGGTTCCACGAACAACGCCTTGGATCTGGCGAAAGTATCGGCACGGGGAAAGTAACACCTGAGGAGAAGGAGCATTGACCTCTCGCTACGAATAAGTGTGGCGTCTCCTCTAAACACGACGCAACGCAGGCTGCGATACTGTACGAGTTGCGGGCGGTCGGCCTCCGATCAGCGCAGAAGCACGTAACTATCATTTAGAGCGGGGTTGCCCGTTGAAGCAGCTGCTGAGTCGACAGCAAGCGACGAAGAGGGTGTTCGAGCGGCTCGAGAATTCCGGTGGTAACGCGCATCCTATTCACTTTCAGCCTCGACTGACTTCGAAACAACGACTACCATCTTACGAATCAGGAGGCGGGCAAGCAATCGAATGACAACAGATCGAATGAGGATTCTCCAACTACTTCCCTAGTTCGACGTCACACACGCATGTGCGTCCTTGGTCGAGGCGCAAAAAAGCTAGAAACTTGCCAGTGGGAACTCTCCTAGGGCGTTTCATCAACCAAGATAATAGCCAACTGCCCCTTTAGGAACAGGGCGAACCAAGACATAAGATTATTGTGGCTGCGCGCGCGTGGGCGAGTGTGCGAGCAGGTGATTGGGCTCTTACTCGACGAAACGACCTTCCTAGGGCGTGAAGCGCATTCGGAAAATCGATCCCCTTTTGAGTGAAATCGTCGGTGTTCTAGAAAGGAAAAGGAAAAGACTGGAACGGAAAAAAGATTGAAGGGTCTTGCAAATCACGGGAGACGGTAAAACAACGATCGTCGGTGGAATCGTGCCAAACTGTTTGGGAGCACGGTGCGCCCTGTTGCGTTGCTCGGCTTCAGAAGTGGTCGGCAGCGCCGAGAGGAAGCCAGACCGACCCGGGAGAGCCGCAAAAGGGTCTTTTGAAGATCAGCAGCAACAGCGATCAGTCGCGTCAGATACCCATCAGATTTCCCATTCGCGAAAGGATAATAGACACACCGGAGAAAGAAGAAAGAGGAGAGAACCGAGCGCAAACTCGATTTAGCAGCGCTCATTTTACGACCCCGAGACTATTGTTCCCGACCACGCGCCTTGCGAAGAGCCGGCGAGGGGCAAAACGAGACTAAGAGGAGAACACTGCCCTGAGCTAAATAATCTGGCTCTTTGGGCTTGACGTCAGCACGGGTTGGGTTGCTGATAACTCTAATTTTCGCTCTTCACTAGTCCACAGCCACTTGACAAAAATTTCGACGTGTTCAGCTCCCTTATCCTGGCAATTTGCGCAAGAGAGGGGCTTGGATTAAAGCCCTTTGCGAGGAGTTGCTGAAGCTATCAGTGCTTTCCAATCCGCCCCTTCGAGTGTGGGTGGGGGAGAGAGGAGAGTCGCTTGCAGGGGAAGGAGAGACTTTTGCCTCGCGCAAGAGCAAAAGGAAGGAGAGCATCGTCGATTGCCTTCCTTTTTCGTCCGCGAAGCGAACAACCCACTTCCTTCCTGCTTCGAGATTAGCCGGCGGAACAAACTAGAAGCAGCCTGCTTGACCCGGTCAGTGCGGCCAGCCACGACCACTGATTCCCCTCCTGAGTTTGGGATTCGCGGGATTCCAGGGACCAGGGACACACGTAGTCGGACGACCCACGGACAACCCGCCATTTCCCCCTCAACGTTGCACCCGGGTGAGGAGAGAAAGTTGAGAGACAGCACAGGACAAATTCAGGATTAATCCCAGGGCACAGGGGCTCAAGCGCCAAGTTCAGTGGGAGGTCGAAGAGTCGGATATTCAGTGGAAAACACACACGCCTCGTTCGCTTCGGTGATCAAGTCAAAGGGGGCGAATTCATCGATTCAATTTCTTTTTGTTTTGCGCCTCGCGTCGTTACGCGCCGTGGCGAAGGACCGGATCAGACACATAGAAGAATTGGGGGAGAGTCGAAGAGCGTCGACGTGTCGAGCAACTACACTAGCTGGGAAGCAGTTTAGGGTCTGACCAGGCGCGGATTTTCTCCACTCAGGCAACATAATTCGGGGAAGGGGCTTCGGGCTCCTTTCCCTTGCTCATTTTAGCGAGAGCCATGTCCGCACAGCTTTACGCGTGGTATTACCCCACCGTCAGCACACCGACACCTAAACCCAGGGGGTACGCTCTGGGCGGCCACACTCGCTCTCGAAGCGCAGCGTCAGTGTCAATAAGCACCCCGCCCCTCGCCGCAACCACAACCGCGACAACCACAACCACTACCACAACCTCGTCCCTTGCCTCTCGCAAGTCGACATCCTCGGCCTCGACCGCTTCATCGTCCGCTTCAGGATCGTCATTGACCGCTCCCCAAAGTCCTAGACCGCAGGAGCGCGAGTCTGAAAAGGCGAGAGCCGGAACCCGCTCCTCCAACCGGGGTTCAGGATCCTCCGTCACATTCCAGTACCCGGCGCTGCAGGTACAGCAAGGAGGTGCTGCAGGAGACGCACACTCGCAGGCTGCCTCGGCCACACCGGTGCACAAAAACGCCAGTCATTGCTGCACCGATCCAACTCGACAACCGAGAAGCAAGCCGAGAAGGAGAAACAAAAGCTGCAGAAGAAGCAGCACCGCCGAAGCAACCCCTTCCACCGCGGCCACGCTCGCTCCAACAGCACCGACTCGGTCATTCTCCCAATTCCCATTCCTATTCCCATCCCTCCTCATCCAAACAGCGATTACCACTTCAACATTAACACGCCCGGCGCTTCTTTGCTGTCGAATTCGTCGCCGTCGCGGAGTGCAGGCCTTTGGTCGCACGACACAAGCTCGGCTCGTTTCTCCTCTCGCCTGCTCTTGCATAGGGCCGACCCCACCTCCGCCACTGGACGCGGCCATCCAGCAACGGCCCTGGGAAATCCGCAATCGCAGCAGCACCATTCTGGGAACCAGGTGCTCCACCACTATTATTCCCAGTTCCAAATACAATATCACCCCTCCCATCCCTTGCACCAATTTCCGCCACACAGATGTACATGTACGACAACGCCCACAATTCCGGCCGCGACTTCTTCCAGCACTCCTCGCACTTTTTCCCCAGCCCTTCAAACCTTGAATAATATTCCCACTTCACCACCAACACCCCGATCCGTCGCATTTGCGCCCTCGTCGGCCCAGCAAGCAAACAATTCTTCCCGCAGCAGCACGCCGACCCCTCGCAGCCCGGTTGTGCGTTCGGACAATAATTTGACACCAACTCCCTCGTCTCCCGCCACCACAGAACAGCCGGGAGAACGAGCGCCAGTATTATCCCACTTGGCCAGTAGCGATATCCCTGCTCCTGTCCCCTCCAGGCCCACTCCGCCCCATTCTCCTACCACCACCCCTACAAGCCTCAGTAATATTGCAAGAACGCCAGTCGCCCCTCCTAGGGCCAATCCTCGACCTCCCCTTCGCCCCTGCAGCTGGCCTCGACCACCACCCCGTCCGGGTCCGACCCCTTCTCCTTTCCCTTTTCTGTGCCCTCTTCCCCTAATAATACCTCCTCTCGCTTTGATTCTGGTATCGGGCTTGGTCTCGCTCCCGGTCTTGGTCCTCCTCTCGTTGCCGGTTACGATAATTCTCTTGTGGCTGCCGCCGTCGCCCCCATACTCGTCGCCGCCCCCGCCGCCACCACAGAATTTCTCAGGTCTCTGACAGCTGCGGCCACCGACCTTGTCGTTCCCGGCCGTCGTTGCGCTTATTGTATATACTACTCGAAGTTTCCCGCCCCTACAGGCAACTCGCAGACCCAGTCCCAGTCCCAGTCCCAGTCCCAGTCCCAGTCCCAGTCCCAGTCCCAGTCCCAGTCCCAGTCCCAGTCCCAGTCCCAGTCCCAGTCCCAGTTCCAGCGCCGCCATCTCCCGGGTGAACAACACCCTCCCGGTGCATCTGCGACAACTATTACGACGACGACGATACCGACTGCCGCTGCGACTGAAACTGGTCCCGCTAGCCCTGGGTACGATCCTGTCGCTTCGGATCTCCTGCCGGTCGCCGCGATATCCACTTGCACCTACTCCACCACACCAGCCCCCAACGCAGGTCCTGCAGATTCTAATAATACGTCCGCTATTGCCCTGAGCATAAATCCAACGACCAGCGCGGCCGGGGCCACAAGTTCTAAGCACCCCACAAATAATACCCCACCACCGCAACACCACCCCTTTTCCCATCATAACCCCCATTCCTCCCCTCGCCTCCGCCCTAGAAGCAAACTCGGCAAGCTGGCTACTCCGTCCGATTTTTCCATAGGGTTCCTCCCACCGCGGGTCGCCCTTTCCGCTCTGGAGCTAAAACATGTTGCCATGCAATCCGACATTGAGACGGGACGGCCTACAAAGATGAACCCCTCGGCTTACTCGCGCTCGGAGAGCCTCTCCAGCGCCTCGGGCACGGCGTCGCTGAGCGCCCGCACCCTGACGTCGAGCGACCCCTCTGCGTCGGGCGACACACTCTCTATGAAATTCTTCATCACCAAAAACGGCCGGTCCTACCTCAACGACCCCTCCATACCCTACTCCCTGCCCGTTGATCTCGCCGAACTGCACCGCCAGTCCCTCCGAACCCTGCTTCTGATACAAGTATTTGGAACGCCCGTATGCTCGCCTGCTCTGGTTGCGCGACCACCTACGCGCGTGCTGGAGGTCGGATGCGGCTCCGGGTTTTGGAGTATGATGTGCCACCGATACTTTCGGGACCGGGGCCACGCCAACATATCATTCACGGGCCTCGATATTGCACCGCTTGCGCCCGGCAGCCCTGACGGTGGGGCCGGCGCCACGCCCGAGTTCGCCAAGCCCGATCGAGACATGAACTGGCGCTTCGTCCAGCACGACATACGCTACAGCCCCTTTCCGTTCCCCGATGGCGAATTCGACCTCGTTATGGTGAAGGATATGAGCCTTGCTGTAACTCACTCGTCCCAGCAGCGCATGGTTGACGAGTATATCCGCCTCCTCCGGCCCGGGGGCCATCTGGAGATATGGGAAAGCGACCACACAATACGCATGCTCCGACCGCACGTTCCTGGACCCGCGTCGGGCAATGCCTCTACACAGGGCACGACGATTCTCACTTCTCTCAACGCCGAACAGGACGAGGACCACGAAGTAGCGGCCTCCCTGGGGGCATTTGTCATGGGCGCCAACACCCCGCTCTCCCCCTCTCAACAACTTCCTCGTCGAGTATAACTCGTGGCTCGTGCGCGCACTTGAGCTACGCGACGTGTCTCCCGTCCCTTGCACGCTCATCGGCCCCATGCTGCTCCAGGAGAGCGACGACTTATCCGACGTACGTTCCCGCCGCCTCGCGATTCCACTCAGCGAGGTACGCTGGGAGAAGGAGGGCGTGGGTGGCGTCGTGACCAAGGACGGCAAGAGCTACATTGACACCCGCGGCAAAGGGAAGCATGGCACCACTGGTCCCGGCAGTAACAAAACGCTGACTGCCGGGCAGGCGGCGCTAAGGCGGACCGCGCTCCAGACAGTCGTCCAGGGGATCCAAGCGCTCGAACCCATGCTCAAGGAGGTCAGTGGAAAGAGGCAGGACGAGTGGGATGGTTGGATAAGCAAGATGATGAATGACTTGATGAGTGAAAATGGAACGTCGTGGGGCGAGTGTCTTGAAGTGGGTGCTTGGTGGGCTCAGAAGAAGGCGTGAGCGGTTCGAGTTTTTTCCATTTCCTTTTTCCTTGTTCTTCTTCTCCCTCCTCCCCTTCTTTTTCGCCGAGAGCAAGCCTTTGAAGCATTTTTCTTGGATCTTTTTTTCTTTTTTTTTTTTCTTTCTTTCTTATGTTTACTCCCACAGGATTAAGATGGGTCGCATGGGTTTTCTTCTTCTTCTTCTTCTTTTTCTAAAGGAAAATGGTTGGTACTAGGGAAACGGCTCACCGCAAGAACGCGTAACGGCGGTGGAGGGAAAAAGAAATCATTTGCGGCGAAAAAGGTGGCAGCTGCTTTGGATACCCCCTTCTCTCTCCTGAGGGATGTCTGCCTCTGTTGCTAATACGACTGTGTTTCGTACATTCCGACGAAACGTCACGATACAAATTCTCCTAAGAAGAGAGATATGATGATGGCATTCTAAGGCATGAATTGACACGCTTTCACAAGTTGTTTCTTGAAGCCTATTCCTCTTTTCACGCTGCTCACGACAATGCCTCGCTGCTTAGATATATCGGGATTTTAAATATAGTGCTACGGAGAAATGGGTTTCCTGCCTCGTGTAGTTGCGAGGTTTCCATCGTGATACCAAGGTTAGCTTCATCGTATCTACGTTTAACATTTTTCTAAAACTCAAGTGATTTTTGTATAGTGATATCTCTGTTCCATTTGATCAAAGGCAGCATGCTGCACTTGACTCCCCTCCTTGCCTAACGTCTGTCGACTTCCAGTTGGTGCTGTGGCTGTTTCTAGATGAGAGAGAGAGGCTAACGCTATGTGAAGGGATCGTAGCGGTGCCTGAGAGTCCGGTATTTCTTCAGGGAGTAGCTAGATAGATCGTATTAGAGCATATTCTCACCAATCCTTGCTTGCCTGCTTCTAGCCCGAGGAGGGGGCGTAAACTCCATCGGGCTTTTGGCTAAGATGAGGGCTAGATTCTTTTTCTTTACGTACAGTGCTTCGATTTCTAAAAGGAAAGGAGGAGAGGCCCAAACAGTTAGCCATCAAGTCAAAAAAGGTAACCCGAAAACCAAGAGGCAGGCATGGCGGCAACGCGGGAAAGATTGGGCAAACCGCGTACCCTTCTTGACAAACTCTGCGCGGGCTAGGCAGCTCTCGATCTCGGCGTCGTCTTTCACGCCGGCGTTGGCCATGAAGGCCTTGTGAAGGCGGGGACGGAAGTAGTCGAAGCCGAGGGGGTAGTCTCGACCGAGGAAGAGGAGCTCTGCTTGGCGTTAGTGGGAGAGCGGTGGAAATATGGGGAGGGGGTGCAGGAAGGGGAAAAGGGGAGTTCTAGAAAGGCGAGATGGAGAGGCAGAGGAGTTATGGGGTACCTTTGTAGGCTGCTATGACCTTGGAGCGGAGGCCCGGATTGATCGGGGCCATTGAAAGAAAAAGGAACCGCGGGGACGGCGGTGAGCTACATTGGCGAAGGGGGTGGGTGGTGGAGAGGGAAAGGGAAGGTTATGGTGAGGAGGGCAGGGAGGGGAATGGATGAAGTCATCGCGATGGCACGCGCTCGGTTCTCGGAAGTTGCCGAGACGTGGGCGACGCAGCCTTGGGCTGGGGAAGAACAACCTACGTCGGCGAGGGCTCGAAATTCAAAAGTGATGGATGGAGATTTACGATATGGTGATCATATTCTGGGAAATTTGTTTTTATTCTTTGCTTTCTTGGGGTTTGTGCTGCTGTTAATGGATGGGTTAACTGCCATTCTCTGAAGGGCTACCAGACATCTGAATATATATCCGTCGATAGCTCCCGCCCGTTTTGAACAAGCAAACATGTCGCCAGAGGCCAAGAAATTCCAAGCTCTGTCAATCCTTGATGCAAACCTATGAGGCGATGATGGGATGGCCGTGTGTCTTGACATCAATGACAAGATCCAACGTCCAGGTGACGACCAAAGGCGGTCCTCGGGTCATTTTTGATCAGCCTGGCCCAACGGGTTCCCTTGATTCCCAAGCGAGTACATGTAGCAATAGTATCACTGAACCTCGAGAAAAAAACCCAATCTTCAACACCATGTAAAGCGCCCCCTGCGCCTGTGCAGCAGAAGCTTCACTCTCTCCCAGGGCCCCCCACGTGGTCCTGAAAAGGCGGCGCACCGAGCGTGCACTAGGGCGAAGCCGTCTCTTTTATTTCTGGGCAAAACCAAGTCGAGAGGGCTCCTGATGAGCGATGTCTTGCATTTGGGAGCATGGGTGCCATGCTAGATGGAAGATTGGAGCTGCGAGCACGAGCACGAGCAAGAACCAACTCTGAAATCCTAGGCCCGGGGAAGCAATCGATGAATCCTTCTCCCCACGTGCTGCAAGGGGGCCCTTAGAGGCCTGTGGTGGGAGTTGGTGCCCTTTTCGTGCACACCACCATTTCGATAGGATTGAGCAATCGCACCAATCACATCACACGGTCCCGAGCTTCCCCCAGGCCATCAGCTTCAATCGCGTCATTCCCCTCCCCTAAAGGGTCCTGTACTTGGGAAGCAAGCAAACAATTTCGAGGTCCCTCTTGGCCCGCACCGAGCACCAATTCAAATGTAAAATCCAAAGGTCCACGCCCGGGAACCACAAAAAAAACACATAAGAAAGATATGCACGCTCTCACGGCGAAACATGCGCAGTATGCGTCCCTCCTAGCCCGCATCGGGCGCTGCCTGTGTTTCGGCTGCTCCCCGCGCAAACCGCAACCGCGGCCGCCCTCACGTCTCGCCTCACGCGCGCTTGGCCCCACGCCTTTGTCTCGGCTGAGGGTTACGTGCGCCTCCCCATCGACGAGCTCCGAACCGAGGGTACGGAGTCGCGGATAGCTGTGCGGTCGGAGAGCGAGGCGGTGAAGGCGGCGCAGGAGGCGGCTACGTTGGCGGGGAGCAGGCTGCTCAATGCGTTGCTGAGCGCGGGGAAGGCGGGGACCGCTGTTGACGTTGATGTGGAGACGAGGATAACACCTCTCGAGGTAGGTTCACGGAGAATTCAGGATTGGGGGAAGGGGAAGGGACGGATCTAGGTGACTGCGGCACGTAGGTCTTTGCTAACCTCGATCTGGTTTGTTTGTTTAGGGCACGAGGATACGCGCGGGAGACTCTCTTACGGCATTTTCGAGGTTCGGAACAGGACCCATCGCGGGCCCCACGATCCTGAACAAAATCCCGACGTCATGGAAGGCGAACGACGGGCCCGGCGGCATCGTGCTACAGTCAGTGGTGTTCTCCCAGGCGTCGAGAAGACCGGTCGCCGCGGTACACGCTCTGCTGAGGCTAAAGGGTCAGGACGGGCGCGCCCTGGACCAGTGGGTAGAAGAGAACACGGAGGTATTAAGCAAGATGCTGCGGGAAATCGAGGACGGGGAGAGGCGAGGGAGAGAGGAGGTGGAAGAGGTTGAAAACGGGGTGGATGCGCTGGAGAGGGATACGTGGAACAGGCCAGATGCTGTAGAAGACATGGGGACGGCCAAGGCGTAGAGGATGAAGATACGGACGTTTGCCAAAAGGGGCCAGTTTTTACACGACACTTATAATACCATATCTGGGCTTGAGAAGGGAAGCCTTTCAAAGCATTCAATACACCATGGATGTGAGGGGATTTCCGATTCGAGGCGGAAATTGAGGCCTTTATGGGGTGGTGTGGCATGTGAAGTTACAACATCAGTCGGGTAAGATGGCCGAGCGGTCTAAGGCGCCAGGTTAAGGTTACCTTAACGAGTAAATTCCTGGTCCAGGTAACTGGGCGTGAGTTCGAATCTCACTCTTATCACTTACTTTTTGCACCTTTCGCACACAATACTTGGCCGTTTTACATGGGACCAGTGTTTGGGTTTTGATGTTTTTAAGGCTGTGTTCTCTTTTCTTTTCTTTTTCTTTTTTCTTCTTCCCCTTTAACTTGTGCCGTCTTTCATCGAACTGCCTCCTCCCTTCTCCTTCTCTTGACCTTTCCAGGCCCTCTGTTTGTTGTCTTATGAGGGAGATATCCTTATTCTCTTCAGCGATGCCCCTCATACTTTTCATGGCGGGGTAATTGCCTGTCGCTCATCTGCGGTACTCACAGAACGCTGTTGGACACATAGCTAGCACGGTCTGGGGAGATGAATTCAGCTCAAGCTGCCATGGTGGAGCTCTGAGGTGTTCTGCATCTGCAAAAGACAACAGGCAAAGACAAGCCAGCCGTAGTTACGTACGCAAGAAGAACGTCGAGGAAAAGAAGCTAGGGAAGCATACTGCAGCCACCAAGTAGTCGCGTCGAGCTCGAGTCAATCAGGAAGCAACATCACCCACCTAAGAGATTCTTCATCCAGCGAGCCAGGCGTAGGGGGAGCTTAGTGGGGCTAGGAAAACAAAAGAAAATAAGACACAAGCTACTCGTTTGGCGTGCAGGGAATGTCTCTGCCAACCCCCAGCCATCGGGGACGAAGGAAGCTCATGACCCTTTGGGGTCGAGTGAGGAGGGGAGAGAAGGGGGGAACAAGTGAACGGCGCCCTATGGTTACTGCCTGCATCGGAAAGCGGGTTTCTGCTGCAGCATCAAGTAACATAGTGTGCGGCAAGAAACAAAAAAAAAAAAAAAAAAGGGCAGAAGCGGCACACCATCCACATCCCTGGACGCTAATCCTCTCACCGCCAATCTTGGCATCTCTTGTAAATGAAGGCTGGCGGCGGATAGGCTGCCAGTCAACTCGGCGGCTCGTGGGTGGTTAACTGCATCTGCCAGCTCATCAAGACGTAGACGCGAGGAGAGGGAGAGACATGGCGAGGGGCTGCAAGAAGAAGAAAAAGAAAAAAAAAAACCAAGGAAAGACGAGGAGGAGAAGGCCGCCGGCGGATATCGCTTGGAAGCGGGGTGGGAAAAGAACAGAGAAAGAAAAAGAAAAAAAGAAAGAAACCCAGTAAAACCCCTCTTCCACTGAAATTGGGGAAGCCCCTCATCCCCCACCAATATTGAGCGGCCGATATATCTCGCAAAAGGATGCAATCATCCTGCAAAACGTCCAAAGGGAAAAGGACTGGAGTGAGCCGGCAGTCGTGCACAAGAGCCGGAGATGAAGATGATCGACGATGACGGAGAGGCGCGATTGGAGGGCTAAGGAAACCAGCATCCCTTGGGTTCTCTGCGCACGCGCGGGGTTGGCGACGAAGAGCTTTTGGGTCGTTTGTCATTTTGAGGTCTCGTGAGCTTGTGCTGCAATGAGGTGATTCCGGTTTCCAGCACTGTTCCGATTGTGCTTCCTCTTTTGATTCCTTTGTTTGCTTTGTTTTCAAGATGAAAAATAGAAACCCCCTTTGTATTTCCTTATTATAATAATAGTCCTCCAGGGCTCCTTCTTTATGCGGACCGTGATAATGCGCAGGACTCGAGCATAGTAATAATAATATGCCAACGTGCTACACTTCGAGGTCAAGTGCAGCTGATCTTCAATTCCTTTCACGTGCACGCCGGCTATGTTCGCACCTTCCTGAAAATTGAAATCCTTTCTAGGCTAGAAAATCCTGCTTGCGCTAGGGCGAGTGTGAAACCGATGTGGCGATAATAATAGTTTTCCTTTGGAGTCTGTCTGTTGCCGTTCCGTGCGGGTACTGTTCGCCTCTCGCACTAGCCAAGACTGGTTCTTCATGACGCTGCGACACCAGCACAGCGCAAACCACCCACACTGATGATGTCGACGGGTCAGCTTAGCAAAGACTGAAGTACATAGGCGAAGAGAGCCTAGAAGCCGTCCAACCACTGACTTGGCGTCCTTTTTTTTTTTTTTTCTTTCTCTCTCTCTTCCATTTTTCTTCATCCTCTTCTGCCCAAGCAACTCCATCAACGACGGCTGGTGCTGGAGGCTCAACCACGCGGAGGGTAGTATCAACCGTAATTAAAAACCTGATCATATTGATTGATCTCGGTTTGTGCCAGCGCGACGCTGTAACGTAACTGAAGCCAATGAACAAGGCCCAAGGCCGCTTTCCCACGCTGCATCCATCCAGTGAAAGAGAGCACGGGTTGGTGTGAACCTACTTAAGCTCCTACAAGTAACTTTGCGTTTTCCCTCAACCCTCTGCTTGGGGGCCTCTCAAGCTTTGGCTCCTTTGTTCCTGGCCCGCCTCGTTGCTGCACACCATGCCCCCACACGCAATATCGGCATCAAGTCACAAGGCCTTTGCACAGTACCCGAAAATAGGGCCAGGCGGGAGGGGTAAGAATGTAACTCGCGAGGGCAGTGGTACTTTGTGCCTCGAACGCTGGGTGGGTTTTTTCCCTTCTTTTTTGGGCTTCCTGTGGGTGTGCGTGTGTGTGCGTGTGTGTGTGTGGTAATAGCACCCGACTGAGTTTTACGCTCAGAACATCATGAAGAGAGGAGGGGGAGGGAAGGGTACCTTGGCTTCAAGGCCAGCCACGCACGGAATCCGCGGAGGCGAGTGGGAGCGTGCAATCAATGATACTTTGCTACGGCGTCCAAGTGCCGACAGACTCCAAGCTCAATTCGTCTTGGAGTCGCCAAGCGGCCCCTGGCATTCGCTTGTCCACGCCCGTCGAAGCCAACCAATTCCCGTGGTTAGGTCCTCAGACTAGTCCTGACTTTGTCAGATGCGAGCAGGGGTTCTCGTGGGCAACTTCCAAGGAAGTACCAAAGAAGCGATCGATGTCTTGGCCTGATCGATGGGGAGTCAAGAGTCTACTATAGAACTATATGCTCTGGGGACGAGGGATGAAATAGAAAGGGAATTATTGAGGGGGCAAAAAGGATCCAAGGGAGCATGGGGGAAAGGGGTATGAGTAAAGCGAGGGAGAGAGCATTGAGCTTAAGAATAGCTGCGATACGATGAAGCCACATGCGTGTGAACCCATCCAGATCATCAGGTCTGATGGCCGTGGGGCAACATCTTGAGAGGGCCCGCTGGCGCTGGGGTTAGTCCCTGCACCCACGGGTATTCTTGCACTTGGCTTTGACGGAGAATCCGCGGAAATGACCCCAAAAGCAGCTAGAGGCGTTTTCTTCGGCAGGGGACGGAGTCGATACAACCCAAGAAGGGGGCTGCTGCGATTAGTGACCGCATTTTATTCTGACTTCCTCCCCAAACGTGGTGGTGAGTGGTGGACGAGCCTTATCCAGCGTTCTGCTCAGAAATACAAAGAAAAGGGAACTGGAATGGCTCTACGAACAAAAAGAAAATCGATTGTCTCCGGATCCGCGGAGAATCGAACTTTTGTTTCCCCGATATGTCCAATGAAGATCAGAGATACCCTCCATGCTAGAAGCCCCCCTCTCGTCCAGCGGGGGTGGAAGTGATGTGCCAGGTAGCGCACGAGGCACATCATTTGATATTGAACATGCGGTGGTCGCTAATCAGATCGACATGGAATTTCGACTTTCAATGCAACCGGCGGGAAAACCGTCGCATTGGTGGGTGATGGCTGGGCTAGCCAAACAAGTGATCGACGATGCTTTGCCCCGAGGTAGGTTCGGGTAGGTTCCGGAACTACTCTCGTGTCGTGGGAAACGAAGCAAAACTTGAAGGGAAAGTACGATAACGACGGAGCCTCAGCTACATGTGGTTTACCCATTCCCTTTTGGGAAGTACGAAAGTGCAAAAGGGATGACAGGAGGAAAAGGGCACAAACCTGTCTCATAGTCCATCTTCCGCAACGTGGGGAGTGCTGTTTTCTTGAATGCCTTGCAAGGTAGCCTCGAGAACGATTTTTGGGTTCGACAAACGATACGATAGAACAATAGACCCATAGTGCGGTGCGCCATGCTCGACTTGAGGACTCTACTCTGTCCGGTGGGGCCGGGAAAAGGGTTCAATGTTGCTTTGATGTGTGAGAGAAATGGGGGCGCGTCCTTTCTTGCTCTCAAAATGGCCAATTCAGGCCATGGGTGGGATTTACGATGTATCCGAGACTCCGCTAGAGTAGCTCCACGGGCCCGTAATTCCAGCTTTTTCGGATTTTATTTCGGGTACCGGTACTTGAACATTTCAATCTCTCTCTCTCCCTCTCGCTCTCTTGCACAGGCTCGAATCAGGACGACTGCCCCCAGTCCACTGCGCTGAGGCTCGCTGATCAATACCCGTGAGCAGTCGCACTAGTTTCTGCAGAGTGGGGAATTGGGGAGTCAGCTGCAGGGCCATTATCGCGGTACTGTGTGCGCTGGCCTGTCGAGCTGGGGGGACTGCTTTGACGAGTCCTACGCCGTACAGTGTTCAAGCCTACATGGAGCGCAGGATTAGGCGCCAAAGCGAGCATCGCTGCTTCTGTGATCCATCGAGCCTCCACTTTTGCCCTTGTCAATCGAACCAGCCGGACAGATCCTGGAGCCAGCCCCTCCTCCTCCCCCAAATCCTTCCACCCAAGGTGCTGTTACTTCCCGCATCAATGAGAGCCCAGGCGCTGGGGTTAGGAGGCTGGGCCTGGCCGGCCGTTTGATCAAAGCAAAGGCGCTGGCAAAGAAAAAAAAAGAAAAAAAAAAAGAAGACAAGGAGGATCGGGGCACAGTGTCCGAATGCCCTTCCCCACCCTCGCAACGTAAACCAAACCACTTGATCCATCCGCAGCAGAGTGAGCAGGGGACAGAGCCAGAAAACAAAGGGAAAGAAAGACAAAAGGTACCACGCGGCTTCTCGGAGATTTGAACAATGCTCTGATTGTATTATAGTACCTTGCAGGTCTGATGATGCACGTTGATACGACCTAGCACCAATGAGTTCTAATTCCCTTTGCGCCCTCCACAAGGCAAAACCTCTGAACAATTCCTTTTTTGTGATGCGATATACCGAGCCCTGACGACCGAGGTGAGAGACGGTGCCGGTGGGCCAGAGTTAATTGAATGCTATTTTTCCTGGCGGCGTCGTATTGCAGTATCGCATGTGAAGTGTGAAGCGAGAAGAAGATTCGGCTCCGGCCCCGTCTAGGCCCGACAAGACTGATGACACAAGAGGTTGACGCCAGCAAAGAAAAAAAAAAAAGAAAGAAAAAGTCCCCTGCCATCAGCCCATCCCATCAGCTCAACGCCGGCCGAGAAGCCACGCTTAACGGACTCTGCTCTATTTGTTGTTTGGGCGATATCTAGTTGCCACTAGAAACATGGAGAATGGAGTCCCCGTCAACTAATGTTTTACATGTATGAACTCTCAAAGCGAAAAAGAAAAAAAGAAGGACAAAACTGTAAGACGGCCGAAGAAGGAAATCTTCAATGGAGAGACGGCCAACAGTCTAGGAGAGACACTTGTGTTTTGAATCAAGAGTCCCTTTCTTGATGATTATATCCTTGCTGCCTTGGTCTTCTCCCCGGGCTTGTCAGCGGGACGAACGTGAGCCTCTTTCATTGTCAGCTTGGGGCTTGCTCCATCCCTTGGATTACACAGAGAGCCCTGAGCATTCCTCCGGAGAATTCGGAGTCGGTACCCCGACAAGCTAGAGAGGCGTCTCCAAATGGTGAGGTCACCAGAAACAGGCATCAATTTCAGAACGCATCGCTTTCCCCACTGGCGTGTACAAGTAGTACTTGCTAGTTTGTATCGAAACATTGGATGACATGCAAAGAAAAAGTGACCTAGGACACAGTGTGACTTGCCCATGCCCGTGCCAGGTCCTTCCCGTCCCACCCGACCGCTTGCTAGTTTCCTACCGGGGTGCTTCCTGCCATGGTGAATTTTTCCCCTTGCCACTGGTTCCCTGCGGGTTTCGTCGCTTCACTCTCCTGGCTGCGGGACTGTGCTCCTCTATTCCATTACTCCATTTTACCTTGGGCCTGCAACGCAGAAAACCTTCCCCGAGAGGGTCAGAAAAGGGAAAAAAGAAAAGAAAAAAAACAACTATTTTTTTTTTTTGGGGCCAGCCTTCAGGAGATCTTCGCCACCCTGACCGCACCTTCGGAAAAACATACCCTCTCGCCGGGCTTCCGCAACGCCTTCCTTCCACCGAGGCATCCCTAGGAATTATCCTTATCGTGTCGCTTCGATTTCCCGGATTGCCAACAACCATCGCTCTTCCCCCGCCTCGCGCTCTGCATTCCATCGAGTTCTCGACATTGCGGCACAGCATTGCATCCTTTTCAATGCGTCGACAGCGACAGACAACCAACAAACCCATCGCCCGATAGCCATCGGCCTATCCACCCCCTTTTCTCCAACTCACCTCTCACCACACCAGCCATCGACCCAAGACTGACTGCATCTCGAGGACGACATCGCCGACCTCGCCCTCGCCCTTTCCCTCCTCTCTCCCTCTCCCTCTCCTCCCAGCTACCCCCACGAGGGCAGGCCCCCGAAATCAGCAGGTTCCTCTGCTCGCCCTGACCTGTGCGCCAGGTTTTTGGGGCGGCAGACCACCGGTTGCGCATGCCTCGTGGGACGGCCTCGGGCAAGCGACAACAAGGCGCATCTGGCAACTCCAGCAAGAACGACAATGGCGTCGTAGCCCCGGGAAGAAGTCATCCCGGAGCAGGAACCAGGTCAACTCTGATGGCAAGTCGAGACAAGCTAACCTCCTCAACCCGTCGGCTACCGCCTCGGCCGCCTCTAGCTCCCAGTCGTCGCTAAATCTATCCCTCAACGGCTCCGCGAATGGATCTACGACTCCTCCCGTTGCCGCCAACGGCAGGACCAACGGCCACGCTGCGACCCCTAACGGCAACCACAACGGCTTCGCGAAGCTCGCACCCGCCGACGACATGGTCCCCGAACATCCCCGAGCCCACCAGCTCTCTCGTCGAGCGTCTCTCGGCGCCGACTCCGAGACGTCTACCTCCACGGACTCCTTCCACTCTCACCATCACGTACTAAACCACGCCAATGGCAGTACTGCCATCGAGCCCCGTCAGATCGACGTGAATGCCTCCAAGTATGCTACCGATGTCCACAAAGACTCCGGCCCTCTCGACTTCGCTGCCACCGTCCTCATGGCACTCCCTCTTCATGACACTCTCGCCATCCTTCTCATCCTGATGCATGTCTCTCCGCTCACGCTCTCCGTCATCTACACCGTTTTCACCGTCCTCACCTTTGCCTCGCCCCTGACGGCGAGCTCCGTCGTTAACATCCACCTTGCCGAGCTTTTGGATTGGCATTCCACCATGCCCTCCCTCGTGACCGTTTTATGTGTTGACATATTGGCCCTTCTCGTGTTTCTTTTTCTCTGGCCATCTGTCCAAAACGCCATCCTCGATCTCGCCAAGCCCGTCATCGCCGCCACCCTCGGTGGTGGTTCGACGTCTAGGGGGTCAGTCACGGACGGTGTCGGCCTGCTTTGCCTTTGTGATAAGCACGCATGTCTTCAAGAACACACGCTCCCATTGGACACGCTTTCTACGACTGCTACCTCCCTCTTGGCGCTTCACCCCAGACTCCCACGACCCACTCGAGGAAGTCTCGAGATCTGCCGTCTCGGCTGCCATCCGCCATCCCGATCCCTACTTTACCCTTCTAGGAGTGCACATCCTCATGCAGGGCATCGTCCGGTACATCAGGGAGTGGTATATACGTCGCGAGAGAAGTAGCGCCGCAGCCAGCGCCGCCCCGGGTGATCCGGAAGCGGGGAAACCAGCATCTGCCGAGTCCGAAGGCGGCCATCATCACTATCATAATCACCATGCGCAGGAGACGGAACATGCACCAACATCGACGATGCCGACAACGGTGTCGGCGATATCAACTACTACAAATTCGACCAACTCATCATCTACCAAGCGAAGGCGGAAGCAGAGCGCTCAGGTCCGCCTGCAGCAGCCCCTATGGGCCGCGCTGGCGAGCACCAAGGTGGTCATGGTAAAGAGTACGAGCTCTCCCATGCCACGAGCGAATCTGCCTGCGCCGATGCTACCGACATACACAACCTAGGAAACGCCCCGTTCGACCGCGAGGCAGGCCGCATCTGGATCTCGTACGTCGGCTGCGACGAGGTCAGTTTCGACACCAGCCACTTCTCCGACGACTTCTCGGATCCTCCCGAATCCTCCTCGCCCCCTCCCTTGACCGAGTCCTCTTCGGCTGCCCTTGACCAATCGAAGCCGTTCTACGTGCGCATTAATAACGCGCATTGGCTTTCCACCCGTATTGTCCATGCTCAAGATAACAGCGCCGAGGAGACGGATGACGACGCTACCGCGGCGGGCACACGGTGGACAGGGGACATCTACGGTCTACGCCCAATGTCCAAGTATGTGTGCGAGTTTGTCGACACGCACACGGATGCCATCCTCTTCTCTACCACCGTCACGACGACTCGTGAAACCAGGATGGCGGCCGTGGTCAACGGCGCCCCTACGCCGCAGAGACGCCCGCACTCGCCTGCCACGACGCTCCGAACTTCAATTGCCGCCTCGGACGGCAAACTGGCGGGCGAGCGCAGCAGACTGAAGACGCTCCGCAAAGAGTGGAAAGCTAAGATCAACTCACTTAAGAAGGAGAACGAAATCACGGACAACTCGATCAACACGGCGGGTGGTACGGACGACCGGTTCCGGCAAAAGATTCGGCAACAGGAGACGCAGAAATCGCAGGCCGACAACGAGACTTCGGAGCTCAGCGCGGAACTCAAGGCCTTTGACGATGCGCCTAGCGATGTCGTGTCCCGCCGTAAGCAAGTAGAAGGCTTGTGGACCGAGGAGAAGGCGGTGTACGAGGCAGCGCAAAAGGAATTCAAATCGTACTCGGCGTCGGTGAACTCGGCGGTCAAGGCCAAGGAGGGTGACCAGCAGCAGCTCCAGACGCGACGGAATAAGGTCGCCAACCGCGTCGCCAAGGTCGACAACGAGCTCGCCAACATTGCTGACGCCAATACGCGCGGTCTCAACGAGGTCGAGCGGCGCAAGGCTGAGCGGGAGACGTGGCAGAGGCAGGTGTCGGCGGCCGAGGAGAGGCTCAATAGCGACTTCAACTCGGTTCAGGTGGATAACTCGATTCTGCAAGAGGAACACGCCACCGCCATGCAGACCGCGAACAGCCTGTATGCCCAGCTCTATGCCGCCACCACGGCTCCTGCCCCGGTTCCGACGTACGATATGGCGGATCACCAGCGCCACAATCTCCCTCGCCCAACCAGTATCCGCCTTCGACCGGCGCGTGGAACCCTGCCGCAAGCCAAGCGCCCGCGGCGCCGGGTCTGAACGCGCCGTACTCGATGTGGCCGGCCAACTCCTCGGCAGACACCTCGGCTATCGCTGCCGTCTCATCGGTCCCGGGCCCCCATCGTGGGCTGGGTTCCCGGCGCCATTGGCGCGGCCGTCCCTTCGGGGGCAAGATGAGAGGCAGGTCTTCGTCCATGCTCAGCGACATATCGGGATTCACCCAACTCAGCAACGAAGAAGAGCCGGCTGCTTCAGCCGCGGGCCCTCGTTAGCGACGCCCTTTCGACCTGGCCTCAAGGGCTTCGTTCCCGGGGCCGGAGCCCACTTTACCCCCAGACGAGGAAGCCGAGCGTCGGCGCCGCGTCGGGGAAGAGTAGCGTCGGAAGCGCGAGCGGGAGTGGCACGGGAAGCTGGAGTAGCGCTCGGGATCCGTCGAGTCCTTCTTGATTTGCTTTGCGCTCACATCTGCGGCGGGGATTAGGATCTTTTGCCATGTTGGTACATGGAGAGTGAAAAGTCCCGCTGCAACGAGTGGCGTATTCTTCAAAGAGGAGGAGACGAGGAAAACCTTTTGCCGGTCTTGGGCTAGATGAGGCTTTTTTGTGTAGTATGTTTTATTTTTGGACTGGTTTTTGTTCGTCTTCTTGTTATGGGACGTGAATAGAAAAATGCAACAGATTATTTTTCACCTTATCTTTTTGGTCTACAAGTGATTTTGTCCTCTTGGCCTATGTTTCTTCATGAAGGTTCTGTCCGACGCCTGGAGCTGATGTCTCGTTACAGTCGCGCTTTGGTTAAAGCCTCTCTTGCTTCGGCTACTGGGAACATGCATTATGTGTATGTGCTCCATGAAGAGTGGATGGTTATGCTGGAATTGATGCCCATGGTGCTTGACATGTGTATTGACTATTGTCGCCTCCTTCCATCCCTCTCTCACTCTTGGCGTCAAGTGAATAGGTTTCTAGTGCACCTATAAAAGCTGAAGTACAAAGCATCGAGTTTATGCGACTCTGTAGTCATAGGGTTAGTCAAGTTGGATATGTACTCGCGTCACCACCATCACAGGCCACGCAACACAGGATTCTATGAAGGTACGCGCCAGCAACTTGGTAGCACAAGTTATATACACGTCATCTCGATTCTTTTACAATTTTTTATTTCTGAAGAGTATTACGACATAGCAGATGGGAAGAGAGAGAACACTGAGAGAAGCAAGAGATCGAGGACGGGAAGTTTCAAGAGAATATGTACTTTGTATTTCTTTTTTTCTGATGTCGCCAGTCTCAATATTGGCAAGCCCCAGAAAAAAACGGGGAAGTAGTGGAATATATACAAGAGAATAAGGTTGGTTTTTATCTTCTACCCGCGGCGTGCCAGGCTCGGGAGAGGACAAGCGCCCAAGCGCCCTCGCCCAGCGCCACCGCTCTTCTTTCGTTGCCTTTCCTTTCACTTTTAATCTCGACCTCGTCCTCTTTCTTTCTACCGGGTACTTTTTGAGAGAGGGTAACCCAGAAGAAAGAAAAGAGTCAGGGCAAGACCAAAAGGGAGGGGAAGAGAGGGGGCTCGCTTAGAAGGAGGGGCTGGCGTTCTCGATGAGAGCGACAAAGTACTCCTGGAACCAGTTGCCGGCCTCGGGGGCGGGCTTGTGGGCGGAGTCAAGACCGCAGTGGTAGTCGTAGCGGACGGCGCTGGTGTTGCTGGTGCCGTCGGACTCGCCGCCGGGCTTGACCCAGACGAAGGCGTCGACGAGGCTGGAGCCGGTGGAGGTGGTGGGGCGGATGCCGAAGCCGCTGCCCTTGACGTTGCACCAGTTACCCCACTAGAGAGAGACGAGACGGTTAGTTTATATGATAGAAGAGGGAGATGGGGGAAAAAAGAGGTTGAAACGTACCTCGGTCTGGAGGGTGGGCTGACGACCGTTGCGACCAGTGTCGACGAGCTGGAAGGACGAGTTAGCGGAATGTTCCAAGGGGCAGACTGGGGTTTGATGGTGTTTTGACTTACGAACTGGGCGGGGAAACCCTTGGCCTCGAGGAGAGGACGGAAAGCCTCGATGAAGTGCTTCTCGTCGTAGTTGGGGTTGGCTAAGAAGAGAGTCCGCGTTAGGTTTGTTTTCCTTAATGGTGGGAGGAAGCGAACAAGATTTAGAAACAGAAACTTACGAGAGGTGTACGAAGGGGCGCTAGACAAGCTCCAGCCGTTGTAGTTGGAGACGTTGGTGACGAGACCGCGGACGGCCTTGGGGCTGCCGGCGTTCTTGAAGATCTCGGCGAAGAGGTCGGCGGAGGGGCCGATGTTGGCGGGCCAGCCCAACCAGCCGGCGTGGCCGGCATCGAGGTACATGGCGACGTTGGGACTGGGAGTTTGAGGAAACGACGTTAGCATTATTAAGACATATGTTTTTGTTGTTGGTTGGGAAACAAACTTACAGGTTGAGCTGCTTGAGGGCGTAGACGGTGAGATCCTTATAGGTGGAGGCGGCGTTGGCGCACTTGGCGACGTTCATGTTGGTGACCATGCTGGAGAGGGGTTAGTGGGATGCTCTGGTTGGGGGTGAGAGAAAACGACGGAGAGTCGTTGTTCATCTCTCTTCCTGGCTCTTTCTTCACTCGGTTTTGAGTGGAGAGAGTGGATGGCATGAAGCAACTTACTTGGCAAGCGAATCGGGCTCTGTGAATCCAAGCACGTTAGTCTTTTGAAGCACTCAAAAGGAGCGGTAAAATACACAGGGAAGATGGATAGCACATACCGATGACGAGAATGTTGCGGATCTCAGAGTACTTGACGAGGTTGGCGCGGATGGAGTCAATGTACGCCTTGTACTTGGCAACACCACCATCAGCGATGGCGAACTCTCCGTTGGAAGCGGCGGCGGCGCAGTCGCGATCGGGGAGATCGTAGACGACGAAGATACCGGCGTTGTTCCCGCCGGCCTGGTTGGCCTTGCGGATGTCGGCGAGGGTGGTCTCCATGAGGGGCACCTTGGACTGGGTGTCGAGCCACATGAAGGAGGGGACCTTGGCGACGGCGGAGGCCTTGGCGGCGAGGGTGCCGGTGAGGGAGGGGATGGCGAGGGTGTGGACCTCGGAGGAGTAGTAGGCGTTGGCCCACATGTTGATGCCGGTCAGGGGTTGCCGGACCAGGTGGCGGTGCCGGAGCCGACGGGCGCCTGGGTGGTGGAGGAGGCCGGAGGCGCCTGGGTGGTGCTGGTGGACGAGGTCTGCTGGGCGGCCGAGGAGCTGCGCGAGGTGGTGGAGGTGGCGGCGGCGGTGGTGGAGGTGGTGGTGGTGGTGCCGGCCGCGGCGCCGGGGAGGCACTGGCTGTACCAGTCGTTTTGCTTCTGGCATGAGTTGCCCGAGGTGCAGCAGGTGGCGCCGCTCCAGCCGATACCGCCGCACTGGCCCCTGTGTTGCGAAAGAAGCGTGTTAGTCAAAGAGAGAAAGAAGACACAAAAGACGGAAGGCAAAGGGAAAGATTTGGACGAACCAGGTGGTCTGGCAGTTCTGGCGGGCCTCGAGAGGCACGGCGAGCGCCGCGGTGCCGAGAACGGCGGCGGCGAGGAAAAGGTTCCTGGCGACCATGGTGACTGTCTTTTTGTCTGAAGTCGAACCGAGTGCTGACGAGAAAAAGAAGGGAAGGGGGAGGAAGAAGAGAGGAGAGATGAGTGGGAGGAGGGATGGGTGAAGGAAAGGGAGATTTTTAGAACTGGGGAAGACGGGGAATCCGATGCCTTTTATCGTGAAAAGACGATGGTGGTGGAATAGGCTCGTCCTCACAATCGCATCTCGGCTACGGGAGGATTTCTCATTCGAGGGAAGGATAGCCTACGGCACCCGGGACGAGATGCGTCCGTCTTTCTGTCTCTTTGGCGGCTTCTTTCGTTCGTTGACCTTGTCTTCTCCATACTACCCTTGTCCCGCTTAACACACCGATCTAAGATTAAGGAACGTTTCCCCAAAGGGCAGAGGAGGGTAGAGGAGGGGGGCAAAAGGCTATCGGAACGCCGGGAAAGGGTCGAAGGCGACATTACGATCCCATGCGTTCCATCCCCCAGGTTCATCGGGCCGGCACTGGAATCGCGCGCGCGAGAAGAGGGACGTAGTAGACACTGGAAAGAAAGAGCGAAAAGAAGGAATAAGGGACAGAACGAGGCACGTCCCTAGCTCCATCGCCCGTTTCTGCCTTGGTTCCTGGCTCCATCGTCCATCGGCGGCGGGGAAAGGAAATCATCGGACCCCCTGGCTTAGGATGCCTAGCGCGCGGAGCAAGAGGGGCGTGGAGATTTTTCGTGCGGATGGGTGGCCGAGATGATGGGCGTGGAAGAAGGCGACATGATAGTGGGATCGTCTTATCCCCATCTTTTCTATTTCATGTTTACTATCACCAGGTCTCTACGTTTAGGATTTACTCTGTATTACTTGATATTTCTTTTATGGGGAAAAATCACTTGCTAGTGAGAGTAAGAGCAAGATGGAACAGCGAGAGGAGAACAAGGAACGAGAGAGAGGGTTGAGCTTCAATACGTCGTGGGTATGACGGTTGTGACCCAAGCCGGAGCGAGTCTAGCGTAGCGTCGCGCGCGTGTACCTGGGGAGGGACAGAGGGGAGAAATCATTCCGAGTACGATTCCGGGGGCAAGGGGCCTTCGGCTCCAACGTGCAGCGGCAAAGGCTACTCATGTGCCATGTCTCCCGGGGGAGCTACTGTTCAGGCGTCATGGTCACGGGCGGAAAACAGAACGCGGTTCTCAAGTGGGAGCTCATCGTGGCACGTTGGGAGTAGAACCGATAGTTTGAGGCTCTCTCCATCTCTCTCTGTGTTGGTCTATTGCTCACTCCCCGCCGGCACGGGGGCCGGAAACCAACGTTGCCCAAACTATGGAACAAGTGATGAGAGAAGGAAAAACATGGCCCCTCCCCTTTCGACAAGGACCCGCGCGCACGGCATGACTTGACGACAAGAGGACCGCCAACCAGAGGGGCGGAAAAAGAAGGAGGCGATGCCCTCCCTTCCCGGGTGGAGGAAAGGGAAAAGGAATGGGACAGCGACGGACGAAAAGAAAAGAAAAAGAAACAAAAAACAGAAAAGAGGGGCCCGAACCAAAGATGGACGGGCTGGGCGCGCATCCTCGGTGGTGGAAAACAAAAAGATGGAGAAAAGGGTGGGCAATAGCCCGGCCGCCGGGACGGTCTCTTACAAAGTGCGACTCTGGGATTCTCTATTTCAATCTTGTCTCGTTGAGCCTCGCTGCTTCTCCTGTTAATTCCCGGGTTTGTGCTGGCCGCTCGGGCAGCCCGTCCAAGTAGGGCCCCCGCGAGTCGAGTCACGCTGGCCAAGAGATCGGCGAGATGATGGACACGTTGGGAGGGGCGTGGTTGAGATAGGTCTACTTGATGATATGTGAATGAGGGTATATGGATGCGTGTATGTGTATGTCTGGTAGGGAAACTAGAATAACACAAAGACAAGCCAGCATCATTGCATTGTCTCTATTTCCTCCTTTTTGTCCACTCTCCTGGTTTATTCCGGTTGGTGTTCTTTTTTCTAATTCCCAAATGGAAGGGGTAAACGTGGGGAACCAAACGTCGTCGTCTTGCACCGAAATCATACTAGACCAGGTTCGGGGATTCAAAGAAGGGGGCGAAGGGGGCGCATGTGCGCAGCGGCATGATGATGATGGAAAGTAGAACTTCCCATCAACGTGGACGTGGTGGACTTGGTGGACGTCGAGGTGAGGTGAGGTTGGACTGGAGGCTCGGAGGTTTTATTTCTCGTCGACCTGCACCGAATTAGTCCGCCAACCATGGCCGGCAGCCAAGCTTTTGCCGCGGTGCCTGTGTCTCCACCAAATGGACGCCGGACCCTTTTCCGATGCAACCACCCACGTCCACACACACACACAGTTGATCTATACACCAAACAGGTACCTGGACGGACGTGAGGTGAGGAACGCCATCCGATCCAGAGCCACATACTTCGTACTTGTAGATGCTCGGCCCAGTCCACGCCCATTGCACCGCACCTCACCCAGCAAGAGGTCATTGAAAGCGGATCTTGAGGCTCTTGGAGTTGATTGCCCTCCCCTCTCTATCTCTATTCCATAGTACACTTGCGCCGATTTCATCTATTAACCGAGATCGCACCCGCCCCCGAGAGCCTTTCTCTCTTTGTCTTCTCTCTGTCTCTATTCTTGGTGATCTTCGAATAAGGAAAGAGCGAGGGACAATCAGGACCCGGGAGGATGGTTTGCATTTGGTCGATCCAAAAACCTTGTATTGATGGCGGTTTGTGTCCGTTGATTGTCAAACGTCAAACATTGAAACAAAGAGTGAGCCAAACATGGGGATGGAGATCGCGCAACAGTCTTGTGTGCTGGCGGGTCACTTGCCCATTTCCCAGCTGGGATCTTTTGCGAGCCTGGCCGCATCCAGACAAAGGTGTTTCCATTCTTCAAGGCACACGCGATTCACCCTCTCTCTTTCTCCTTTTGCTCCCGTAGCGTCGGTGGGGGACATAGGAATCCCACTATTCTCCCTCTTCCCCCAATCATATCCCTACCGGAACCTCAACCCGGAACGGGGTCATGAGCAGCATATGTCTCTTGTTCTTTTTTCTTTCTTTTTTCTCTTTTTCTTCAGGTCCTGGCTTTCCTCTAAACGGAAACTGGGAAGAGCTGGAAACTGGAAACTGGAAACTGGGAACCTGACCTGTCCCAGCTACGTTGACAGCCACGTAAACGAACGCTGCGTGCCTGTGTGCCTGCGTGCCCTGCGCGCGCAACGCAGCTGACATGATATCCACAACACAACCGGAAGAACTATCTCAACTTTCGCCGCGGCCCACTCTCCACTCCCCTTCCCTCCCCTCCCCAATTTCCCTTCCCCTCTCCGCCCACCCTTGCCATTTCCCTTTCCCTCTCGACGAGCCCGTCGCTCTACTGTAGCCGGGACAATGCCCCCGCGGAGCCGAAAGCCGCCGTGGCCCGCCCGCCTGATCTAACCCCCAAGCAGACCGTCCTTGCATACCGAACCCCAAAGAACGTGGACGAAAGAGAGCTTGCTGGAAGCGATGGCCGTATGCCTTGGGGCGGCTCAATTCATCGACACCGTACCATTGGCCCTTTGTACGAAAGAGGACAAGAGGGGAGAGCACGAGAAGAACATGGAGAAGAAGCTACCCGCCTTCTTCTTGTTACAACGCTTCCACTTCCGGGGCCCCTCATGCTAGCCATTAGTTTCCCTCTCTCGGCCCACATAGGAAGGGGATAGTGCAAAAGGCAAAAGGGGAGCAAAGGGAAAGGTCTGCCGCTATGTCGGCACTACTTTTACGGCGGGGGGCCAATCCCCAGCTTGCTCGTGGTATTCCGAATGGGGCCCATGAGGACCTGTAGACATTCAATGATGATCTATTCTTGTCACGTCAGAGGCTTCTTTGGTACACAAAGTCATGCGGTGTGTTTTCTTTGAGGCCTCTTTCTTGCGGTAGAACGAGAGGCGCCTACGGGGACGGAGATCGGCCGTCGGCTTCGACATTCCGGGGAAAAATCTCTTGTGCTTCCTTTCACGTTGATCTCATTTCCTCGTCTTGACCTTGTTCTTCCTCATGTTGGCTTTTTTGGAATTGGCTTGGTTTCATCCTGACTCTTTCGGGGTCTTGGCTCGTACAAAACCCAGGCCCAGTAGTGGGATACATGATGCCTGGCATGGAAGCCAAGGCGGACCGAGGATATTCCCATCTTCCTGGCCTATGATCCAACATGCAAACCTGATGCCATCGCGGCTCCGCCCCCGATGGCCGCGATACAACGTGCACAGAGGATCAAGCTGTAGGCGGGACCTCTCCTCCTCCCATCTCTCTTCACCATCCTTTGCTCTCATCTCAGACATGCTCCCTAATTCCCTCCGGGCTTTAACCACGCAATGATTCTCTGAACCGTAATTACCCTTAATTCCCCAGCCCAGCCTTTAGCTCACCCACGTCATCCCCTGACCTCTTCGACGTTGCCTCCTCCAACAGATTATTTAGAGTCTTCCTGGCCACCTTCCACCGGGGCCGGCCGCTTAGTCAAAATCTCGTCAATGATGCCCAGGTCCTTGGCCTCGTCCGGCGTCAGGTACCGGTCCCTCTCCATCAGGTCCGCCACGCTCTTCTGGTCAAATTTGTCGCTGCCCAGCGCCTTGTTGACGTGCCGCCGGTAAATGTCGTTGACCTGCTCCCGTATCCTCTGGATCTGGTTGGCGTAGATGAGGATGTCGGACGCCTGGCCCTGCGTGCCTCCCAGGGGCTGGTGGATCATGATGGAGCTATGCGGGAGGGCGTAGCGGTGGCCCGCCTCGCCTCCGACGAGAAGGAGGGCAGCCATGGAAGACGCCGCGCCGACACACACCGTCGATACCGGCGGCCGGATATAGCTCATCGTGTCGTAGATGGCGAGGCCTGACCGAGGAAAGAAGAAGCAATGTCGGGGTTAGCAGTCATCCTTTCTGGGAAGAGAAGAAGCAGAAGAAGAAGAAGGGGAAAGGAAGAGGCGGGGTTGTGTTACCTGATGATATCATGCCACCCGGAGAGTTGATATACATGGTGATGGGCTTCTCTGGGTTTTCCGCCTCGAGCCAGAGGAGCTGCGACACGATGGACGCCGCGGTGCCATCGTCAATCGATCCGTAGAGACACACTATGCGTTCCTTTGACGAGAAGAAGAAACACTCGGTCAGCGGTATGTCTTAACATTCATGAGGGACTGACGTCTTTCTTGCTTGACCGGTTCGTACCTGTAGTAGCTTGGAAAAGATATCGGCTAATAGGACGTAAGCACAAAGCCTATAGTTAGCGTCTGGCGAGAGAGAGATATGTCGGGGTCTTATCCCAGCTTCTCGTGAGTTGGGACACACGCACATGTCCTCCAGCCACCAGACTGCTCACAATTGAAAAAGTGTTAGCGGATCCTCAAGACAAGAAGCACCTCCCCGTCCCTCTCAGTTCTAGATTGGCGCAACGACATACGGTGACTTCTGTGATGTACGGTACGGGAATGATGCCGGACGGCGGCACGCTCGAGTGATACTGCCTGGGGGTTGGTTCTGGCACGGGAGCTGGCGAAGGGCGTTGGCGAGGGCAGGTCGAGGCGCTGCTCCGAGCCGCGCGGCGCGGAGAAGCGAGCGCTGGGCGGACATGGAAGAGCGAGGGGCGTCTTTCGCCGACGACCGTGAGGAAGCTGGTTCTTGGTGAAGAGGGGTTTTGTTTTTGGGTCTCGGGGTTACGAGGCTTCAATTGTTCGTCGGGGCGCGGTGGGGGCGAGGTTCGTGAGTCGGAGAGTTGGAGAGTGGGGGAGAGGTGAGGTTGGAATGGAGGCGGGAGCTTGGAGAGCTTGAAGCTTGAGAAGCTTAGTGATCAAGGGTCGGAATTGACTTGGGAGTTGGTGGGGACAACATGTGCAACGCAACGCGCACGGCCTCGGATTGATCCAATGGGTTCCTTCAATTGATAAAGTCGATTTTGTCTTCTGTCCGGGACGCACTTGAGAGCTCTGTCTTTATGCAGTTTGGGTTCAACTTGCTAGCCATGGCCTACTTTCAATTGAGATAGAAAAGAAGCTATAAGCAGCTCTGATAGTTTAGAAGCAAATGAACCAGCATCGGGTAGAGGGGCGTAATCGCGTCCAACACAGCTCATCCACAGCTTGGCTGGAGTGCAAAGACACCACCCAACCCTGCTCGCATGAGAATCAATGGCACGGGCGACATTTCTAGAGCAATGGATCCTATTTCAGGTGGAAAAGCACCATTGTCCCAAAATATCGTGAAATTCACTTTGGCACCTTGAGAGACCTCCAAAGCACGGGTTCCAGGCGTGGGCCATTTAACGGATAACTAAGATCAGTGGATCTTGTTCTCATAGCGCACATGCAATACTTAAGCTGTCTTATGCGCATACACGTAATTGGTCAACGCATCAACGCATCACCGCGAGAAATAAATCTTTGGCCTGCCCATTCAATCCTCAAAACCTCCCACACAAGACCTCGCGCTTCACTACAAACGAAAAGCGTCGACACACAACGCCCACTCCCAGAGGAGACCCTTCCCCCTTTTTGCTTGCGACCGGCCCTCCATGAAGCCATGCGCCCTGCTCCGGCGCCTGCCTCGACCCTCCCCAGCAGAGCAACAGCAGCACGTGAGCCCTTCTCCCGCGCCTACTCGGATGCCGGCGGCGACGGCGGCGGCCCCAGCGCGCGGGGTCGCCTCTCCGTCCTCGAAGACGTCAAGGAACGCCTGCGCCTAGACCAGTCCGAAGGCACCATCACGATCGACGCCGACAACAAGACGGTCGACACCGCGGCGGGCAAGCTCCCCTCTCGCCCGTCATGGACCCGACGTGGGTCGACGCCATGCAGAGGCACAAGCAGCGCAAAGCGAATCCGAAAGCGCATCCGACCGGTCGGTTTCGCAGGAAGCTAGCCAACAACATTTACGGTACGTTAGCTCCTAACGGAAAGAAGCACAAGGCGGCGGCAGGTCTTGTCGTATATCTTGGGACCCGAAAAGAAACAAAAAAGAAAATCAAGCTAACTCGCGACAAACAGCCCAGATGCTCGCCTCCCCGTCCGCAATTGCGCCATGACCCGCACCCGACTCCCCCGCGATTTCCTCCAAGAGTTCCGCCCCGTCCTCGAGCCCACGACCCAGCAGCCCTGGTGGATGCCCGCCGAGATGGCCCGCGAGACCAGCACCATCACCTCCTCCTCTTCCACTTCTTCCTCTTCCCCTCCTCGCTTCCAGAGGGCGCAGTCACCCCCACTCCGACGACACTACCGCCATAGTCAAGGGCAGCCGCGGCCCCGTCGGCTACCTCCTCGCCCACCAGAGCGTCACGACCCCGCCCCCGCGCCAGACCAACTTCCGCCACGCCGTCTCGCGCAGCCTGACGGCCACGAAACCCTGGAAAATGAACCAGATGCCCGGCAACGGGCCCCGTGTGGCGAGACGGCATGAACGAGATCCTGCTCGACATGATGAGGCGCGACGCCGCCGCCGGCCTGCGGGAACTGGCGCGCTTGGTGGACGCCGGGGAGAAGCCGTACCTTGTCCCGCTCAAGGCCTGGGACGAGGTGGACGCGCAAAAATTTCGCGGGTGTCTTCTCTGGTGGGGGCCCGAAGAATCTCCCACCACCGCCGCTGCCGCTGCCGCTACCGAGACAATGGTGGGGGTGAGCCAGAGGTCGCTCCGTCCGACGACTCGCCTTCCTTTTACTCGACCTACGACGTCGAGGGCGTGCGCTTTGGAGCCAAGATCCCCGTCCACAACCTGCGCGTCGTCCTCGGCCCCGCGCACTTTGCCGAGCTGCGCGCCGCATCGCCCATCTTTCGGGACACGCACATGGCGTTGCTCGCGCGGGTGAGGTCGACGAGGGTGCAGAAGCTGTTGTGGCGTATTCAGGGATACATGGCAGTGTGAGTCCCTTGCGCCTCAGGACGTCGTGGAAACAAAAAAGAAGGAGGAGAAGAAATCTTTTTTCCCCCAAAAAGAAACAATGAAACGAACAAGAAAAAGGAATTCGGACAATTGAGCAAGAAGAAGGCGCACGGCGCACGTTTCAAGGGCAGTTTGTGTATAAAAAGATGAAGAGAATGCATTGGCGACTCTACGAATAGATAGAAATCTGATACCCCCCTTCTTTTTCTCTCTTCCTTTGTCCCCCAAGTTTCGTCATCACAAACATAATCTTGCGACAGACATGGATCAACCAGCTCCTTGAAAACACAGAGGTGCGTGGGTCCCCGTGTAAATCGCCGGTCTAGCAACGACCCTTTGGTTTTTGCGTGAGGGGTGTGGTGTACGCGTGCCTCCTGCTCCGATTTCGTCATGCGAAGCTGATGGAGGAGCCGCTGACTGACTCTTCAACAGACGCACACATCCATTTGATCCAACCTCAGACGTCCAACGCGGTACTTTATTTTTTTCTTGTCTCATCTCGCTTTTCTTTTTTTTTTTCCCTCCCCTTCTCGATTTATATAGCTCCTTTCCCCTTCGTCTCTTACTTTCCCTTCACTCTCTCTCTCTCTCCTTCATAGACCCCCTCCCATCTCTAGAATATTAAAAAATACCCCTCAAGAAACCATGTTAGACAACCCCGAAATCATCCAACCCCCGCACCCTTCCCACCCCACCTCCCACCTCCCCATCATCCTCATCCACGACGGCGGCGGCACCTGCTTCGCCTACTGCTGCCTCGACACCGTCCCCCGCGCCATGTACGGCATCCACAACCCCCACTTCTGGTCCGGCGACCCCTGGACCGGCGGCATCCCCGAAATGGCCGCCGCCTACACCAAAATCATCCGCGCCCTCGTCGCCGACCCGGCCTTCCCTTCCCGGCCCCGCCTCCCCGGCGCACCTCTGACTCCTCCAACACCCCGGCGCGGCAGCGGCAGCGACAACAGCGGCATCGTCCACACCCCCGAAAAAGAGGTTCCTCCTCGGCGGCTGGTCCCTCGGCGGCATCCTCTCCCTCCAAATCACCAAAGAACTCCAATCCACCCCGGACCCAGACATCGAAATCGCCGGCCTCCTCCTCATCGACAGCATGTACCCCGTCTCCCTCTCCCCCAACGGTCCCCCTTACGTCCCCATCTCCTCCTCCCTCCCCGCCCTCGCCCCCGGCGCTACCAAGACCCAGGTCCTCTCCCGCGCCTGCATGACCAAGGCCGCCGCCATGCTCCTCGCCTGGACCGCCCCCGTCCTCGCCCACCCCGTGCCCCCGCCGTCCTCATCAAGGCCCGCGACGCCATCCCCCTGGGCCCTCACCCTCACCACAGGTGACGACGGCGTCCAGACCACCACCGTGAGCGCCATCGACACCCACCGCGCCGATCGCGAGCTCGGCTGGGGCCACTACCGCCCCGGCTGGATCCGCGCCGTCTACGACGTCCCCGGCGACCACTTTAGCATGTTTTCCATCTTCAACGCCGAGGCCATGACTCCCGTCGTCGAGCGCGCCTGCCGCACCCTCGAGAGCCTGGCCGAGCGCGCCTAGATTCCCCAAGGTTAGCGTACCACGGGGTTAGACGCAGGCTGGGATGGGCTAGTGGCGGAACAGCCCACCCCCGAGACACGGCTTTTTTATCTCGTGCCGTTGAATAGAGGCGTTCGCCGGGCAAAAGTTAAAATAGACAAGGCCAGTCTGCTTTTCTTCCCGTCCCGGCGCTATCTTTTGTCTCGGCGACGGCCATAGACCACCCGAATTTAGTACCGTTCCTTAAGGCGGGATGTGCTTCAAACCTTTAGACGGAAGAGAGCGAAAATAGGGCGAGAGTAAATGAGAGTCTCCCACCATCTCCTTCGAAGTCATGCTCTCCCCGGCGCTATCCTCTGTCTCGTCGACGGCTATAGACCGCCCCGAATTCCATTCCGTTCTTCAAGCTGGCTGGATGCATTTTTAAGCCTTCACATGTTTCGACAGAAGAGAGGAAAGAAAGCTGAATCTTCCTCGAGATCATGCTCTCTTCGCTCTCAAACATCATCTAGAAACCCAAACTTCCCTCCTCTAGGCCTACAATCCCGCCACAAAATCCTAGAGAGAGAGCTATGAATCTCACGGAGAGACACACCCGCCCACGACTAGATAAACAAAAAAAACAAAAAAACTAAACACTAGACCCAGAACGTTCCCCCATACCGGTAGACAAGCCCCCGTCGAGAAGGAACTGGCTGCACCGTCCTCATAGCTCATATCAAGACATGGCCCGGCGCTATAAAAGATCACATTCCGTGCCGTGTCCGAGATAGGGACCGCCGCGCAAGTGAGAAAATAAGATAAGACGCTAGCCACCAGCCTTCAAAAGACGGATTGCACAAGCGCGAGACATGCCTCTCAATTCGTGGTCACCCGAGAAACGCCCTTTACGAAAAGCACGGCCTAAAGTCGTAGAATCCGCTTGATTATGCAGCGGGTCGTCCTTCTTCGCTGTTCTCATGTTCCAGTCATCAAAACGCAACCGTGTACACCTATCCTAGTTTCGTGAAGAGAGAGAAAAAAAAAAAAAGAATCATGGAAAACGAAACCACCCAATTTCCGAGAACAAGGAAAGCACAGATGAACCAGCCCAAAAGTAAATTTTACATTGCTTTTTCCTCCCTCCGGAAACCTCGGTTGCCCATAGGCCCCCGTCCTGTCCACCCGCTCGTAAAGAATAGTACACACTGCATCAAAATGTTCGCGATTGGGCATGCGGCCTCCGTTTCGCCCGCCCCATCCTCGTCAGATAACTCCACCATAGATACCAAGGTAGTCTCTGACAAATAGTACACATATCGAAATGGGCGTTTCTCACCCCTTCCCCGTATACCCCATTGACGTTTAGTAAAACTCCCTCTTCGCCGGAATAGGCGGTGGTGGCTTCTTGGACCGGCAGGGTGGAGGCGGCGGTGGCGCCTTGCGGTACCCAGACCCGCTACCGGTAGTACTCTTACCCCAGCTGCTGTGGCTAGTAGCTGGGCTCGCGCATCGATCGGGTCCCCATCCAGGGCTGGGACTTCCGCTGTCGGGGGTCTCATCGTCGTAGCCATCGGCGAACACGTTGCTACCTCCTCCATTTCTCGGTGAGGTCGCCACATCCGTATTGATGCGGCCAATGGGGCGCAGCTGGGAGCGCATGTTGCCCACAGGAACCATTTGGTGCGAGGATACTCGTCTCTCGAGTCGCGGCGGAGGTGCTGCCGCAGACGCGCCGCTCGCCACCGAATTGGACCTAGAAAAGGTTTGCGACCGTGTGGGGACCTCGGGCGGCGGCCTTCTGGCAGGCGCGGCGCGGAACGAGGCCATGCGCGAAGGGGAGGCTCCGAATCTTCGTACTCCTCTTCGTAAATCTGGCCCCTGCTGACCGGCTCACTGTAAGTGTGACCCAAGGCAGGCCGGGACCTTCGAGGCGAGAGTGGCGCGGGTGTACGCTGGGACCCGGCACGCGAAGGAGGGCCCGACGAGTGTGAGTAGCCGCCAGCACTAGGAGTGGCCGTCATGATTTCTTCCCGGGCGCGGCGCAGCTCGTCGGCACAGCGTTCGTGGAAATCTAGTTGGGCATCCAAGAAGGCGGAAAGCTCGCGTAGGCTATCGGATTCGGCCTCCTTGATGTCCTGCATACGGCGGAGAACGTCTTCGTTGGCCTCGTCAAACTTGGCTCGGGAAGAGCGAGCTTCTTCCTCCAGGCGGAAATCTTCGCGCTTGGAGCGTTGAGCCTTGGTCGTGCTCGTATCGTAGGCCAAGCGGCGGGACTCGAGCTTTTACGGGCAGCCTGTACAAGAGGGGGTGGGGCGTATGAGCACTCTGAGAGAGGGCGAGGTCCGGTATGCCAAAGGGAAAGCAAAGGAGGAAATGCTTACCTGGTAATCTTTCATCATAGCGAGGGATCGGTTTAGGGATTCAAGCCATGTGGCAGTAATGTCAGAGGTATACTGCTCTTGGATACTTGCGATTCGTTCATTTGTTCGTCCGACAGCTTCAGGGTTGCATGCGAGTTAGCCACTTTTGCGGCGTCGACAACTGGGAGCGAAAAGTCCTTACCAATCAAAGTGTTGCCGTATTCGGAGTCGCTCTCAAAGTCCTCGCCGTGGCTCATCATGGTCCTGCCAAGATAGCTTCCGGGTAGGCCCTTTTCCTTGTCGTCCAAGACCTCTGTGCGGCGGCCGGCCCATTTGACGTAGGCCGTAGTGGAGCGGTGGAGACGCTCGGCTCCGTCGATTCGCAAGGCCATTTCTGTCTCGAGCATCTTGAACTCGTCCGAGTGGCTCGTCCTGGCCTCGCCGCCCATCTTCTCGCCGGCCCAGTGGAAGGCGCGGTCGAACTTTTGGTGATCTTCATTTTGGTGGTTGTATGGGTTGTATTGCTGTGGCTCTTCTGTTGGATCTTGCGACCCTCGACCAGGGTATCAAACAATATCTAGGCGAGTCTCCTAGACCGAAAACGTGATAGGCGTTGCTGAGTGCACTGATGTCGTCTTCCTAACCATTCGCCTCAGGCTTCGAGTGTTGTCGAAGAAATAGTAAAAGGGAGATGTGTGTTCAATACGGGCAGCGCCCTTGGCTTATATTGCCGGTCGGCTATTACACAATAAGGGGAAACGGCGTTGCGGTTGCCGGGTAATGTTATGTTCTTCTCGGCCGTCGTCCTAGCTTGAGTCTCGTGCGCCGAAAGACAGGGAAACCGGGAACGTCCCGAGTAGCAGTTGAACGCGAGGAATTGGTGGCAAAAGAGGCAACGCAAGAAGCCTGTAGAGGGTGCGTACGGACAGGTCTTCTATTAATTTTCTCCCTTGATCTTTTTGTTTTATTGTGATAACGACCGAGATGACTGATGAAAGAATGAGCGCATGTATGAGACAGGGCTTGAGGATGGAAGAAGTGAAAGTGAAACAAATGGGGAACCAAAGAAGCGTCCCAGGCCCGGATGAGACAATGATTGGGAAAGAACAAGCGGAAGTATAAAAGGGACGAGGATAATACAGAGAGATTGTCTAGAGAGAGAGAGAGAAAAAAGCAAATGGTAGGGATAGGACAGGGCACGCATGGGTCGAGAGGGACGGAGGATAAAATAAGGTGCAAAGTGCCAAGACGGGAGTTGATGGGGCTTCGATCGAGAGGGACCAAGGTTTTGGGCGATCCAGGTACGCCCGATGGCCAAAGCAGGGAGGGGGGAGAGGGGGAGCGTATTATTACAATTATGAGAGAGGACAGACAGCAAGAGCAAAAGAAGATCTTCTCTCGAGTGTGGGACACGGGCAAAGACAAGGGAGCCAGGGTAGATGGGAAGTGGAGCTTTGAGGAGGTGGCAGAGGGCGGCAAACGAAGAGATGGGGCTTACCTGGCAGAAACAGGACGAGACGTTTGGGAAAGGAGAAGCTCGGGCCGGGAAGCAGTGTGCGTCAAAGCTAGATTGAGATTGGGATTGAGGTGGTCTAAAGGTGGCCCAAAAGCCGGTTGGTGCTTCGCCGATCACTCGTGGAGATCGATCGAGGACAGCGCAAGAGGACCAGAGGTATTTCGAATATTAGTAGAAGAGCAGAGGGGAGGTTGCTCAGCGTCGATCACGGCGGTTGGCGGGAGATGAAAGGGCCCTTTGAATATGCCTTTCCTCGCTCTTCCTCGACACGGACGAATATTAGAGCTTCTTTGAGTTTTTGGAGACGCTCTCTCCACTGTAGTTGTTCTGGGCCTCGCGTTATTCTTTTGTTTCTTCTCCCGTCTTCTTTGTTGGCGACGACGATTGGGACGAGGCTCGTGTAAGCCACCGTGTGTGGCAGGTGGACAGGGGCGGGTGGACAAACAGGTTATATTACGTGCAGGAGAAGGCGGCACGCATAGCTCTCGATGCAGAGGTTGATTCAATGAGCCAGAGATGATCAGGCCTTGACACGCAGTGACGGGACGGGCTTGGTAGACAGAGAGCAGCGTGGATACTAATATCGAAGGCAACGTGGAGGGAGAGGGAGGTGGGGAGGGAAAACGGGCTGATAAATGAATTCAAAGTACAGAGGTACTGGGATTGGGGATGAACAACAACCAGACAACCGGACAGTGATTAAGTGGCAATATTAACGACCCAGGAAACCAACGCTTTGCTTGACTTGTTTCCCCAATTCAAGTCTTGCACTCTCTCCCCATTGGGACCGGGGAGGGGTTTTGATCAGCGGACCGATAGTTATGTACCTGTTGAGGGCGAATGAGGAAAAGTAGTGGCTGGCTGTCGAGGATGAGATACTTAATACTCGAACGCACTTGGTCCTGGGGTGGAAACAACGAAAAGCGGCCGACAGTGGTGCGACGGCTTTGCCATCTATGGCATCTATGGAGAGGGTCGTTTTCTCATCTGGTGTCGAATTGAACGATGAATCCCTGTCGTTCGCTCGATAAGGTCGCAACGATGAGACAATTGCTAATAATACTCTGCTGTACATGCTGATCGTCGTTGCCGCCGTAGCACGCCTCGAGAATGGGTCTATTCCAGGTACCTGAGCAAATTCCACCACCCTCCTCTGAACATCACCACCGTCCTTGTCCCCATGTGCTGCGTTCCTCTGCGATGCAGGTACTTTGCAATGATGGGGAATCCGACCGGGAGTCATAGTCACTACCTCCCCCACATGATGAAAAGAAAAAGGAGGAAAAAGAAGAGTCAAGATAGGAGCGCACGATTGGCCCTGCGAAAGACACCAGGAGAAAAAAGGAGGGGCCTGGTGTGCTTGAAAATCCTCTCAACAAACCAGCTCGTCGGCATCGGCATATTGCCTGAAAACTCTAGCTTGCGCCGATGGCAGGCGTCGGCCTACTCTATCGGTGGGGGAGGAGATATAGGGAGAAGAAAAAAGAAGAAGGGGGGTAGCCGCGAATGTGATGGAGATGCACCGAAAGGGGACTAGTAGGGCAAGTCGCAACGAACGAACAAAGGCAACCCCACACGAGATCGTTTTTCCGTTCCTTCAACTGGAGGAGGAAAGACGCCTGGATCTTGTGTGCTCCATCCTGAGATGGGCTCCTTGGTGTGAGCATCGGAGCACCTTGGCCACTCGTCAACCACCGGCTGACACTTGCGGTGACGGCCGCACCAACGCTTCAACGGGGCGCCGACCGAGCAGGACGGCGACTGCAGGTCCAATCGCTGCTGATGGGTACACACCCACATCCGTCGCCGGACTAAGCCTCCGGGCCACAGCGTACGCTTTGTTCCCCTTTGAACTTTGACAATCAGTGATCGAGGTCGGCATGAGAATTGCGAGAAAAAGACAGAGAGAGAATGGAAGGGACAAAAAGAACTACCACAAGAAGCGCAAGAGTCAATTGATTGCCCACCCGCTCGACCTCACCATCGTTCCTTCTTCGTCTTTCACTCACACCTCCGTTCAGAGGGGGCTGAAGGGAAGGTACAACTCGCTTGACTTCTTTCCTCGCAACGCACCTCGAATCACCGTCGCAGACACGCCCTTTTTTCATGTAAGGCCGCTTCTCCTTTTGACACGGCATGCAAGACGAGTGCAGCGCACCCTCATGCACCAGTTCAACGCCAAGTTCAGCTAGATCTCCGAGTCCATTCCCATGATCTACTTGAAAATTGGCCATCGTGCTAGAGAAGAAAAAAACTGAAGTGGATGCATTAGCCCGCTCCAGGAAAAAACGCGAGTAAGCAAGCTAAGGATGCAATGTTTCTCCTCCCCTCATCTTGTTCCCCCATCCCCACCATCTCCCACCATCTCCCACCCCCAAATCGAGTTCTCCCCACATCCCCATCGGCTTAATGGACACTTGCGCCGATAATTCAATCCTTCTGAGAAACCATCCACCGTCAAGTTTGACTCGCCATGCATACGATGGTTGGCGGGAAAGGGTTGCGAAAAGTGACTCGATATGTCACCTCTTGATCACTCTCGGTTCCTCTCTCTCTCCAGGTCCAGGTCTCCTCTCTCCCAAGCAAAGGGATACCTTTCTATCACCGGCTGACCTCGTTTTGGGTGTGTTGAGCAATTAGTGCTGGCTTCCGAGATTAACCTCGCACCACGCACCACACCACTTTGCCCAAAGATGTGCCCAGAGGATACCATGCTCAACATCGCCAGGCTGTCTCTCAGCCAACCTGCTCCAAGTCCCCGAATGCTCATGTTCGTTCTCAGCATCGACCTCTACATTCAAACGCCTTAGAATTTGATATCACCCACTGATCAGCTCGAGATGGCAACAGCCCTTCATCGATGTACATCTACATGAAAAGTAGTAATGGTCGACAGTCGAAACAGACGCAGACTGTCGTCTCCACTCGACCTGAAAATAGAAACCCCTCCAAGCTGTCAACCAACGCTGGCCCCTCTCTCGAATGATCGCCACACGCCACCCAATAGCGCTTCTCCCAACAAAACATAGTTGACCAGTTGCCAGTACATACCCCCACCTCTTTTGAGCAAGAATCCATCCAGAAAAGCTTCATCCAACTCTATCCACTCTTTTCTCTCGCTAGCATCCCCTGGGTCCCACTCGATCTCTATCGACTCTCAATTGTGAAGCGACCCCTGGATCGCATGGTGGCGCGCCCGTTCCAAACTCAAATCCTCAGACCCAACCGACCGCCGCGGTTCAAATCGATGGGCCCCTCCCCTTTTTTTCTTTTCAGCCGGTTCCTGTGGGAGACGGCCCAGTATCAATTCCCGTGGATTCGAGTTTGAGGCGTAATTGACGTATCCAATCTGGCGGGACTCGTAGGAAACATCAATGCCCTGCAAGCGAAGAGTGAAAACTGAAGCCGAGGAAATGGATCTTGACGCCGACCTACCACTATTTCAATGTAATATTCTAAAGCCGCTTCCCTTCCAGCCATGCGGCCATTCACCCTAAACCCCGCCCACCGTGTCACCACTCCGTACACTACACACTTTTGGATTCGTCTCCCCATCTCATTGATGAAAAGAGCAAATTGTACACGAGGCCAAGGTGTTCAGGCCCCATCTGCCAAACTAGCCCTGAGGCCCGACAAGCTTCACTTTTTTCTTTACGAGCTGCCCGTGCTCGCAAATACAAGTATTATGGGGTCCCCTCCTCGCATGGATCAATTCGCAGCTTCATCAATACTGTCTGTCCATCCGTCGCGATCGGGGCCAAGCCCGCCCCTTCTAACACCGGCCCCCGCCAAACGCCGCCGATGAGGCTGCACAGCCTCTGGAGTGGGGTTCGCCTGTCCATGTGTCCATCCCCCCTTTCTATCCCACACCAGTGTTTGAGACTCTTCAACAGTGCTAAGCTGGCCTTGCCCTTTTGGCGTCAAGGAGGGAACAAATCCGTCAGCGCATTGTTATCCTGCCGCTTGACTGGATCCAGGGACTACATGTACGCGTATTAAGCACTGCCCAGTTTCATCCCAACAACCTTCCTTGGTTTAATAGGCCATTGGCCGCCTTTTCTTGCCGTGCCCGTTCCAAGATTTTTTTTTTTTTTTTAAACAAAGGGTTGTACGCGTCCATGATCCACTCTCCGAACCGCTCTTTGCGTTGATTCATCCATTGTCACTACGAGCACCTGTAGATCAGTTTGGATCTCCGTGAATGCCATGATGCCTTTGTATTGTTGAATCTCATCTGTATTTGCTCTCTTGGGACATCAGAGAACCGGGGAGGGACTCTTCAATGCTTCGTTATTCAAGTGACACGCGAAAAGCCTGCCTCAATCATATGTCCACGACGCAGCTCAAGTCCTCACCTCCCCTTTTCCGTACCCGCCCAACAGTATGCTCTCCCCTTGTCTGTGAGACCGGCATATCATATCTAGGCCCTCTCCGCCTTTGTTCCTAGCCTGCCTTCTCGACTTCAAGCCTCCGAGCCAAAATCGATGCAAAGTGGGGAGATTAGAAGAGGTGGCCATCGGCCAGAAGAGCGGAAGGGGAAAAGAAAAAGAATAACAAAGAGTAGCCGAGGATGAGTGGGTAAAAAGCAAAAGTAACAACAAAATCAAACCCGGCGAGTCCCTTGTGCCTTGGTCCGTCTTAATCATGCGCTCTATAACCATATTTCGTGTGACCCTGTTGATGCAAGCTGTGCAGAACCTCCTCGCCAACCTTCCTACTACTCCGTCTCCTAGTGGCCGTGCAATAAAACAGGAATCGTATCTATCAATCTCGTAAAAGCAGCCATGCTGTACACAAATTCTCCATTCTTGCCCTCCCATTTCACGCTTCGCAAAGCAGCAGGGAACCTCGTCACAATTTCGCATCTGATGATAGACGCAACTGGATCCTTATATCCCGGACTTATAGCCCAGACTCGGGTGTGCCTTGGGGACTTGGCGCTTGGCCGATGATGGGGAGCATATGCCCAGGCGGGGCGACCGGCGCTGGAGGAGGCGGGGAGGCGCGGCGGTCGCGTTGTTAATGTCTAATTCGGTTCCGTCAAAGCCTCCCATCACATCGCCATCTGCATCCTCCACCGCCTCAGCGTCTGCGGCGGCGACCCATGGGACGACACCATTGGCATGGTTAGCAACGGAGGGGTAGGGGTGCTGATGTCGTCGAGTCGACTCCCGGAGATTCTCGTACTCCGATGCCGTATTGAGGTAGTCTCGCAACTTATGCACGCAGTTGCCCGAGAACACGCAGAATACCTGTCTTTGATGCTCTGTAAACTCGCGCGGCGCTTCTCGCCCATACTGCTGGAACTCTTCCCTCAAGAACGCCGCGACTCCAGTCAAACTCAGGTGCGTTAGCCGCGGGCACGCATTTAGAAGACGGATAATGCTCTGTAGTCCATTGTTAGTAAACTCGTCTTCGCTGTATCGTCGCCAACGTTATTCGCGTGGGTTCCTTACCTTCAACGTCAGGTTCAAGCAGTAGCTAAGATGGACCCGCTCCAAGCTGGACACGTAGTAGTCGGGACCGAGACCGCCGTTGCGCGACCGCGAGTGTTGGCGACGCGCCAGCGCAATTACCGACTCATCCGTAATATTGCTGCATTTGACCAGTCCGATACGCTTAAGCTTCGGGAGGGTTGCGAGTCGCGTGACCGAGTCGTCTGTTAGGTTTGTGCAACACCCGAGATCAATGTACCGAATGCGATTGCAGCACTGTACGAGATGCTTGACGGCATCGTCCGTGATCTGCCCGCAATGTCCAAGGTGAATGTAATGCAGATTCTTGCCGAGCTTGGAGATGGCGTACACAGATGCGTCAGTGATGTTGCGGCACTTGGCCAGCACAACATTGCGAAGTTTAGGGGCCACTTCCATGATCTTTTGTACCGCAGCATCCGTGATGCGCGCACAGGCTGTGAGGTCGAGAATGCGCAGGTTTTCAAAAGTCCGGTTCGAAGGAAGCGAGAGGAATGCGCTGTCGCTGATCAGTTCGCAGTTGGCGAGGCGAAGCTCTCGAAGAGCCCGCCCTTGTAAGAAGAGCGATGTGATGGGTTCGTTGGTGATGTTGAGACACTCGTGGAGATCGATTTCGAGGATATTGGGGCAGTGGTCAGCGAATGCCTGGATCGCGTCGTCGCGTAGTTGGTGACATCCGTTCAATTTAAGCTAATGCAAATCAGTATCCTGTAGAATAGGGCCTCCTTACTACAAAGAGTGAAGAGGAAAGGAAAGAAAAGAAAAGAAGAAAGGAACGGGAAAAGGCATACCCGCTTGATATAGCGACAGCTTTGCGCGAGCTCAATCATGCTTTCATTTGACACTCTTTGGCAACCGGAGATATTGAGTCCCTGTAGACGTTTGCAATGCCTAGCGACTGCCAATATCGTCTGCTCCGTAATTTGCGAAAGACCTGTGATGTCAAGGGCGTGGAGGGAGGTATTGTTTTCGACGAGGGCCATGACGCCCGTGTCGTGAAGTTGGTGACAGTTGGTCAGCGTAAGCCGCTCAACTCGGTTGCAAATGCCTAGGGGCATAACACTGCCATCGTTTAAACTTTCGGAAAGTGCGGCTAGATTCAGGCGCTTGATGAACGAATGGTATAAAAGTAAGGGTTTGGGTATGCGTCGCTCTGCATCGCCTGGCAAATGATTTTGAACTTGGGCCACGACGAGCACAGGGGTCGATGCCAAAGCAAATCAACGGCATTGCGAGCCCACCTCTTACAAGTGAGCATACACTGGAGGACCTCACTAGGCTTCTCGAGCTTAGCAAATATGCCGATGAGGATCTCATTTGGTAGGTGGTGGATCGGGGGCTGAGCGACATCGTCATCTGGGGACGCATCGCGAACGTTCATCCCCTGTATATTAGGAACACTTAGAGAGGTCTCGGAGTCATTATTAACCATGAAGAAGTCGGATTCTTCGTTGTCGGCCGCGAGCGGCGAGGAGATTGTGGACGAGGAGTTGGAGGTTTGATCGGTGGCGTCGGCGCCCGAGTTCGAGTTCGAAGTCGCCGCCATGACGTCTAAAGAGGGCGCTGCAGGTCTCATTATGAGGGCGTTCGCGACATTAGGGTATTATATTGCGTGGGGATGTCGTTGCGTAGACCGTGTCGTCGCTCAGTCGGTATTCCGAAAGATGCAAATTGGGTTGGCAGCCTTGGAGGGGCCTCGTGGTTGGGCAGATGGCGCGAGATACTCGACGGTGAGCCGCTTTAGGGTGGCGGGTGGGGAGCCAGGTGCGGTCGCTAAGAGCACAGGACTGTGACCAGACAGCCTGTTAGAGAGGGGAAAAAGGAATAACAACACGCTTCTGAGTGTGATTATATTTCGATGAAGTAGGATGTGTGAAGCGAGGATATCAAGGGCAGCGATTAAGGTGTGGTTGCTGGGGTTTGGCAGTGCGGCGACAGGACGAAACTTGCCCAACTTGAGCGTAATGCAAAGAACCACAACAAGGACAAGGCGCCGACCCTGGACGGGACAGTGGGAAGGAGCACTGGGGTGATGAAAACTTACTGAATCACTGCTGGTGAATCATGCGCAGGACAGTATATTGATCCTCCTACGCACGGTCAGGTGCGCAGCGGCGCGGGGCGAAATCGCAGACCAATGCACGAGGAATGCACTGGAAGAACGGGCACAGGCGACCTTTTACGCGTCGCCTCGACTCGCCTCGTTTCGAGGGCTGCGGACCACCGATGAAGGCCGAAAAGAGTATCGAAATCCCGAGTTTTCGGGGTTTGTGCCTGTTGCAGAGTCAGCTCAATAAATTTTGCTTCATAGGCGTCGGGCGCTTTGCCACCTGAGCAAGGGTGAGATCTCAGCGGGGGTAATGGGGAAGCTCTTGATAGAGCGGATCTGGAGGGACAGGGCAGTGGCTGGGCTGGCCAAGGTCATCAAGACTATTTTCCAAGGAAACATGGTGTGGCTTCGTCGATAGGGAATGGGTGCGCTCTTCAGCTTGCGCTTACCTTGAACTGGTTTTTGACCTCTCTCAACAAAATTCAAACGAGTCCAAAGTTCTCTCTGGAGGGGAAGCGAAGACGTTGGATAGAGCCCTGGAGGTGACAGCTTTTTGCATTGATTAAATGCTGGCTGAGAGATCAAGAGAATCGTTCTAGGTTGATGTGATGGAGAGAGGGAGGTGGGAATGGAGGGAGGGGAGGGGTATGTGGTACTTAAACCCAAAGGGTTAATTCCTGGGCGGCTTAAGGTATGCGGTACATGACCCCACTGTTACCATCGAGTCAGCTTTCCCTTCACAATTCAAGAATGTGATAGCAAAGCGGTGGTAATATCAAGGAAGGAGCTGCCAATGTCCAGCGCACTACTATTATTCGCCCAGGCTACGGCCATGGGCGAAAAGCTGATGCTCGCTTCCTGCCTTAGAACCCAAGCTCCCCGCCGTTCCCTAGGATGTGCGAATCCCGTGATAACATCCCACTGTCATTGCCTACGCTGCCGTCCGTCCTGGCCGTGCGCTGTCTGGCTTCAACCTCACGACCCATGGTCACCCGCGCCGTTGTCACAGATGAGGAACTAGCGTGGCGCCGCCTGCAAGCCCTATCGCCCCAATGGCTCCTCACAACTCCCTCTTCCTTTTTCCCCTCTGACTGCGGCCAAGGACGGAATAAACGGTCTTGCTAATATTATTAAGTATACCCAAAAGGGAGATAAAGAATGGAGATAAAGAATGGAGTAGAAATTGCCCAAGGGAAACAGAGAGAAACTAAAAACATCCGAGTGGCCAACGCGCAGGCCACCAACTTAATGCCCCAACCGTCGGTTGTTTTTAGTAACGCGAAGTTGCATCCTGAGTGAATGCATCCTACCTCGCAAACGAGAATGCAGATGACACAGCCGCACCATGGTGGGAAGACAAGATGGTCATGGAGGGCGAGCTGATGATAGGACCTTTTGGAGACAGCGTGATGTGGTTTGCTCGGCCGGCTCTTCCTTCACAGCGGATATGTATTTACACAAGTTATTTTAAGCACACTCAGACAAAAGGCGCACAACAACACCGTGCTGGTACATCCACACGAGCACGTGGCGACAGCCTGGTTCGTTGACCCTTTTACCTCGACTTCGAGTGACAGTTGTGAATCCCCGCTCCAGTTCAGGCAATGTTGATAGTTCTTGAACTAGGTGGTGGTGAGATCTCCCAACTAGACGTGAAACTTCCCGGCTCCAGCGTCGTCTGAGTCACTGCGTGTGTGCTGGGGCAAGGAGCTGCATTAGACAAGGACGGAGCCGATGTGATGGTGACGACTTGCGTCCTTCTAGGCGCTTAAGGATAGGGCTGTTGGGCCAGTCATAGAGTGAGAAGCCTGCACCCCGCTGGGGACCGGGAAATGGCGTCACACCCTCCAGCCGACTTGGTCGTGAACCAACAGGCATGTGCTGCAGGTAGGCGGTCCGTCGCAGATTTCCCTCACGCAAATAAGAGTTGCCACAATCAAAGCTAGCGAGTGTCTCTATCGAAGAGCCCCAGTTGATTATCAATGCCATGCCATTCGAAGTTTCCCCTTTGTAGCTATTACTGGATGGATCTGGATCCATCCATTAGAGATGCCTACTGAGATCAATCAGGGATGACCAACAAGGCGATGCTTATAAGCTCGGAAAGAAGCTGAGTAATGCACTTTCGTCCACACAGACCGTCGGGCTGGGCAGACGAACATGCGCACGTGATCGCCACGACGGATTCGACTGCCAGGCACCTGGGGAAGCTGGGGGAGAACTTTTGAGTGGTGGGGCGTCTGGAACTGGCCCTGAATTCTCATGGGTCAGTTCTGACGTCGTTGGAAAACTCCTGCAACCTCTACATCAGGCCATTTGAAAGCTCTCCACGGTTCTGCCAGCTCTCCCATCAATCTCGAGCCCAGGCCCTACCATTAGCGTTCAAGGCAATTCCATCTCTGGAAAACTTTCCCTTTATCATACAGAATTTGGACTTCACAATTCGCAAGGCCACCATCAGACGATCGAATTAGCTGGTTCCTTGTCAAGCGCATCTTCCGCTCGTTGATTATGACCTTCTACCTTCTTTAATCGCGTAATTCCGTTCACCACGACATCCCAATCCTCGACGGATCAATTATTCTCCTCATGTCTACTCGAGCGCTTCTCCGACCCCTCGCGCGGGGCATCCCCGGCTCGCCGGCAGCTAGACTCGCTGGCCGCCGGACCTTTGCCCTCAGCGCCCCCACCCGCCGTGCCACCGATAATCTCAACATCAAGAAGCTGTCCGATCAGCGAAGCAGCTATGAGCGGGACCGCATGGCCTTCCTCGCCGCCGGTGCACTCGCTGGCGTCGTTGGCATCATTTACACCTCACTGAAGCTCAAAGATGCCCTAGCCAAGGAACGCGGGGACAAGACCACCAAGATGGACACCGGCAAGGTGCCCACCGAAACCTTCACCGTTGACGGCGGAACCAAGCGCAAGGTCGTCGTACACGACGCCGACGGAAACGAGATTGTCCCCACGGGGAACTCCACCGTCCCGACCTTTCCTCGAACCATCGACCTGTCCCAACTCTCCGGCTCGCCAGACGCGCCCCGACTCCCCGCCACTACCCGCGATGACATCAACACGGAGTATACCCTCGTCGGCCTTGGTCTGCGGAGCGTCACCTTTCTCGGCATACAGGTCTATGTCGTGGGCTTTTACGTCGCGACTGCCGATATTGCCACGCTGCAAAATTACCTGGTGAAGAGGGTGAACAAGCTTGCTACGACGCTCGTGTCTGGCGAGAAGGACGAACTCCGCGCTGCGCTATTGAACCCAACCGAGGGTGAAGAAACGTGGGACACTCTGCTCCGACAGTCGGGCGTTCGAACGGTTTTGCGAATTGCGCCGGTTCGTGACACTGACTTCCCCCACCTCCGAGACGGTTTTATCAGGGCTATTGCCGCGCGGTCGCAATCCAACCCTGCATACAACGACGACGCTTTTGGTGAAGCGATCCGCTCATTTAAGAGCCTTCTCCAGCGCGGCAAGGTTCCCAAGGACCGTGAGCTCTTGCTCTGCCGCGATGCCCCGGGCCGACTCATTGTCTTGTATGATGACAAGACCGGCACGGGTAGGGTAGAGATTGGCAGGGTGGTGGATGAGAGGCTGTCGAGGCTTCTCTGGCTCAACTATCTTGCAGGAAGCAAGGTTGCGTCGGAACCCGCCCGGCAGAGTATCATCGATGGGATCATGGAGTTTGTAGAGAGACCTGTCGGCACTGTTGCTGCGCAAGTCGTATAAAGTCACTTAGGAAGTAGTAGACGGGGCCCCATTGGAGTCGGGCGGCGAATTGTCTCACGGCAGTTCTGTATGACATCTCTTGTCGAGCTTTTGTGTATTATAATATCATGTTCTTGTAGAGGATAGAGGATGGATAGGCCTCCTTGGCTGATAGATACAGGAGGGCTCCTCGCCACTCTTAATGAAACACAACGGCCATGACCTTCACCCTCGATCTAAAGGTATTCCGAAAAGATAATCTAGCTATATAGGTAGTCAGGACGCAAGGGTCCCCATCTTCTTGAAGTCAAGGACTTAAAGCTTCAAGGCATTCGCCTCACGGAGGAGCTTCTCGAGCTCGCCCCTCTTGAGGAGATCTTGGAGGTCAGAGTTGCCACCAATATGCTTCTGCTTGATGAAGCTGTTGGGGACGGTACGCTGACCGCTGACTGACTCGAGCGCGTCTTGGAGCTCGGCGCCATCGGCTGGGTACGGTCAGCTTCAGAGTCATGGCAGGGGTAAAATAGGTTGATGCAAGAGGGAGGACTTACGAAGCTTGTCAAGCTCGTGGACGGTGAACTCAGCACCTAGCTTCTCAAGAGTGCTCTTGGTCGCCTTGCAGTAAGGGCAGTACGACTTGGAGAAGACCACTGTTGTTATGCGATGACACGCACACGTTAGCATGGGCCTAGCTTCGTCGGATGAGGAATGACGGGTATTAGGACCCGCCCCGCATCAGGTAGGATGCACCGTAATCCCGGGAGCATGCAGAGCTGACGGAGGGGGTGAAGCGCACTGGGAGCCGGGGTCAAAGGTTGTAAGATTAAAAAATTCAACATACCAACATCGTTCTGGTTGATGAGGGATTGGACTTTGGTGGTAGCTTCGGCCATGTTTACTGGTGTTCTAGCACTGGACGAGAAGATGCGGCGAAAAATGGATGACATGGGTGCGGGAGGGAGAAGGAGAAGAAAAAGAGGAGAAGTAGAAAGAAATATAAAGGGAAAGAGGAGCCCGATTACACAAAAGGAGGGGTCGAGCTGTTGACGTGCTAGTCCTGACGATCAATAATCGAGAGAAGGCGAAATCCAATTGCACTTGCAGGACGGTTGGTAATTCAATTTTGCTCTTAGAAATCAAACAATACAGTGGAGGTCTCTTTTTTTCCTGTTCGGCGAGGTTCGTAAAGTGTTGGTCTGTCCTGCAGGGGAAAAACCAACAGTTCTCTAATTGCTTGGGGGTCGGAGTATTTTACTGCCAAAAGATGAGAGAAGTGACACAAGTGATCTATTATGACGGAGCTTCCGAGGTCGTCACCCGAGCAGGCTCAGAGAGGCGTAAACCATCAATGATGATTTACTGCACGCCCCGATGCGCTAAATCACGTGAATATAGAGTATTTCGTCTCGATGGCCGCTGAGAGGCGTTGCACTCCATGCATTCCAAAAGGTGGCCCCTGACAACGATGGATCGTCGAGCCGAATGGAGTATTGTTCTGGAAGGGGTAGAGCAATGGATCTATGGATGGGTGCTTGATTCGGGGATACCGTTCAAGTGGGGACTGATGCTCGTCTAGCGAGAGATGACCTCCCATGCTTTTGGACGTCTTTCGCTTGCTCCTGCACGGCCACATGAGATTAATCAAGTCGTCATCGCCTCTATCCGAGTTGCAGTCATGGGTGAGGATAAGGATAAGGACCTTGATCAATTGATATTACCTATGCCTGTCGATACCTCGACATTCGCTCTCTATCCTAACGTAAGGGGTAAAAGTGACCAAATGTCTAATGGCAAACTCCCATCCCGGACGTCCGCCTCCCCTTGTTGACTTGTCGTGCCGGCCCAATCAAACATTTTACCAGCAGCAGGAGGCCGAACATGCATGATCGACATGCGAAGAGCTGAGGTTCAAGCCACGAGCCAAAAGGCATAAACTATTGACATCTTAGCGGATGTGATTGGGGTCTCTACGCTTCCGCGATCAAGTTAGTCAGCGGCTCCAGTCGCTTGATGAGCCAGGCCAGCCAGTCTGGGTCGTGCCTGCTGCATGGTGCCCCGCCATTTTGGTGGCTCAATGCGGCCCTCATGTCACAGGTTCCTCGAGGACAGCTTCAAGCTAAAACTCTTTGTCCCTCTCCTTCCCGTTCCTTGCATCCCCTTCCGAAACTGCGTCGTCGGCGCCTGCGCTTTTGTGTTTGCTGCACGTATCAACAGCTTTTTCAACCCACAACCAGGACTCTCGCTTCCTCCCGCTTCTTCAACCATACTGAGCCCTCTACTCTAACAGGCACCGCCACTCCTCTACGTCATTCGGGCTTGCCCACCCCGAGCGACTCAGCAACATGCGTACCTGCTACCTCGATCTCAGCCAACGTTGTGCCCCATAGCACCATTATCCTGCTTTTCCCGGGAGGAAAGAAGAGTTCTTTTCTTCAAATCAGTCGTCCGCCGTTTTCTTTCCCCTCCCCCACCTCTCCCTCTCGCAAGCGCGCCCGTTTCCTCCACGGCCTTCTCATCCGTCGTTATTTTCCCCCTTACTCTCCGCCTCCGCCATGCCCTCCGAAGCGGGCCCTGCCCCCTCAGTCCGCTCTTCCCACCTCTCCGATCCACCCGAATCGACGCACACTAGCACGCCCCAGTCGCTCGCCCGCGCCGTCTACGACCGGCGGTCCGAGTATGTGCGCCCCCACAAGATACGAATTAAGATAGGCACCTGGAATGTGGCCGCCTGCCCCGGGACGGATAAGGACCTTTCGGCCTGGTTCGTCGACGGCAAAGGAGTCGACCCCGCCCTCTCTGCCGTCCTGAACGCGAAAGACTCGAATAACGCCCCGACGGCGGTTGCAGACCCTCCCACCGACGAGGGAGACGAGCTGAGGCTTGTCGGGGGCGATAAAATTGGATTGTACGTCCTAGGACTACAAGAGGTTGTGGACCTTAGTCTAGCCAAAGAGGCATATAATCGCGTGTATTCGGACAACAACCCGGTAGATAAATGGCGGTTGGCTCTCGAGGCCGCCATGCCCGACGGTTATCAGCTGGTTGTGGCTGAGCAAATGTCGGGCATCCTCCTCCTTATATACGCCTCGCCCGAGGTCATCACGACGATTAGCGACGTGAGCACGGTACAAGTAGGTACCGGCCTTCTGGGTTACATGGGAAACAAGGGCGCCATATCCTCCCGCTTAGTCCTTGGAGAAACCACTCGGATGTCCTTTATAAACTGCCATCTGGCTAGCGGCCCGGAGCAGACCTACCTTGAGCGACGCTGCTGGGACGTAGCGCAGGTTCTCTCCCGCACCCAGTTTGACCCTATACACTCCCCAGGCACCGCCGAGACCGACGCGGAGAAAATCGGAGATGAAGACTTCGCGTTCTGGTTTGGCGATCTTAACTTTCGCGTAGATGGTATCCCTGGGGATGACATTCGTCGGTTACTATGGCTTCACACTCAGGGCCAGTATGACTTGTCAAAGAAAGCCGACTCATCACTTGATGAGGGTGTGATTGTTATGAAACCGGAGGGGAGCGGCGGAGATGACGAGGTCACGGACCGAAGCGTCAGTCCGTCTCCCAATAGCAGCTTTTCCGGGACCGAAGATACATCCCTTCCCGACCCAGACGACTTTATACCCGATCCGCACGAAGACCCGGCCTCACTTCAAGCCACTATTGACTCGCTCCTGCCGCACGACCAGCTTGGGCGCCTCATCCGGCAGAAGAAGGTGTTTCACGACGGCTGGAGGGAGGCCGACATCACCTTCTTGCCCTCTTACAAGTACGATGTTGGCACGATTGGCCTGTTTGATTCAAGTGAAAAGAAGCGTGCACCCAGCTGGTGCGATAGAATTCTATACCGTACCCGTCGAGACCTGGAATCCCATAAGCAGAAGGAGAAGGATGCGGAAGAGGCCAAGAAAAGAGATGAAGAGCTCAAGGCCAGGGGCATCGACCAGGCGGCGGAGGATGACGACGTGCTGTTTTCGTACGATCCCGATGCCGATGGCCAAAATGCGCAGTCCTCCACGACAGAGTTTGATTACGACGAGTATGACGAGTACGACGAGGATGCCCAGGCAGGAGACGAGGTGGTAACTAAGGCGGGATACACCGACCACATACATATGGACATGTACACTTCGCACCAGCGAATCACTTCGTCGGACCACAAGCCTGTAGTCTCCATCTTCACCTTAGAATACGATGCTGTGGTTCCAGAGCTCAAGGCCAAGGTTCACGCCGAAGTAGCCCGCGAACTCGACCGCGCAGAGAACGAGGGCAGGCCCAATGTCACTATCCTAGTCGACAAGCAGAACTCCGCCGCCCAGTCCGGCCACGAGCCGGGCTCGCACGGCGACGCCGTTGAGTTCGGCGATGTTGCGTTTCTTGGAAAGCAGACGTGTACTTTGACCGTCGCGAATACTGGAGGCGTGCCCGCGACTTTCAACTTTGTCGACAAGCCGTCAATAGAAGAGGGGACGCTTCCTCGAAACCGCCGCCCAAATGGCTCACCTTTCGCTTCCTCATCACGGAATCCGGTGGCGAGGATGCGAAATTCGATCTTGGCAAAGAAGTTACCCTTGAGCCTGGAGAAACGGCGACAGTTCTGCTCCAAGCTCTCGTTGATGATTTGTCACTTGCGCAATCCCTCAACTATGACCGCGCCTCCCTGGAAGATGTTCTCGTCCTGCGCGTGACGGGTGGCCGAGATTACTTCATCCCCGTCCACGCCCAATGGCTTCCCACGGCCTGTTGCCGCTCGGTCGACGAATTGATCCGCGTCCCGGACGGAGGAATCCGCGATTTTGTTACGAAGGCGGAACCTAAGATCACGGGAGCGATTCCCTACGACCGTGACGTCAGGTGCGCCGCGCCCAAGGAGCTTTTCAAGTTAACCGAAGCCCTGGAGAAGCTTGTCGAGCGTGCGGTCGCTGACGAAAACATGCTTGACGACTGTCACATCCCCCGCGAAGACCCTGGTTGGCCGTTTGAAAAGTCATCCTGGACTCTCAAGGACGAGGAAACGCGGGGTGCTGCGAAAGCAGCCCTGATTGCGGCGCTAGATACAGACGCGGCACTCATCCCCGCGTTACCCGTCGATCTCCCTGCGTTCAAGAACCTCGAAGTCCTGGCCGAGTGCTTTCTCATCTTCCTTCGCTCCTTGACCGACGGTATAGTCCCTTCATCTCTCTGGCCACGGCTCCCCTAAACCTCTTGACAGCCGCCTCGGGCCCGGATCTAGAAGACATCAAGACCTCTATCCTCGATGTCCTCGCCTCCTCCCCCAACCACAACATCTCCTTTGTCTTCCTCACCACCAGCCTCGAACGGCTCGCGGTAGAGCTATCGCCGAAACCCAACGCAGCAGAAGACGGCTCCCCTCGCGGCTACGGACCCTTTCTTTCCGAAAAGTAGTCCGCAGTGCAACTGGCGGCTCCACCGCCAACTCTGGTACGGGCCCGGCACCCTCTGCGCCCTCTTCCTCGTCTGATCCCTCGGGCTCCCCTTCCCAACGATCCACATCGCAAGCGAGCTCGGGTCCTCCCGCCCCGCCCTCGGCGAAGTTACAGACGCGGCAGAAACGCCTCGCCGCCGCCTTTGCGCCCGCGGTATGTAGGTTCGTAAGCGACAAGCCTGGCGCGTCGGACAAGGAAAAGGAAAAGGAGAGGAAAGCGGCGGAGGACAAGAGCAAGATTTTGGTGGAGATGTTTCTAAGACGAGGGCTATAAAATGTCTTGATGTGGCGTGTTTTATTTTTTTCCGAGGTGTCGTAGGCATTACTAGAGTTGAAGGGGCGCCTTGGGTTTTCCGTGGTCTAGATTAACTTGTGGAAGGACATCACAGCCATAAGGCACTTGTATTGGGTGAGGGATAGGGTTTCTTGGGGGTGAGCTTTCATTGCAAAGCCACCCAACATATTTTCACTGATACCATGATAACAAGGCGTTTGGATTTGTTTTCGCATATTAATAACACCATTTCCCCTTCAGACTGAAATTCAAACACAAAAGACAAGCTGACCCAGCCTTTTATATGGCATCGCAAGAACCCCATGATGGTATGACACCCAGCCACTTTGGTAGACTCGATCATTGGTGCTATCTTGACGCCGGGCTAAAATCCTTGAGGAGCAGCAAATGGCCAAGCCCTGAGTTATAGCTGGAACCGGTGTCTGGGATGCATCCATCCCAGCTCAAGCTCAAAGCGCTTCTTTTCTTCCTTGGAAAGATGCGCAGCTGGCACGAGGCGGTCATCGCGGTCTCCTCGCTCGCGTCTCTTGTTCTCGCGACGCATATATAGGATGAGCGTAAGAGCGGTGGCAGTGAGAGCGACACAGCAGCCGAGATTGATGGAATGGCCGGTGATGTATCTAGCCGTGACGTAAAGGGAGAGGAACATGTGAGCCAAGTACATGGGGAAAGTAGACTAACTCAGCGCGGGGAGGGGAGACTTACCGAGGGCGCTGAGAGGTTATATAAGTAAACGAGGAAAGAAAGGCGGCGGTATTGCCGAGGGTGATGATAAAGGTCAGGACGATGGCGCGGACGTAATGGGGCGAGGCGTTGATGCAGGTCCAGGCGAGGGCGATGGGCGGAATGGTGTTGATACCGATGGCGACGAGGAAGGCACCTGCGTACTGAATCTTGAAACCCGTACGGTCGATAAAGACGGGCGTCGACGGCGGCGTGGGACTCGGAGGACCGTTTGAAACGCCGACGTGGGCGCCGACGAGGAGTAAAAGGTAGCCGGCGACGGAGGAGACGCTGCAGATGAGCATGGGGATGGCCTTGGCGCCGGAGCGCTGGCTGTACTGAGTGACGGCGATGGTGAAGACGAAGGCAACGAGGTTGGGGGTACGGTGAGCAGGTTGAGGCGGGTACCGGAGTAGCCCATGACAAAGATAATGGTGGGGAGGAAAATGGTAAAGCTGTAGAGGGCTTGAATGGTGAGAAAGGTGGCCAGGGCCATCAAGATCGTAACGGGGTTCCAGACGGCGCGTTTGAATGCCGCCCAGGTGAGGCGGTCCTGCTGCGCCGTATTGCCAGTCTGGGAGGGTGGCTCATGGTTCCGTTCCGCCGACTTGATCGTTGTATCAGGAACAGGAGCTACCAAAGGGGACGGGCGCTCATGGCGTCTATCGAGAGCACGCATTCTCTCCATGGCTACCTCGCGCTCTTCGTCCGTCAGAAACGGCGCTGTTTCTGGCCCATTGGGAAGGACGACGTAGGCGAGCACGCCCACCACCACGGTGAGGATACCCTCGACGAAGAAGATCCACGGCCAGCCGTCGTACCCGCGGAAACGGATACGACCGAGCCCCGCGGCGAGAAACCCCCAAACGCGCCGGCGAGGGCGTTGCCCGAGTAAAACAGACCCACGCGGGCGACGAGCTCGAACTCGGTGTAAAAGAAGCCCAGGTACAGCATGACGACGCCGAGAAAGGCGCTCTCGGCGAGCCCGAGGAAGACGCGGCTCACGCACAAGCCGGGAAAGGAGGTGACGAAGCCGCTAAAGGTGGTGACGAGCCCCCAGGCGACGATGATGGCGGGGAGGCAGCGCCCGCCGCCGACCTTGCGCAGGAGCAGGTGTCCGCCCGCTGGCGACGATGTAAAAGTGAAGAAGAGGGCGAGGGCGACGTTGAACTGCGTGCCCGACAGGGCGAGGTCGCGCTCCATGCCGTTGACGTTGGCGAGGGCGAGGGCGGCGCGGTCGAGGTAGAAGAGCATCCAGGAGGCGGAGACGAGGGGTAGGATGCGCAGGTCGTACTTGCGCACGATGGACTTGGAGAGGGTCGCGTGGAGGCATTGGCGGCGGCGGTGCTGATGGTGGTGGTGGTCAATGTCGGAGCCGCTGGAGCCTACGGCGATGCTCTGGCTTGAGTTATCGACAGATTTCTTCTTCTCCAGTTTGGCGGTAGCATCAACTGGGTTGTCCCCCGAAGGAGTGGCGAGAGGATCCGTCGAAACAATGTCGCTGGGCGAAGATGTGTTCTCTACCGCTGTCAAGTTTTCGGTCTTGTCCGTCATTTTACTGTTAAGTGCTTTATAGGGGACTGGGCACTCTTCCTTTTCTTGCCTGTCTTCAGTCATTAGCCTTGTCCCATTACTCTTTCGCTAGGTTAAGTCTCATTCTACCTCGACGTAATGATAACCACAAGCAGCAGTGCTAGGGGATTTAGTCCTCGGTGAGGTGATTCGAGTACTAGTGATTAGGGAAGCCGGAGCCCTGGTTCGAGGATCTAATACTTGTTGTGTAAGTCTAACCTCGGACACACCGAATGGCTACCACAGTCAAGGCTTACCGCTCCAAATGATCAGGTATCTAGGATATCCAGGCCTATACCAATATAGGAACAAGTTCATCTATAAGAGATGCAAGAGCAGACGGTACAAGTTCGTCAGATTATATAAACAAGGTAGCCGCGGTCGTCCATGCGGTCTCTAGCAACATAGAGCCTTCCTTGGGATTCGGGAATGGGACTTGAATACTCTTATAACGTCAGTCTCGATGCCACTTTGTAGGATTAGAGTCAAAGTATGAGGTGGTACAGACGTAAACCAAAGATACAAGAAGGGCCGGACCCTATACCCGGCAGTCGAGACATTGGCCCCCGCCGGCCAAGCCGTCTTCCTATAGGATCCATAGAGTTTACCAACGATGTCTCTTCTTCGTCTCTCTCCTCACTTGTCTCTCGGCGTGGAGTATAGGTACAGTCGCCTTGCCGTCATGGGTCACGGCGCCACAGCATGGTGATTGAGCGCGACCGAACGTGTCCGAGAAACCTGCAGTCGAATTCTCCCACCAGGCGGTCAAACTTATATAGCGATATCGACAAGTCTAGGAGCAGCTGTCACTGAAGGTTTCTGCAAGGAGCCATCGGAAGGCCTACTCGAGGGGCCGACAGCCAGATCAGTCCGTGGCATGGTGGCACCAAGAGGATATTCGAGAACAATACTGTAAGATATATTAGGACACAGCCAACTCCCCAAATCGGGTGTCGTATAGGGAGACACATTTAAATAGGGGATACGGATTATGATGAGATGAAGCGAGACTAGTTTGCCCCAGCTTTTAGTCTTTGCTCTTCTCTAGACACGATGACTCTACTAAGTACTGGGGATGATTTCAAATAGGATATCCCCTGCTGGATATCGGCGAAACGACAACCCACGCATTTGGGGTCGCACACTCGCAGAGCCACATACAAGATGGAGAATCACACGGGTGGATGCAGCGCAGGTAGAAACAATTCGCTTGCAAACGCCCAATCAAGCTAGCAAGCCAGATCTTCTAGGCGATACAGCTTCGTTTCATGGCTTCACTCCATTACACCCGCAAGGGGCTGCATAGAGGCCTTGCAGACAAGGAAGCATGCCGCTTTCGGCCAGTCACTTCATTACGAGGAGACTTCTGCGTGCTTTTCTCGAGCTGCGTCTTGGAGGGCGTTGAGTCGTGACCTCTTTTCGTGCGAGGTTCCATCGGCAATATGATTGTAAATGCCTCTTTGACTTGATGGATCCCAGGGCGTTTGTGGTGATTTTTCATGCCAACACAGGATCCAACATTCAGACTATCTATGGGAGAGGAAATAGAGTATAGACTACCCCGGTGCGTAGCCATGACACTTGACCAACTTCGGGTACGATTACAGGACCTACTAAAATTCAAGAGATTTTGCTGGAAATAGATGAGTTGGTAAAGGTCATGTTGAATTAGGATCATGATATGAGTACTAAAGTAAGAGTGGAGGTAGGCTTGTCTTATCAAGGAGGTAGATTCACCATCTCATCCTACCAACATATAAGCTTAGTGAAGAGGACAAGAGCTAGTCCCTTGTTGAGATGAATCAAGTCCATCGCTCCTGCACTGAAATGATATAGCTAGTAGATGTAGTCCTTTTTCTTCTCTTTCTTTCCATTTGAGGGCATAGGGCTATGGGACTGGAGCAACATAAAGGCAAGTTGGAAATATTTCATCAGGATATTGGTCGTAGCTTCCCGTAATTCTCGCCTTTCTACCTGCCTTCTTCAGCTCTATAAAGTGACCAACCTGAACTAGTAACCTTGGCCCCTCTGGTCTAGATTTGCTATTAAATCCTCATCTTGAAAAAACTTCATCGCTAATTCCAGAGGTTGTATAGCTTGCTAAAGCTGATGCCAACTTTCGCCTATCTTGGGTTCCGCTCACTCTATCCTCCAAGGTTCGCATGAACGACGGCCCTCTCCTCCCTCTCCTCCCTCTCCTCCCTCTCCTCCCTCTCCTCCCTCTACTCAATCTCCTCGTGAAGGCTTAGAGGGTATAGAAGGGTCCAAGGAATTGCTCCATGTCCAAGAACTCGACTAACGCCACCCTCTAGGTGATCACCGTCGTCAAATTTCCTGGCGAAACTCTTATACAAGTCTCCCTCAATACTGGCTCCTCGGATCCTCTGGCTCTTGGTCCCAAGCCAGCCTGCTCTATCTTATATCCCTACGAGCCCTTGGTCGAAAAGGGTTTTGGGCTCTGTTGTTGGGAGTCAAAGTATTAACACGCGGCGTTCACTCAATCATACTTAACTTTGGATTTCGACGTGTCCAGAGACGAGTAGAGAGGGAGAGGGCTCGACGCTATATCCGGGACTACCTGTCAATTCTTGCTTGAATCCCTTGTAAGCCTACTTGGATATAGGTGTAGTGTTTGATTTCCAACGCACCCGACACGCCAGCCCACGCAAAGGGCGGCCCCTCAAGATCAATGATATACCGACGCGAAGCCGCCCTCGGAATCCTTCGAGGCCTATGGCGTAGCATCGACAAGGACCGGCGCCGACTTCTCGAAGAGATGACGGACGCCGACATGCACCGCTTTATCGCCATGCTACCGCTTCCAGGACCTGAGCCCGGTGAAGAAACGAGGCTGTTGCCCGACTGCAAAGACCATGTACAGGCTTTGATATATGTGGGTAGGGGGATGATGATTTTGGGGCAGGGCCGAAGAAGTCACTGCCTCTCCCACTGCCAATGACGAAGCTAGCAGCTTTCCTTGGGAAGGGACAGTTGAGCTCGAAGAGAGCGACTCCGAGCCCGCTTCCCCAAATTGCCTCGACAGATCCTTATCCTCGATTTCTCTGGCTACTTCCTTTTCCACCAGCGCAGAAGATATGTCGTCGGTGGACCGGGTCCAGCAGCTTCTAGAGTTGCAGCTCACCCACCGCGCCGTCGAAGCGGCCATGGAACGCACCTACGAGTTTTTGGATCACACGAGGCGTCGCCTGTACAAGCTATTCGATTCCAGACACGACAAGAAGCGACAAACGGGCCCCACCGGCTTGAGATATGTCACTTCCACCGACGACCTGGATGTCATCTCGGAGGATGACGCTCTGCATGAAGCGACTTGGGGCGAGAGTTTTGCATGGGAAATAGATGATACGTGGACCGTGGCGGAGGCCGATAGCACCAGGACAGATGACGAGGATTGGTAGTGGGACGCGACCCCTCTCCACTTGTCCTGAGCTCTGCTACCAAAGCCTTTATCCCTTTTCACCATTAGATAACCGTAGTAAGCATCATTACAATAGGTATATAGATTCAAGAAAGGGTTGATTATATAGCTTAGTCCATCACAGAGCCTGTCAAACTTTCTAGCCTCCACTCTTTGTAAATGTAGCAAACCCGGTGGTTTGATCCTCTTGGTGAGTCTTGTACTCTGATCCTTATACCATTCAGAATAAAAGAAAGTGTACATTCTTCTTCCTATCTAGTCAGCCGCGGAGACACCAAACTCGTTGCTCTCGTACAACGTCTTAATAGTGACATTACGATTGTCCGCCACGAGGCCCATCAGTTCCTGCGCAATATCCTTGATTTCATTGTAAGCCTGTAGTTTGGCCGTATGGGATCCCGGCGCACGGGGCTTCTCGGTTCTGCACCGCAGTTAGCTCGAGGTCGCCTTTCCTCTCGGCCTAGGGACCGTGCCAGGAACGACCGGAACCGGGGATGGGGGAAGTGGACAAGGGCATACTCTTGCTGTTTCTGAAGCTGGTAGAGTGTCAGCTGATTTCCGAGGTATCTCTTCCTGAAGTCGATTTCGTCAATCTGGAAAAGGCGCGTTGGGATTAGCTCGTGCCAGACGATATTCTCATCTCGCGCGACTGAAACGTTCTTCATTACACGAAAAGGAGAAATGGCTTACGATGTCTAGAACCGTTTGGGTGGCCTTGAAGCAATGTGTCAGCCTAGGAACACAACGAGAAAACCGCAATTTTATAGAACCCTTTCTAGTCAAGAGAAAAGAACGAGCTCAGAAAAGCTAAATGAAATCTCACCTCATCCGGCGTCCCGCTACGCAACCAGTCCAAGTCCCCATCCCGTTCCTCCTCACCCGTCCTCTCCCCGGACCCCGGGACCCTTTGATCCAGGCCTCGTACCCAGAGATCCTCTCTCTCGCCGTACCAATCAAAGTTTCCGAGACGCAGTCGGCCAGTTTGTCGACCTGGGAGCGGAGTATGCTCGCCGACTTGAGTTCGAGGGCCACGTTGTCTGGCGTGAGCCCCGCACTAGAGATCTTGGGGAGCGCATGCGTTGCGTAGTTTGACATTCTCTGCCTTTCCCTCTTCTTCTTCTTCCTCTCCTATTTTTACTATTGGGCAAGAAGGAGGAAGAAAAATCCTCGTTGGTGGCCCTTTTTGCGTTCACGGAGCCCTAGACACGCGTCGGAGACAGAGTTCGGAGGGTTGCTCCTGACTTTGGCCCGAATTGGCAATCACAGTTCGGGGTTCGGAGGGAACCACCGGAGGCCAGGCCACCTTTGACCTTTTCCCCTGACGGGCAGTGGTACCCTAAAGCAACGTACCCCACACAAGTTGCACTTTTCAAGTTGCACTTTTCAAGGTGGATGGGAAAAGGACGCCAATTTAAAGAGCAGCACTGGTGGGTTTTACGATGGGTGGTCCACGCTAAGTTTACGGGTATAGTAGAGCAGTACGTCAAGTCTCGCGCTCGCTGGTGGGTTGAAAGCGATGGAGATGTAAGATTTGAAAAAGAAATTGAAAAAATAAAAAATAAAAATCTTCCTTTACAACAAAGGTCGAAGAAGAAGAAGAGAAGCACGCAAGAGCCTTTCAAACGGCCACCCGTCTCACAATTACTTTTTGGAAAACACAAAAATACATCCCGACTGTGCGCCTGGCTTTTGCTATCTTCTGTTCATGGTGGTATGTTTTTCTTTTTTGTGTTCATCATGCACCAGCTTCTTTCATTGAGCCTCTTCGACCTATATGCGATCGTCGCGTCCGGCCGCTCCTGGGCCGGGGATGGACATGGGTAACAAATCGTTCCTCCTCCAGAACCATCCTTGCCATCTGCGGAAATGAAGCACGTATCCCTTAACCTGCCACGCCAATCTAATGAAAACCGAAAGAGGAAGGGGGCAAACAAGCGTGAAAGACCTCCTAACCGGGGGCCATTGCACAAGAGAGAAGTTTTTAGTGGCCGAAAGCCTCGAGAGCCTTCACCGTCTTGGCATCCACCTTGGCACCCTTCTTCGCCTCGGTGAGCTGTTTTTGGGCGAGCTTCTTGCGCTCGTAGTAGGCCGCCGCCTTGGCCTTTCGTCGGTCCTCGAGCCTATGGGAGAATTATATGTTAATTACCAAGTCCCATGACGTAGTCTGAAGAAAATCGGGGAGCGATAGCGGCGCGCCTCCATTCCATCCCCGTCTTGTTTAACTCAAGCACAGCGCGCGCATCGAAAAAGGGCCACAGGGAAATAAAAAACGACAATTAGAGGGAACGAGGAAATCACTAACCTGGCAACGACATCCTGGTACTTCCAGCCAACCTCGTGGCTGAGACGGCCGACAGTGCAGTACTTGCGGCCGGGCTGGAGGCGGAGGACGCGGAGAGCCTGGGGGACGACCATCTTCTTGATCTTGTCATAGGGAGGGGGACACCCTCGAAGACCTTCAATCGCTCCATCGCCGCGGTACCACGGGCAGTCTTGTGGGGCATCATGCCTCGGACGGTCTTGTAGAAGATGCGGGAGGGGCGCGGAAGTGGAAGGGACCTGCTCGACGTTAGCAAGCCTGCTCTTTGAATTTCGTTCCGTCATGGGCGATATCGAGCAATTGACGGCGACAAGAGGTCTATTACTTACCACCTCGGGTGGGGTTGTACCGGGTCATCTTGCGGAGGTAAGCGTGGTACTTGACTATAGAGCCACACACACATGTCAGTTGAAGGCATTCCCACAGGAGAAGAAAAAGAATTGTCGAGGGCAGCCCTAGCTAGGCCCGTGTGCTGCAAGCCCTCGATGGGCAGATCGGTGAAATCACGTACGCTTAGATCGGAAGAACTCTCCGGAGATGTTGAGGGCCTCGCATCGGACGACAACAATCTGCTGGCCGTTCAGAAGCTGCTTGGCGACGATGGAGGCCAAGCGGCCAAGGAGATGGCCCTTGCCATCAATGACGACCTGTGAAACGAAAAAGCCAGTCAGCGCTTCCGTTCTCCCAAACTCCAAATGATAATGGCCGGCCTTGTCCTCGCCCAGGCTGTTTTCCTGGAGTTGTGGCGGGTTGAGCCCTCATCACCGCCTCGTCCAAAAGCACCCTCCTGAGACAACGCAGTGGAAAGCAACTGGCGCTCATTCAAAGAGCTCGAGACGGGAACGGCGGCGATATCGAATTGAGGCTTTCCAGAATTGTCAAGGGACCAAGGCGACAAAGGCCGGCCCTTCCACCTTTGCCCTCCCCGGAAATCTCATCCCCTAGGAAGTGTAACATGTGGAAATTCCAAGGTGGTAGGATACTCACAACCGACTCGAAACTCGACATCGTGCTTGAACCGTTACCGAATTATGAACCCGAAGAGGGAGGGAGGAATAACGGAGACGATGTCCGAAGATTAAATACAGGTCAAACCGCCAGGTCGAAGCTGGGTGTTTGGCTCTGGAGTTGAAGGGTTTTGCTGTTGAGGTTAGTTATTCGCCGCGGGCAAAACAAAGGGAAGAGGAATATCGATAGCGAAAAATCCAAAGTTGGTGCATAATCCACCAAGAGGAAAGGGAGGGCTGTGGTTTGGGCCTATCAGTGGGCGGGAGGTCGCTAGCCCGATTGGGGCGAGGTGGAGCCAGAATTTTTGAGAGGCCAGTCAACCTTTAGGGCTCACAAAACCTACGAGAATCATCATTCGTGTGCGATTAGGTAAGCAAGCACATTCGCCAGCCCCCAAGCCCCTCCCCACCGCCCACTCAAAAGTCACGCGAGACCAACAGATTTGATTGCCCAGGTGCAAAAACCCCCCTCGATTTCTACCGAGAGCCATTTTGCTGAGTAATACTAGACGGTCCTAGCCTCACTCCCCTGCCTGCCTATCTCTATTCAGAGGGGCTGGACGGGCGGGCCTTGCCTCGATCGATGGCAAGATCCATGGCTTAGTCACTCCCGAACAACGAACCTCCAATCTTCAAGATGCTGGGGTTTGATCCTATTCCATGTGATTGCGGGATGTGCGAGACAGCCCACTTCCCATGGGTGTCACTGCTCGATCAGACGGTGGGAGGCTGCGTCGATCTACAATTCCATGACGTGCCTTCCTCTCTGAAAAAAAATCATCCCAAAAAAGTCAATTGGATTGAAATGAAGAAGCAGAATAGTTGGAATCTGAATTGGAGAGAAATATTGAAACAGAAAAGGGCCCAGATCAAGAGAAAACAAACAAACGATAAAAAACAAGTAGTGGGGTTGGTTCTCGTCTCATGCTGCTTTCCTTGGTCAAGTGAGCCACCGACCAGGATCCCAGCATCTTGACCTGATCTGTGTGATCGCTGCAGGTTTTTCGAATTCGTTCTGCAAACGTGCCACGCGACCGTAGGGATATAATAACAGCTTTTGTTCTTGCCGCACACCATCCATGCAAATGCCTCTCTAATAAACGCTATTTACTTTACTCCGCCACCTAGCCGGATCGAAGATTCCGATTTCTGGAAAATATTATTATCTTGATAGGTCATAGAATATCAAGGAATCGAATGCCGGTTTCACCCTTCCCCTCTTTGTGCCACCCCTCTTTTCTTTTTCTTCATGATGTCCATTCACGGTCACTTGGAGGCCTTGGCCGCATCGAGCTGGCCGAGGACCTGCTGGGACTCTCTGACAAGCTCTTTCCTCCTAGCTCGGATAACTTCGTCGCCGTTGGGTTCCACACCGTCAAGCTTTAGGATGACCTGCGCCAGGATCGTTTCTGACAGCCTGCGGTGTTCGTCATCACGCTTGGTGCGATCTGCGGGTGGCGATCTCGTAAATTTGATACACTCGGGGGCCAACTCCTTGTCGAAATATGCTGCGACATTGTCAAGCTTTGTAAGGGCGTCTTCGCGGTATGCAAGGTCGACGGAGGGAGACCCGGAGTCGATGGAGTCGCCGTCTTTGGAGCTCGATGCCTTGGACTTCTTCTTCGGCTTTCGACCCTTGCGGCGTCTGCTAGAACCCCGATACTGCTCCCGCCATGGCTGGACACGTCATCGCCTACCACAACCTCCTCCTCCGACCCGTAGCCTCCGGCGTAAGTGTCGCGAGGGTTGTCGTCGCGAATCATGGCCAATATCTCGCTCATATTCTTAACGCCATAATCGCGTGCGAGAGCGCCAGGTTCCCTCAGCTGTCGACCCTTGTAAAGAGCCGAACTCGGCGTGCTTGATGGTCATCCAGGCCGAGCATGAGGGAAACTCGATCTCGAATGTCGTGGACTTGCAGCTTACCATCGCCGATGGCGTAGGCGGGGAAGTGAGCTTCGTAGGTGATACCGCGATACTTGATGTTTAGTATGTCGTCCTCAATGGGATTTTGCGGTTCTTCGAGCTCCTGAGACGTGATATAACTGTAGTCCTCATCCGTGACATGGGGTGTCCTACCCTGATTCATAGACGCATATGGAGACAGGGTCGGACGGGACCAGGAGGACCAGGAGGACCACATGGCGAAGGGGATCGCGAGAATGAGACAGGCTGCGGTAGCAAGTACAGCGGAGGGGGAGAGTCCAGTCTGGGTTGAAACGTAGTTGGCGGGTTCTGCAACTAGGGTCGAGACCTTGGCGAGGGTATTGTCGATATAGGGCTGCAGCGACGGCGGCAGGAGAGAGGAAATGCTGGCAGGAGCACCGAAGGATGCCCCGAGCCCCGAGCCGGAATCCACTTTCGCGATTGTTACGGTGGTCCCCTAGAGGGCACCAATCCGGGGATGCAACTAAGAGGTAGGAGGTAAAAAGAGGGACTGGGGGAGGGAGGCTGTATGCCTAGCAGGAATCGGCGGGGACGAGGGACGGCAAATCAGGTGTCACCTCGATGCGGGTGTGTCTGGTTCGCCTTGAGAGACTCGTTTGGGTGGAGGGGTGAGGGGTGGAGAGCGGAGCGGAAGGGACGTTCGCAATCTGCAACGACGAGCTCTGCTTGCGCACTCGCGGGTCGCCTTCTGCGTGCGTGGGGAATGTCGATAGACGTGGCGACTGCAGTTTGGGCGGGAGATGGCCTGAGATGCAGCGGGGGCGACGACGAGGATTGGATGCGGTTACAGGGTACTGCAGGTGTGTCCTAAAAGTGTCAGCATACAGTAATTGGGGAATTGCCAGCTCAGACGGGGGCCCGGGGGAACGGGTTATGCGACCGCCGACACGTACAAATGAGCCCTTGTGACTGACCGAGTCCTGATTCCTGAGGTCACGGGGAGTAGGAAATACCAAGGACGGCCAGGCGGGTCTTGGAAAACCGACAACAACTTGCTTGGCCGGTCAACTGAGATGGGGTGAGCCTATTTGCGTGCTCAATCGGAGATGAGAGAGGCGTTGAATTGATACGAGAAGATGGGAGTCAACGAGGCAAGATAGCGTCAACCGCAATTGAACACGAGAAGGCCGGGAGGGTCGATGAAATCCAGGTGACTTTTGGGGAATGTCGTGGCCATTAGGGAATCTTGATTGATGTCGCCGACGATACTTTGAAAAGGGGATGTTGTGCTAGGTATCGCAGTTGGATCCGATGCACTCGGTGGTAGAAAGGAGGATTACGATGAAGAATTCAATGAGCTGAGCTTTTACATCAGTTCCTGTCTTTTTTTTTTTTTCTCCGTCCTCCCCTTTCTCTGACGAGACTGCGAACGCCAAATTATATGTACCCCTTGAACGCTCCTTCCGGGGTGTGAGGGGGCCCTGGCCTTGCTGGGCCTATCTGTCCACTTTGAGAGAGGTACTTGGGCCCGTGCTGTTGTTGCGGAGATCCCCGGGGTTAACCTCAGCAAGTAAACTCCATTGTAGCGTCATAGCGTGAGTTGAGGGCGCTGGCTGGGTGGCCTGGCTGGCCTCAACCTGAGTGTATTACTGTGCAGCGCCGGGAGGGTAATATCATCAATCCTCCTGAGCCTGGAGCCCCACCAACAACTAGCACAATTGGTACAGCAGTCACACCCAATTGTGGCCGGCCCCATCAGCGGATCAGTCAAGTGCTGCTCGCGGCTCTGCAAAGAGAACCAAGCCTGACATCACACAACACACCCATAGCCTTTTCCACAACCCGCCAGACGATTGATCCAAGCAGATCCCAGCACCCACCAGCGGAGCCCGATTACCAGTGCTTCTTTTTTTCTCCCTGCCGATACATAGTACTTGTGTTCCCGATAATCACGAGCCCAACGTGCCCCCATTTTCCACGATCCTGCTCGCGACAACCACCCCCTCCCCACGCTCTGCGCCTACTCATCCCTCCCAGCTCCAGCTTCGGGCATCAACTATCACGATCTGCGTCTGCTGCCGCCAAACAAGACCGACCCGAGCTTCACCTCTAGGATCTCTCCTCAAATCTAACACCACCGCCAAGACTGCGCCTTCCCCAGGAGAAAATACTCGACCGCGAGCCATCTCTGCGCAAGCCAACTACCTTCCTTTTGCCGATAGTACCCAGCCCCGGCCCTTGCTGCCGCCCCAATAGCAGCCCATATCCGAAAGAAAAAGAATGAGTCGGTCAACGCCCCGGCGCTCGCGCCAAAACAACCATCACGGTCACACCCGACACCCCAGCGGCCCCCGCATCGTCCCCGCCTCCGACTACGAGTCCGATGCCGCGCATTACATGGAGAACCGCGACCCGCCCTCCTCACCTCCCGCACCGTACCAATACCGAGCTCAACATTGGCGTCCTCCGCCGCTACGTCCCCTCCATCTCCGCCATCCTCTCCATCACCGCCAACGCCGTCATATACACCTTCGACACCTCCACGCAGTCCTGGGACAAGTCGGGTGTCGAGGGCACCCTCTTCGTCTGCTCGCAGGACCCCAACCCCGCCACGGGAGAGCCCCGGTTTTGCGCCTTTGTCCTGAACCGCCGGGGCCTGGAGAACCTGATCCTCGACCTCGCCACAATCCGAGAGTGCGAGGTGACGGATACTCTGCTCATTCTCGCGCTCGACGACGGCGAGGAGGCCGAAGAGAACCCAATGGCCAAGGCGTTGGGTATCTGGATGCATGCTGACACCGCGGAGACGAGAGATGTCAATATGAAGCTCATTCATAGTTTGTGGGGCCAGGTCAGGGAGGCGCGGAAACAGGTGCAGAGCTTGCACGAGTATAACGGCGGGTTCGACATGTCACAGCCCGAGCGGCAGGAGTCTGTTGGGCCCGCACTGCAGGCTATAGGGAAACAGCTCACGATCGACGAGCTATTTGCCAGCCAAGCAGGCGGTGGCGGGTACGGGAGGTAGCAGGCGCAAGGAGTGCGGCAAGATTAATGACACACGATTTCTTCAGATTTCTTCCTTCCCTCATGTGCATCATAGCTCTGGTTCTTTCCTACTCCTCCTACACTCGATACGGGTTATTAAGTAGGGACCAAGGACGAGGTTCACGGACACAAGCCTATGATCATCAAATGTATTCCAGATATCATGACGGGGTTGAACAAGCGGTCTATTTGTAATTCATTGTAAAAACAAAACACATACGGCCCTTTTTCACCGCTTCAGCGTTTATCTAGGCCATGACCTTTTCCATGTTCTCCATGCCCGCCAAAACCTGAATCATTCCCATTAGGTCCAAGTCGAAACAAAACCTACCAAACGCCTCTGGCACCGAAAATCGAGTTGAAATCGCACAACTTCGGGTGTGCGTGCATGGTATATATATGTGCGTGTATGTGCGTGCGTGTGTGTGTGCGCATCCGCGCGTTGGGGAGAGAGGGAGGAGAGAGATGAGAGAAAGAGCCAACCAACAAGAAATAGCCAACATCGTTGGAAGAAAACAGGAGGTAAAGAGAAGAAGAAGAAGAAGAAAGAGGAAAGGTGGAGGGTGATCCTCATTTACACCGTTCCGCTGATGCTAAGTTCACGAATTTCCTGCAACACCTGTTCGACCCTGGCGTCGAGTTGGCCCTCGGCATACTGATCTCGAGTATCTTTGTCGAGATATTGCTGTACCTGGGCCATCCGACTATAGGCCTCAGCGCAGAATCGAAGCTGAATCTTGACGAGTGCCTCGAAGCTGGGGTCTAGGTAGGGGACGCGGAGGTCGATGAGCTGGGGAAGCTCGGTGCAGAGCTGTTCGTTTAGCTGTTCGTACGCCACTCGGGCCATTTCCATCTCCTTCTCTGCGCGGGGTAGCTTGGTGACATCCTTGTCCGGTTTCTCGACAAGCTTCTTCACCTTGGCTCGGAGTGCATCGTAGTCGAGGAGCTTGTGACCGCGCTTCTTAATGCCTGTGAAACAGACATGTTAGTGACGGAAAGTAAATATTTTCGAGGCGAGTGGAATCATACATTCGTTCACGTCCGTAAAGTAGGAGCAAAATCTAGAGATGGGCTCCAAGACTGTCGTCCTATGATCGGGGAGAGGAAATTAGCAAATTGAACCATGCGATTTCCCGGCAAAAAGACCAAAGACCGGGCACGGTCGATTCCGTACCTATATGGGCCGTCCAACGCCTTGATAGTCTCCGCATCCAGGTCCTCGACAGCTTGCTTGTAGCTTCGGCTAACACCGTCCTTTGCACCCGCGTCGCCGTAGAACGCATCTATTGTCTCGGCGATTCGCATCTGCGAGGCAGTCATGGCTGTTGGGTGTGGTATTAGTATAAGCCCTAAGGTATAGATGGCTGTTCCCCGCATCCTTACCTCGTAAAGAGTCGAGATAGCCCTTGGCTTCCTTTTGTAGTCGGAGGGACGCCGCCTCCATGGTTTTGAATCGGCTGTTGAAAAGCAATTAATTATTTTCCAAGTCCAAAAAAGTCCTCCATATGGTGGTCGAAACAAGAATATCGTACCGTTCCTCAACCTCGTAATCCCTATCGTTGGTCTTTTCCACATGGCCTAGGGAACCCCATAAAGTCAGTACCACAATCAGGAACAGGACCGCACATGCCAGGGGCTAAAGGGGGCCACAACGAACATACCAGTCTTCATCATCACCGTGGTCGTAGCACGGTTGACATTTTTCTTAAATCCTATACGTTTTGTGATTTCAGTTAGCGATCAATTAGGTCCCGGTACTCCTCATCGGACGAGAAAAATCATGATGACGAACCGGCCCAGGACATCTTGGCGGTAGTGGGAGGAGAATTGCTGCGAGAATAGATGCAAAATAGCCGAGAAAATGAGATATCGAGACAAGGCCGTAGAAAATGTACGGTCGTTCGCAGTCAAACAATTCGGAGGCTCGAGGTGGAAGCTTCGCAGGGTCGTGTCTTTGCCGTGTATGTTGGAGAGTTGAGGGGTTGAGGAGCGGATGAATCGCGAATGGGCCTCAGGATACAGGTGCCTTGGCGGGTGGATGGACCAGCCAGGTTGGGCTGAAGAGAAGGGAAGACGTCAGCGCACTACGTTGGTTTGCTGCTGAGCCACTGTGGGGCAGAGCCTCGACGCCACTGCCCAGCATTTCCATTCCAGGAATTTGTCAACGCCTCTCCTGTGGATGGTTGTCGTTCCACCTCCAGTTCTGTTCCCACGTGTCTCAGGGGCGGGACCAAACCTACAAGTTTAGTAACGATGAGCCAGCCCATTCTATCTTCTATTCGATTAATTGCAATTATATCATGGCACTCTAGGGTGCAGTGACCCCCAAAAACATCCCCTCAGGACTCTCTCGTGAGAGCTCCTGTCCTCTGGAGGCACTAGCACTAATAACTTCACAAAGCACGTAAACTGAAGTAGTGACATCAATGATGCCCGTGCAGTTCCACGTGATTCCGCGTTTGGGGCCGCGCCAGTGTTAGCGGCCGCAGGCAGGCATGTGAGTCTTCTTCCTCGACCGCAGCAGGTGAGGCTTGGTCTTTGGCGAATTTTTACCATCACACTACAGCATTTCATTTAAATCGATATTCCCCTCGAGGCGCGGCGGCGAGGCGTGGATGGAGTATCTCTCTCTCTTTCATACATCACCATAGTTTTGGATCATTTTGGCAAACCCCGTCACCTTGACCTCGTTGCATTATCTCGGAACAGCGACAGAATTCGGCGTCTCGTATATCTTATCGCAATGTCGGGCTTGAAATTCCTCCTCATCAGTCTCGGGAACCAGGCCCCGTACTATGACACATTCCACTCCGCAGGTCACCACGTGCTGAACGCTCTCCAAGCGCATCTCGGGCCGGGCCAGCCATCCTTTACGTCAACTCGGGTCGGAAAAAGGCAAGCCTCGCCTCCCTCGGCTCCAAGTATATGATGGTGCAGAGCCCAACTTTATGAACACGTCCGGACCTTGGGTATCCGCGACGTGGAAGCAGGTTTTGGAAGATCACGACCCCGTAATCTAGCCCTCGTTCTCGTTCACGACGAGTTGGAGGAGGCGCTGGGGGTCGTGAAAACCCGACAATGGAGCAGGAGCCACCGTGGCCATAACGGCATCAAGAGCGTGAATGCCAGCCTCAAGCCAACAGACTATCCCGACTCGCTTTGGTCTAGAATTGGGGTCGGAATTGGCCGGCCAGAAGGGCGGGATCACAGATCGGTTTCGGATTATGTTCTGGGCCCCATGTCCAAGCACCAAAAACCATCATCGAAGGGAAGGGGGCGGAGGGTGTCTTGAGGTGCTTGGATGAGCTGGAGAGGAAATGGCAGGCCCAAAACGGCACCAACCCGTGAGCTAGATCCGGGAATCGTCAACAATGCGTGACGCGATACGCATTCTAGAAGCCTTCTTTCGGCAGTGGGCTCCCGAATCCATGCGGAGGAATAGATTTACGGGCCAGAAAGGGCAGAGATTAGTCGACTCTCTTGCTTCTTTTGCCCGTGAGCAGAGCATCTGTTGCGCCCGCTGCGATATGTTGCTCACGCGAGGGGGTGCGGAGGGATGGATGGATGCCTCCTATTCTTTTTTTCCACCCTTGATCAGAAGCTCTACCCCCTAGGAATGGGCTGCCGTACCCCACAAACAAGTGCTCTCTCGACGCCCGCAAAGATGCAATAGGTACCGGGGTTGCAAAGCGTCTCGTTCCGGATCCTACTTGCAGATGTAGCAAGCGGCCCTTCTAGAAACCGACCGGATAGGCCGAACTGCGCGGCTCCGATAGCATTCGACATAAGGTTTGGGAAGCAAAACGACATCTGGGGAACGGGATGGCGGGCTTGCTCGAAGCCTCCGCATTTTGCGCCCGTCGCGGCGAATTAGTCCGCGGAAATAGATGATCGGGTGGCATCATTTAATCTTCCATCAAGGTATCTAGCCAGGTACTGGCGTCATGGAAGGCGTTGAGGACTGCCATTATTTCAATGGCGGCGCCCCTTCCGCTCTGCTCCCCTCCCTTCACGCCACTTCACCTCCTGGTCCATCCATAAATGTTGTAGAACTTGTACAATTTGATATCTTGATTTTGATTTCTAAGCCCCCATCTTCTTTTCCAAATCTCCCATCACAGTTGGCTGGAGCCCATCAATACTTGCGCCGCACTCGATGCCGGGTTTCCCAAAGCGAAACTGCAAGCCGAACTCCTCCTCGCCGCGGCGCGGAAAGCTCGTATCTAGTCGCCTACAACCTCCGAGGCGTTCATTCTCACAATCATCTTGTCCCCCACTCTCCATAAGATTACAAGCTGCGAAACTACCCCTGTTTAGGCCCCGGTGCACATGCATGGCCAACGTGGTGTCGTCGATAAGCAAGGGTCTCCCGTGATGTGCACTCGAGAATATTACCCGGGGAAAGCTGGAGTGAAGCTAGTCCTACAAGTACAGGCTTGGCTCGTTAGGTTTCAAGCCACCCGGCCGGATGTTTCCATACGGTCACGTCTTGACACGCCGTAAAACGAGCCTAGGGAATTAATAATAACAAAGAAACCCCATGAAGTCGCATAGCAAGTGCAACGGTGTGAACGAGGACGACGTTATTGTCTTGGGGCTACGCGCCGTTTAGCTGAACTGATAAGGAGAGAGCACTTGAGGTCAAGATAAGAAGATAAGACGGCTCATTAAGCTTGTCCCAATGCGGAACAGCCACCAACAGTTTCGGGTGTCCTGAAGGAACCGCGAATTACTTTCGAGGGCAAGACCAAAAGAGCGACGACAGGCGCTGAAGTCATCCTGAAATGACGGATGCCAAGAGATAAGCACTAGCCAATCATGGGAGTCATCGGAGCCGAAGCACTCTGGATTCTCGATTCCGTCCACCCCAAACCGGACTTGGAAAGGTCTAGGATGTGCCATGAACCCTCGATAAGGATAGTGAAAGGATGAATGAAAAAAATCGGGAAGAAGGCAGAGAGAAAGAAGAAAAAGAAAAACCGCTCCTACATTTATTTTGGGCCCAACCATCGAGGCGAGGTGGGTTCTCGAGATCCGGTTCGGTAATACACTTTGTCCCGCCAAGCACAAACGGGCCCTCTTTTGTGCTTCTAAATGGACCCAGCAGGCTGGCACTGGTAAGGCGAACCCAAGGCCTTTATCGGAAGCGAGAACAACCGCTTTGGAAGACGTGATGAATCAGGCCGAACAACCGCTGATATCGCGCGCCGAGCATCGTAGTGGGTGCAATCATCCTTTGAGGGAGAGGCGAACCACTCGGGGAAGAGCTTCTTGGGCCAGCAGGATAAAAAAGCGATTGCTCTCGAGGTGAATGGGATGCCACCTTTTCATATACCTAACCGATGTCTGTTTCATCCCCCTTGCTTGTGGCTTACGATAGATGGAGGAGAATCGAATCGCCCAGCACCTGATACATCGTGGAGAGGAGCTCTGAGTGCGTCCGTGAACCCGTTGTCAAAGTGTCGAACATTGCTAGTTTGAGGCTTTCAAGGCTCGGCCGTATCTAGTCAACACCGCCGTCGTCGCCCATCAAGTGAAATTCCGCTGTCGGGGTGGGTTCTCACTGATTGCCTGCCAGGTCGCAATCAGTGCAGTGCCGAGCTAGCGCCACACCGGCTCTCATTGGCCCCATCTCTTATCGGCCGTCTCATTAGATGCGTGGGACCTGGGCCTGAAAGGGAGGGGTGGTGGCAGGGGGAGAGAGGCGGCGGGGGCTTTCAAGTCCCTAGCCTTGTCATGCGGTAGCCACAACCGCCTCTCCCTTGGCCATGCGCCATTCCGGAGAGCCAACCTTATCGCAAAGTCAAGCATTTGTATTATAGGTGCGGTGTGGGTTCAGGCCCTGGGACGTGTTCCTCACTCTTGCCCGACGTGTTGAGCATGTCTTGGGAGATGGGCGGCGTTGACTTGGCAAGAGGCGGTCTCTTCCCCTATTTTTCCTTTTCTTACGAGGATCGTTGGCTTGGCCTGATCCTCGTCGTTAATCTCGAAGAGCGAAACTCGCGCCTGAGTCGAATCAAGTGATGTTCTGAAGCTGAGAATGGGGAAGGGGGGCAGATTTTTTCCTCTTGTTGTTGTCTTATCAGTGCAGCCAAGACCGCGAAGCTGTCGACCCAAACCCCAAGAAGTACACTAGACGGACTGGGGAAATCTGGTCTCGACCCACCAGTATCAAGGCCATATCAGTTCCGGTATTAGTGTTTTCGTCTTTCTACGTTTCTTCTCAATCCCCTCCCCCTGGCTGTCGAGTTTCTCTCTCCGCCTTGCCGTATTATCGCTATCGCGCCCTCTCTCCCATCGATCGATAAGCAGGCCCAGCAAAACCTAGGCTAGTTAGTGTAAGCGCAGACGAGGGAAATTTTCCCTCCCATTCGTTCTTTTCTTTTTAGTCCCTAGTCCTGCCTCTTGGCTCCGCCGCCGGTATACCTTCTTGGCACAGGTGAACACATGCCCGCTGCGAAAAGAACGTTGCCATTTTCCGCCGCCGTCAACCCTCCCCCATCCCGGTTTCTTCTCTGACCCGCTGTGAGGAATTATTATCCCACGCACCAAATGCGGAATGGAACCCTTTTCGTACCATTCGAGTACCTCCCCTGTCCCACGTCTTCGTCGCGCAAGGTACGCCGCTGCACTTTCTGGCTTAGACGACCGATGCTGTGACTACCTTCTCTATACTCCCCCGTTCTATCATTCCGTGACCCGAGACTCAGGGTCCGACATGTTCGCTTTCTCCCCCTTCTCTGCATGTATAGCGCGGAAACGCTGATATTGCTATCCTGTCCTTACCCACCCCCTCCTCCCCCTGTTCGTACACCCCGACCGGGGAGGGGAGGAGGACGAAGAGGAGGCAAAGGAGGGTGACCGTGAGATGCCGTTCCCGCGCGCGGAGCAACAGCTTAGAGACCATCCTCGTCCATCTGTCCCTTCCTGTCTTGTATTTCCCTCCCTCCCCCGTGAAGATGCGAGTATATAGGTCGAGCGATCCCCGGCGCCGGTGACATGGTTTCTCAAGGCTGATCTCTCCCTTCATCATCCATCCCGACCGCACCTCCTTTGGCGATCGTCCTCTCCTCCCTTCCTCTTCTTCTTCTTCATCCCCTCCGGAATACGGGTTTTCTTTTTCCTTTTTCCCCTTTGATTTCTTCAATTGGGATCTTGGGCCGTAATTTGTCGAGTTTTTAAATCCCAGTCGCCTCAAATCGCATAGTGAATAGAGAGCTCCGACACAATGAGTCTCGAGTTCAACGGAACGGAGGGAGTCTTTGACTCCGGCCGCTCTGCCGGTGTCTATGACATGAACCTCTTCTACGATGTACGTCCGCTGTCCTCTTAGTACTGCCTCGGACTCGTAAAAAAAACTAACAGACGCGCGCTTCCCCCAATTCTAGTCTGGCAACATTGCCTGGATCATGGTCTGCAGCGCCCTCGTCCTCCTCATGATTCCCGGCGTCGGCTTCTTCTACGCCGGCCTCGCCCGCCGCAAGTCCGCCCTCTCCCTCATCTTCCTCTGCATGATGAGCACCGCCGTCGTCGGCTTCCAATGGTTCTTCTGGGGCTACACCCTCACCTTCTCCCACACCGGCTCCACCTTCCTCGGCGACATGTCCAACTTTGGCCTCAAGAACGTTGTCGCCCACCCTTCCGTCGGCACTGACGCGCTCCCCGATATCCTCTTCTGCCTGTACCAGGGCATGTTCGCCTCCATTACGTGAGTTGCTTTCTTTTTTTTTTTTTTCCTTTTCCTTTCCCTCTACTTTCCCGCCGCCTCAACGTGGACCCCTCTGACTAACTCTTTTTCTTCCCTCCTCCAGTCCCGCCATCGCAATCGGCGCCATCGCCGACCGCGGCCGCGTCCTCCCCGCCATGGTCTTCATCTTCATCTGGGCCACCGTCGTCTACGACCCCATCGCCTACTGGACCTGGAACGGCAACGGCTGGCTCTTCCAGCTCGGCTCCTCGACTTCGCCGGCGGCACCCCGTCCACATCTCCTCCGGCGTCGCCGCCCTCGCCTATGCCCTCATGCTCGGCCGCCGCAGCGGCTACGACAAGGTCCGCGGCCTCCCCTACCGCCCCCACAACGTCACCCACGTCGTCCTCGGCACCGTCTTCCTCTGGGTCGGCTGGTTCGGCTTCAACGGCGGCTCCGCCCTCTCCTCCAACATCCGCGCCGTCATGGCCTGCTACGTCACCAACCTCGCCGCCTGCGTCGGCGCCTTCACCTGGACCCTCCTCGATTTCAGACTCGAGGGTAAGTGGAGCACCATTGGCTTCTGCTCCGGCGCCCTCTCCGGCCTCGTCGCCATCACCCCCGCCGCCGGTTTCGTCACCCCTGGGCCGCTGTCGTCATTGGTCTCGTCGGTGGCATCGCCTGCAACTTCGCCACCAAGCTCAAGTTCCTCCTCGGTATCGACGAGGGTCTCGATGTCTTTGCCGTTCACGGCGTTGGTGGTATTGTCGGCAACCTCTTGACCGGTATCTTTGCCGCGTAAGTACTCTTTCTTTTTCTTGCCACCCTCTCCCGGTCTTTTAGCCTGGCACGCAAAACTAACACGGCAAATCTAGTCCTTACATGGCCAACCTCGATGGCAGCGATCCCATCGATGGTGGTTGGATCAGCCGCAACTTCATCCAGCTCGGCTACCAGCTCGCCGGTACCGTCGCCGGTTTCGCCTGGTCCTTCGTCCTGACCTGCCTCATCCTTTTCCTCATGAACCTCGTCCCCGGCCTCTCTCTTCGCGTCACCGCCGAGGAGGAGGAGCTCGGCCTCGACGACTGCCAGCTCGGAGAGTTCGCCTACGACTACGTTGAGCTGAGGAGGAACCCCGCTGACTCTCTCGCCACCCCCATCCACGGGTCCACCGAGAAGATTGTTTAAGCGGGATGATGGTTTCGCCCTACGGCATGACTATCTACCCAATCACTCATGACTTGATCGTATGAATAAAAACAACCGAAAAAAAAGCAGGGAAGAGGGGAAGGGGGAATAGAAATGGAGACGGAGAGCAGGAAGATGGGAGACGGGGTTCTCTCAGAGTTGTTTTATGTTTCGTGAACATGATACCGCTGATACCACTTTCGCTCTTGAAATCTTAATAGTACTACTGTCGGTCTCCGTACCAGACCCAGTCCTTTTTCTTTTAATAAAAATTCATTTGCTCTCCAAGATACTTCAGTAAATGTGTGACAGAGAGAGAATCGCTTGTTCATAGACATGAAACATGAAACCAATAAATAGTAGGAACCCGCTCGCTTGGGAAAAGTTTGGATGACTTTGCATATAAATTTCATCATGTACAGATCGCTCCATCTTCTTCCCTCTTCGCGGTCCAAAGAATTGCCCTTCGCAGTTGCTCTGTGAATCTCTCCTCCTGGTACGCCTCATCAAAATGCCCTAACGCCGTATAAAATGATCTCGCTGATCCGAAATTCCGACACCACGCAATCGGGTGACCGGCACCCATTGTGCTCCCTTCAAAAGACTCGTGGTCAACACTTAGAAGCACTGTAAGCGGCGCCAGCCCATCTTCGTCGGATACTGCGCTCGAAAGTCGCGGGTTGGTCTTGTAGTTGTACCACTCGTCGAACCAAGGTATGGCGTCTAGCCCTTGGCCCGATGCCGGAACCCACGGCGCAGAAAGATAGTGGTCTTCGTTTTCGACTTTGAGCAGGCCACGCTGCGGCTCGGGATGGAAATCGAAAAACGCGCCCACAAGCTTTCCGTACCACGGGTCACTGTACATGGCACCAGAAGCACAGTGAACACCGACATACCCGCCTCCCTGTGCGATGAATCCCTTGAGCGCATCCATCTGCACGGTGGTAAGTACCTCGCGCGAATTTTGGAAAAAGATGACCGTGGCGAAGCCGCTTAGCGATTCGGGTGTGAAATAGGTTTCCGCATCTTCCGTGCTAACAACGGAGAAAAGACCATTAGACTTGGCCGCAAGGTCAGCAAACGCGGCGTGTCCGGCAGGGATGCAGGCGTGACGATAGGCGGCCGTCTTGCTGAAGACAAGGACCCGGAACGGGTCGTTCGAGGGCGGCATAGGGTCGGAGATGGTCGTGACTTGAAGAAGAAGAGAAACAAAAAGGAAATATGAGGAAAGAAGAATTGGACGTTACAAAGTGAGAAACGCGGGGACTGAGAATCAGGTGGGGAAGCGAAGGATTCATGAAACCATTCAGTGTCGTTAGCAATACAGTGTGTATGTACACGTATACTGTATATGACGGGTTGGACGGCCTCGACTCTCAAGCAGCCGGGAACATGGGCTCGAGCCGCGTGCTAAACGGCGTATCCCACACCTCGGTATCCATGTGGGGAGCGTAGAAGAGGATGCCTAGCTCCTGGCTCGTGTACCAACTGGCGCGGTCCATGTTTCCGGAGCCGAGGACGACAAACTCGTTGTCCACGCGCACAAGCTTGATGTGAGAGACGACGGGCTCGTTCTCGTCAAGGGCAGAAATGGCGCCAGCATCAGGCTTGTAGTAGAAGATCCTGAGGGCGCCAGGTCGCGGGAGTTGATTGACCCCGGTCTCGAGGTCGCGGCCCTCGGTGTCAGAGGCTGCGGCATGGGCGTCGACAAGCCTCTGGTATTGCTTGACGAAGGACCGGAGGGAGAGCGAGGTGGTGGTCCCGGCGGTAACGAGCTGCTCGATAAGCATCATGTTCTTGCTTGTCCTAATCGTGACTTGCACACCTCTCGAGAGGGCGGATAAGAGATGTGAAATGACGGCGGCACAGGTGAGGTTAGGTGTAGTGATTTCAATTTGAGAACGCGCATTCTCGATAAGAGTAAGGACGGCTGCATTGAGGGGGTCGTCGGGGGCGGAGAGTGCTTGAGAAACGGCAACAGCCGGAAGCGAGGGTTCCTATGGTGAGACGAGGGGAGGATAATCGCCGGGTATGTCGTTTTCCCCGGGAAACGGAATAGGCTGCGAGAAGGGTTCCCGCGGAACTGGAGACTGCTCGGTGCTTTGGGCAGCTGCAGCTGCTCGCCATTCACTCGGCCTCCGGCAGCAAGAGTAAAAGGCGACAAGGGTCTCTTGATATCATCCAGCGCGGCTGGCTCACTTCCGTACTCCCAGACGTGATTGTAGAATTCGAGGAGAGAGTAGACGGCGGGGCCCTCAAACTCAACACAGGTCTCGAACCACGTCTCCCAGCTCACGTTGCAACTCGGCATGAACGCGCGTGTGCGGTCGATTATGAGGAACTTGGGATGCGTGACGCTGAAGGGGAGGAAGAAGAGGCTCTTCACCGTCAGCTCGATACCCGCCTCCTTTAGAATTCTTTCGCTCGGCAGGCCGAGGGAGGGCCAGGCCCGGGCAGGATACGTGTAGCCTCGTCGACTCGGGGTGTGAAATAGCTTCTGGAATAAGGAGCGCGATGAGAAGCATATCCGTATTCTCAGCAGAGGGGACGGATCGCTCTCATCGCCGACGTCTTCGCTCGCCCTGGGGACATCTCGGTAACTTCGGGCTATCCTCCTCTGCTCCGCAAGAGCCTCGAGGGTTCGCTTGAGCGCAGAGAGGGTGGGGGACTCGGCCCAGAAGCAGGTGACTAGTATGATTTCGCTCCGGGCCGTCGATATCGCTGGGAGGAGGGCGTCGGTGAAGATGCTCAAGCCGGAGCCGGCACGGATAGATCGCGGGCTCGCCGAAGTGAGGAGGCAGTCGGCATCGCGGACATGGTAATTCGGAAAGTCTCCGCGCTGTTCATCGCCGTGCGACGCGAGCGAATCCTTCCATGGCCGCAGGAATGACGGCGGGATTGCAGATGGGGATGATCCACTCATCATCTTGAGAGAGAAAAAAGGGGGCGCAAGGCGAGCGGCGAAACGCGCCAATGCTACGCGCCGACGTAGTACGAAGACGAGGGTTGGGTGGGAACGGGCCAAGCTAACCAGAAAAGAAGGGCAGAATAAGATGCAAGGACAAGAGAAAGGGAATGGGCAGGCTGGGAAACGGCGACAGGGAAAAGGAAGCTTTGGCCAATGAGTCTATGACACCTACCGCCACGGACAAGAAGATAGTATCGTGGAGTTGGAATTGTGAGGATTCAATTCACGTCAGCGCAGAGTTGCAGCCAGGCACGCGGCACGGGAATGAGGAAAAGGCTGAGCGGCTTGGGCGCCACCTTGGTGTAAAATTGGAAGCACGTTTCATCCTCCGCAGCAGCTACTGTCTTAGCCATCTGGAATTGATCCTGCCATCATCACTAGTGCTATCGCTTGGATGTGGTAATCATTTAGTTCATACTTGGCAGAGAGAACCAGCAAATCCGCCCCCTTCATTGGCAAGGCAGGAACCAACCTGTACGGGTGTACCCGTGGACCACACCCAGACTTCTGAAAGCAGAAGGACGTCCTCACACTGATTGGCTGAGAGAGCGGACACTGTTGCTGGCACTTGCCCGGTTTGTCTTGCTTGAATCTGTCAATCATCTTTATGCAAGGAAAGTGCAAGTCGGCGGGGCAAGAGGCTCCATCGTCCAACAGGATTTCCAAGTGAGGAACATATCTTAATCAATGCTTCAAATAAGACCGTCATCATTGAACCCTCAAGTAGGGATTGGTCCCATCAAGGGCATGCCATCTTGGTTCAACAATGCCAAGTTCACCTTGAATAAAGCCCCGGCGAGGATGGCTGCGACCTTGCTTCGAACGCAAACAGGCCAACCTTTGGGACCGAGACAAGGAAATAGAAGGGAACCAAAGGGAAGGGGAAAAAACAATACTGTGGTAGAGCCGCGCATATCGAAGACAACGAGACCGAAACATGAGGTTTGCACTGTCGTGTGAGCACCTACCCTACGGCGGTGGTTCCCCAGAAGGAACAATTACCGTTTTGCCCCTCATTCAGGCCCGATTTCCGGTGCAACTGTCAGAATGGATGGGCTTCATCACAAAACTCGAGTCAGCGCGGGTGATGAGGATGATGGGATCAAAGTGCAGTCAGCCCTAATGTACGGAGATGTGTGGGTGTTGCACTGGCAGTGGCCTGGGCGGCTGTCTAGTGCACAAACCTCCCAGGGCGGCCGCTCGTGCAGGACTCAAGGCGACGGCGGTTGACAGGTGAAAACATTGAAGGGCTCAAGCACAACACCAGATCGAAAGCATTGTGTAATAATACTTCAATGCAAGTGGCCAAGAGAGTGAAGTCCCATCGCGCACTCCTGGTGGAATATATCGACCGTGAGCCGAGGAACGCTTAGGGGCTGTAATCAGGCGGACTCGAACTTTACCGCGTCAGCCACCAGCGAATCTGTGCATCGGCATATTATTGACTCGCCCATCAATACTCGTCCTGGTGGATCAAAAAGGGGAGACGGACTGGTTTATTGACCGAGAATTATCTCTCGCGAATTGAATTTGCAGTGCCCCTGAGATGGTCTGGTCACCGGCCCACAACATTCACGACCAACCCAGTCACCAATCTGCACACTTGTTGACGTCCAAGGTTGATGAATCTCCATCGTCCCCACAATGGAAAATGGTGAGGGTGAACTAATAAGATTGCTCCTTCATCCCATCTCACTACGGGATTAATGACTACCCGCCCCTCCACCGGCCTCGTCTCCAGGTTACAACCAATTAGCCGGATCATTGTTACGGAGCATCTTCCTTCGTATCTGCCAGGAGTCGACTCGCCACAGATACAACGCCGGGGCAGCACCTTGCCTTGGAGATTAGTCGGGTGTGCAACTCAATCCGGGAAAGGGTAATTTTCGTTTCAACTGGCCCCTTTGTTTCGACTCAAACTACCAAAGGTCTAAGCCTCCCTGAAGGCGCCGGACCCGCTTCACGACTCCCTTCACAACTACCCCTGCATCCCGGCGCCCCCTTCCCATGTTGACGAATGGGCAGACATCAGTCAAGGTACTCGTTTGGAAGCGGCAAAGGCCAGCCCCTGTCAGAGAACTCGAGCCCTACCACGCAGGTATTTGCCGCCGTTTGGGCCAGCTTCTTTTCTTTGGAAGCCAGCAGCCCGCTCGTTCTCCATTTCGCAAACTGAGCCATTTGTTATTGTTTTTTTCTACCCCGTCCTGGGCCAGAACAATACATACAGGGCAAAGAAAATGAATAAATACAAAAGAGGCAGTGTTGGCTAGGGTCTTTTAATCCTTTAGGTGGGAGACTATGTGCCCAAGCCCGTGGATGGAGTCGGGCTGGCTGCTTGGCTGCGTGCATCTGAAAATTGGGAAGGAAACCGTATCGCCACCAACAATGCGCTCTCAACCAAGTCCTATCCATACCTTGGGCTTACGCACGTGTATTCGTATCCAATTGGCCACGCTGGGACCAGGGTAAGCCGCCACGAAGGGGCTTGCTTCTCGGGAGCATGCGATGGAAGGGCAAGTCCTCCGCATCGGCGCTAGCAAGACGGCGGAGCCTTGTATATCTTGTGGACTTGCGGAGAGAAAAGGGCTTTTTCAATGCACCGAGTATATGTTCGTTGACGGCGTTGGGTCTCCGAGAGCAGGGGTGCAAGGGTGCAAGAAATACTCCTATGAATAGCCCTTTCAAGGCACCATGTACCCGCCGAGAACCATCCCCCCTCGGCGCCGTTGGGATCGCCCCGTCTCGGTACATCACGAAGACTGTGACCTCGTTTCTGTGGGATTTCACCACCCTGCGCTGCAGCTCGATCCATCCATCCACTCACACACACACACAGAGCATCGAGTACCCTTGCGCTCCAACGCGGAACGGAAAAGGCTATCAGGGGAGTGGGGAGGATGCCCTGTCGTTTGAGATTTCTTCGGCCATATATGATTTTTGTAGCCCAACCCCCGTTCACGGAAAGCTTGATTGCTTTGCTTCTCGTTCTGAAAATTCCCACTTCTCGTCCTCGTCCCCGTGCCCGCGCCGTGCTACAGCTTCTGTCTTTTGCCTATCCGGTCTGACTCTTCTCAGCATCGTTGAAGAGCCAGCTCAGGCGCATAGAATTCTCGAGTCTTTTCCAAATTCCCGCACCTCGCTTTGCCTTCCTCCGAACCCTCCGTCCTTGCGCTCACGACCCAACTTGCGTTTTCACCTGGCAGGTCCCACCACGTGCTTTCCTCTTCTTTGGAGCTCTGCAAACAGGCCCCATTCTTTCCTCCACCCGCCGAGCGGAGTGCCAAAACGGTCATCAGCCTTGCTCGAATCCAATTCCGCTTCCCGATCTCTTCCAATCTCACCACAATGGGTGAAGAAGTCCCCGCCCACATTCAGGCGCAGCCCCGAACCCAGCCGCCGTCGCCGGCTTCCACGGGCAAGCAACCGACTCTCCACCTCGACAGCGCAACGCCTCCTAAGCCGAGCATCGAGCGCGTGCCAACGGCCGAGATCCTCTCACCTACCATGCCAATGACCCCGAATCCCTTCCTGTCTCGCCATAATACTCTCGACATTGACGACTACTTTGTAAGTCAAGCTGCTCCTCGTCGACCTTGGCTTGAAGACGAGGTTCCCCGACTATAATCTCACTCCTGAGGCGAGTCCGCAATGTGCAATGTACCAAGGAATCTAACTTTGCTCTGTGCAACAGGTCGGACCTCGCGACATATCGAAGCATTCGAAATGGCCATTGTTCATGAGAATGCATGGGAGCATCCTCCCCAAGATGATTGTCCCATTGCTGTGGGTTGGTGCCTGGTCTAGCACCATCACCTGCATCACCATGCTGGAAATCGCGAACCGTGAGTAGCGGCGTCCTTTCACTTTCCCTTGCTATTCCAATAGGCCTTGTTTGCCAGAAAAGTCTACCTCTTGGGCTGTACTAACTTGGGTCTTCCTCCCACTACAGTTGGCACAAATCCCGTATTGCTTACCATTACCGGTTTCGTCGTTGGTCTGGGCCTGTCGTTCCGTAGCTCCACCGCGTACGAGCGCTATAACGAAGGTCGACGATACTGGGCGCAGCTCACACTCGCGTCGCAGAACCTCGGCCGCGTGTTCTGGGTGCACGCGCGCGAGACGGACCCGGATCCGGACAGGCAAAGGCGCAGCTCCTCCAGGCCATGACCTGCACCAACCTCATCGTGGCCTTTGCCATTGCTCTCAAGCACAAGCTCCGATTCGAGCCTTACACCGTCTACGACGACCTCGCGCACCTGGTCGCGCATCTCCAGACATTCGCCGGAACGGCAACGGCCGACGACCCGTCCAAGGCCGAGCATCCTCCCAAGAACATCTTCAAGGAGGTTGGCGAGTACCTGGGCATCTCTTTCGCGGCCAGCAACCCCGCAAGGTGCTCAAGAAGGCGAACATGCCTCTGGGAAATCTGCCTCTCGAGATCCTCAGCTACCTCGGTCGATGCACCGACAAGTTTGTAGCCGAGGGTAAACTTCCCGTGCCCATGCAGCAGACCCTTGCCTGTACGTCTTCCCCTCTTCCCTACCCCGGTGGAACAATTTCCGTCCTCAATACTATCCTTAGGGATTCGTTACTGATATGCCGTGGTCTAGATAACAACCTTCTCTCGCTCAACGACGTTCTCACCGGTACTGAGCGTGTGCTCAACACTCCCTTCCCATTGCCTACACCATCGCCATTTCGCAAATCACCTGGGTGTACGTCATGCTCCTGCCCTTCCAGCTCTGCACCGCTCTGGGATGGGTTACGATCCCCGCCAGCATCGCCGCGTCGTACATTATTCTCGGCATCCTCTTCATCGGCCGCGAGATCGAGAACCCCTTTGGCCAGGACGTCAACGACTTGCCTCTTGAGCACTACTGCGAGCAGGTGGCCATCGAGATGGACATCATCGCTGCCCAGGCCATGCACCTCGAGAACCTGATGGAGCACGTCGAGAGCGGCAAGAACCGTGTCCTCTTCCCCGTGAGCTCCGCGTCCTACACCAGCTGGAAGATGCGACCCGAGCAGAGGCTGCGCGAGGCCATCAAGCTGAAGCCCCAGGCCGTGTTCGATCAGAGGACGCATCACGAGGGTGACCTAGCGGCTGCCAAGGCGGAGACGGTCCTCGTGGGCGAGAAGAAGGTTTGAGCTTACTTGTGATCGGCCAGCGGACAGCCTCGTTGTTGCCGCGTCTAATTACCACATGGGACATTATCATTAAATATAAACTTTGAATTTTGGCGCTCTCCAAGGGATGGAGCAAAACGGGATATCAACAATACACCAAGGGTCTTTCAAGAAGATAAAGAGAAAAAAATACCAGGGCGAAAAGGAGAGAATACACATCCATGGATCATTTTCGGAGATTGGAGGAAACTACATAGCGTACATAGACCCTCGTTTGTAGGGTTTTATCGGACTTTTCTATTTCTGTTTGTTCATTCATCGCTCTCTTATTACATTTCACCAAAACGGCTTTGACGAGTCACTCACAGATTCTGAGAATCAATACAGACACACTACTTTTCGTTTGTCCCAAAGCCCATCACTTATACCGGAGGGAATATATGCGCAGTTTAATCGCAACAGCGTTTGCCTGAGATGCACCATGTTTCAGGCGGCCTGGCCGAAACGTGGGACTCGTTGACTCATCTCACAATTGACGGGCTGGAAGCAATCTTTTGTTTTTGCCCGTAGCTAAAACAATATCCTTTCTTCCTTTGCTTATTTCCATGGCTCGTTAGCGTAGCTCGGCTGTCTGATTGCTAGGGGAGAATCGGTGGGTGGGGCCGTTCAGCCGCGGCGCCCGGCTCCGGTGGCCGGGGCGCGTGTCACAATTTGTGGTTGGAACGGCCGTCGAGTAGAGTTTTCCACCTGATTTTTTCACTACCCCTGGAAACATGGTCGTCAGGCATCGTCAGGGAGTGTGAGGACAACTCTGAACAAACTCGCAAACGGACAAGGCGAGGGAGAGAGAGAGAGCGGGAAGCCCCGGAAATGCATGGACAATCGGAGAGCTTCCGGGCTCAAGCAGAGGATATAAAGGGCAGATCTCTCTCCCCTCGTTAATATCCCAAACCTACTATCCTCTGGCCATCCAGCCTATTAGCCCACGGTACCGAGTCAAAGCCGGCTTAGGTTCCATGCGGGGGTCCAGCTCCCCGACCGACGAGTGTGATCGCTGCGCCGCGCGGGGAACCTCGCCAGTTTTGCCTACGAAGATCTGCGAGGACCCGCGCGGCACGAAAATCAGCAACGCTCTTATATATATACCACGCTCCAGGGCTTGGGATGTGGGAGGAAGAGTACAGAAGCTGGAAGGTTTCTTCTCTCCCGCTTTTCATAGGGGGCAGGGGGTTCGTTTTCAACCTTCACGAATGGCCGTCGACGGGGCCCTAATGGGAAAGACAAGGTTTGTGCAATGTCTCCCCCCTCTCTCATAGCATAGCGAGCACCAACTAACTTGACACTACGCCCTGAACTAGTCGTCATATCGGTACGGAGGCACCATGAGTCTCACCAGATCGCTCCCAGCCGCAACGGTAGCAAGAAGCTATGTGGAGGCAAGGGGCCACAAGATCGGCCGAAATCTAACGGGGCCCGCATATCCTGCCTCCGGTAAGGCAGTATGGCCCATCTCCAGCACGCCGCATCGCTTGTTCATGTCGACTTTGCCCTGCTATGGCCAATCTAGCAGTCGAGGATCCACGCCATGGTGAAAACGGAAGAGACCGTATCGTGGCATGATTAGAACATCTCAGCTGTTCAAGTCTCAAGCAGGTCCTTTGAATGGAAGAATAACGCGGACACCGGCACCCTCCCAAGCCGAAGCCTAAGGATCTTCTATTTCTTTTCTTTTCTTTTCTTTTCTTTTTTGGGCCTTTTGGGGCCGGTTAGTTGGCTTCGATCTAAGCCAAGGCATGTGACGAGCACGGCGAATACTTCCGTGGGCCGGGCCGCGATATGACAGAAAAGATCCAGATACCATCGCCCATCTAACCCTATATACACTGATAAGCCCTGACAGCCGTCAAACTCTATGCTCAGTGCGACTACGCTTAGGTATGAGGCGTCCCCGCTGGTCATTTCCCCGGAGAGTCGAGAATCAAGAGGACAGCATCGCGCCAGCAAGTCCGACCCCAATGATGGTCCTCCCCGTGAATCTCTATGGTAAAATGGTCAGTCACGTTGCTTCCTGGATACCAGCGGGACCCGAGGCTGACACGGAGGCGGTACTCGGAAATATTAGCTCCTGTGTGGCTTCTGGGATATCTCCCCTGTCCATGTCACGATCGAGGACGGCTTTTCACTCCCTCGAGCCTTCCGACCAGAGTTAAACCGAGCAAATATAGTGGATGCCTGACCCGGATATACTTTTAAACAAGACGATTTCCATAGTCAACCCTCGCAACCGGGGGTTCGTGAAGAAGCAAGCGATACCTCCCCTACACTCCGCCGCTCTCCGGCACCGGGTGCCCATCATTGACTACTTTGACACCAAGCACTGTCCATTGGGCGGAGGAAGGACGGGCCAGGCAGAAATGAGGCTTCCAGAATGGCTGGTTCTTGTGATGGAAAGACCAAACATAGGGTCTACTCGTCACTTTTAACACAAGGGATCTGCGGGCCTTCTTACCACCTTTGTTGCGGGCTTCCTCCGGCCTCTTTTGACCAGAGACCATCCCGCCAGCACGAGTAACTGGTGTTTGACGACACTGGTAAAAAGAAAAACGTCCCTACCGAATCTCAAGCCTGACGCACCAACAAGTCGGTCCTTGTACGTGCGACTGCTAACCCCAGTACCATGGGATACTCTGGCGTTCCTGTGGTCTGGGACTTCAAGCTCGATGACGCTTTTCACCCTTCGTTTGTTTCACTTTTTTGGTCTCTCTCCACCCTGGCTTTTAGCGGCTTGCATTGCGGGACTAAGAAAAGGCTGAATGCGCCGCATCTTGAGACTATGGCTTTTCCGCTAGCCCTGGCCCAATCTTCTTCAGAGAACCTGACCGAAATAGAGATATAAAGAGAGCGAAGAAGCTAGCGAGTAGGTAAATGGGCAAGTCAACAATCAAATCAATGCCGTTTATGCACGACGGGGGTGGACGGCCTCTCTCCGCGAGGACTCGGGATCCGATACCTTCTCTATGCATATGGGTTTGGATCTGCCCACACGGATCTTTTATATATCACGACACCTGCACGCCATAGCCGAGCACCCCCAGAGGTGAGAACCGCCAGCCTACAAGCCTATGGGTTCGTGCCCTTGTAGCCCTTGTCGGGTTTTTCGTTTCAACAGATTCGGAACGACGTGGCCTCTATCTAGACTCTCTCACCCACCTCGACTCCAACGCGGCACGTGGTTCCAGGGCGGCTCAACCTCTATATATATCCTCTGTTCAGGTTGCCCTTTATTGGTAGTATCGTCGTCGACCGTGAGGGGACCAATCCACGGAGTTTCGGAGGAACCCTGCACACCCTCGTTGACAGCTTCAATGCTTTTCGGCACGCCATCAACCTACGACATGAGAGGGCCTTCATCCGAGTAACCTCAATACCGAATGAGGAGCAGACGAAATCTCAAACCTGGCAACGGTTCCCCGGGTATGAGAGGCAGCATGATAGCGGACCTGCCATCTCACCCCGTGGTCAAGCGTCTGGTCTTTCCTGCGTTGAGTAGACAACCTCGCCCCCTCGCCGGCTTTCACCACAGCATGCGATCTGTTACCGCCGCGCGACCTCAACACTAAGGAATGTCCATTCATCTTGTTCTTTTCTCCTCTTCTTTTCTTTGGCAATCCACTCCGAGCAACAGCCCTAGTTCAGAAAGCCAATGCGGAAGAGCGAAAGCGGTCGCTTGCCGCGCTAGCTATGGCACATTTATGGTCCACAAGATCAAGGTTGACTGATTGGAACATTGAACCCGTCGTTGCTCAGCAAATTCTCGGAATACCCCCTTGCAGACAATGACAGCGAGGGCGAAAGCGAGCAGAAGCAGCGGAGATGGTAACCTGGTGTGAAGCAAGCCCAAGATCGAAGCGTGTGAGCGGACCCATCACCAAGCTGGCAGTCGAACCCGTCGCCGTCGTCAAGGTTCAAGGCTATCAAGGATCATGGAGAAGAGGACAGCCCAATCGAGAGGAATTGACAATGCTCCTTTCGAGCATGTGAACGTTGCCAAAACCCTAGACAAATATGCAGGCTACGCTGAACGAAGACTCGTTCTTCGGAGAAGCAAGCTTCAGATCCTGGACGAGAAAAATATTGGGCACCCAAAGGCAGCCTTCGCGGCTAAGAATGGAATATATACGCGATGTAATAGGGAAAAAAACAACAGGCAAGGAAGCGGTGAAGTAGGCTGCTAGCGTGCGCACACACAAAACTGGACAGCAAAAAGCATTGAGGACTTGGGAAAGACGCAACCTCTCAAAGTCAGTACTCCTCAAGTCCAAAGTACGGGCGGGGGGTAAGACAGCACGCGAGGCAAGTTGCAGCAAGTGGTGGGTATATATCATGGATACTGTATTCATCGGTACCGGGGCAGAAGAATAATGACTTTGAGGAGACAAGACGCGGGGCAGATCATGGGGGTTGCAAGAACACTCAACCCTATCTTCCCTTCGTACCTGCTCCCGTCTTATTTCTCAAAAATGCCCGCCTATAGAGCAAGGAGCACGAAAAGAAAAGGGTATATCTTGGTTTCGAGATTTATTCTACCCTCTTATCTTACCATAATCAAGAGACCTATTAGCCTCCAAAGTTCACATCTAATTCGCAATATGGAAACCTCCACCTTCCTGTGACGCCGCCACCTAGCTCATGCAATGCCAGACCTGGGGCATAAACCCAGGAGAAATAAAGAGAGAAAAAGAAAGGAAACTAATCTCGTAAGTCGTTACTTCAGCTCTCCCGCTCCCCTTAGAGCAGCAGAAATGGGAGGGTTAGCTTGTGAGTCCAAGAGGGCATGCCCTCGCTCACAGAGGAGGCCCAAAGGGATCTTCTAATGCCCCGCCCATCTTCCTCCGCTTCGCCTCCTCGCTTGCGCTCCATCCACAGGGGGTCCAAAGGGGTCGTTAGCGCCCTCCTCCTTTTGGCAGGGCGGTCCTTCTTGACTGCTTGCTCCCTCCTCGATTTCTGAAGCGCCACGAGATCCGCCCTATCGGGATCGCGACACTTCTTGAGTTTTCTAATGAGGGGACGAACGTCCTTGTTGGCCTCGGGCTACATATCCGGTGTCAGTAGTGATTTGTAAACGAAAGCCTACTCGGATCTCAGATAGCAAGCAATGACTTACCGTGCTCCAGTAGTTATCCATCCTCTCGGGAGGCTCCGTCTCGAGCAACTCCCTACAAGCCTCAATCGTCTTGACAATCTTCCTTTGAAGCGCCTCCATGGCGCCCTCGCTAGGCTTCATGACGTTGTTGGTGTTGGCCGCATTTTCTATACTGTAGTCAAAAGACTGCTGGATGAAGCGCTGTGCGAGTTCTCTGTCGGCCATGAGGAGGGCGGCAAACATGATCTGGCTCGGGGTGTAGTGGAAGTAGGCATCCGTTATGAGGGGCTGAACTTGAGAATGTGTCTCGCCTCCGCGTGGACCCTATCGACTCGTGCCCTCTATAGTATTTTCCCCCGGTTAGCCTTTGCCTGTTCGTTTGAGTTGAATGGAGAGGTGATGCCTACCTCGTCCGGATACAGGTGCCGCAGCTCCAATATGACTCCCTCGAGAGCGCGGAACGGGTGTCTCACGTCGAAACAGAAACGAATGCCCTGGCAAAGAAGAAACTCTCCGGCAACTACTTCTTCTGCCGTCGTATTCGGGAACTTTTCGGCGAACCTATTCAAATTACCAAGAGATTAGCTTGGGCACGTAGACAGCTTCCTAATTCTTTTCTTTTTCTTTTCTTTTTCTGGGGACCGTTGGTGGGATGAGAGACGGGCAGCCCTTCAAACGAGAACAAATCAATCACGTACTTGGACAACCGCGTATAAAAGCCCTCCCCTTAGAGCCAAAAAACAAACACGTCTTCAAGATATCCGTCGGCGAGTACGTCATGACCGAATTCGTCACGTAGAACCGGCGCAGGTGCACCGCCGCCGTGGCCCTAATCTCAGTGGGCAGCTCGCAAAAGGCCGCCGCGCGCAAAGCTCAATCGTGAAGAACTTGAGCAGTCGCTCCTCCTCCTCGGCCGTCAGGAACTCGGGCAGGGGCGCCGCGCCCTCTTGCGCGCCGCCGCCCGTGGAGAGCCGGTTCGAGATGTGCGTCGTCGCGAGGGCGTTGGTCTTGGCTCGTAGCTCCGCGAGCTTGGACCGCGAGTACGACCAGATGCGGAATTGGGTGGATTGGCGGTAGCGGGAGTCTTCTATAACGTCCATGATGGCGGCTAGACGGGTAGATCGGGGATCGAGGCCAAAAAAAAAAGAAGCGTCAGTTGGTTTCGTCGAGGGTGGCGGTTCCGCGTGAGGTGGAAATATTTTAGACGAGTCGAGTCGTTTGGTCTTCGCTCGTGAGGCTTGGAGCTTGCATGCTGTGCACTGTGTGGTCTGTGCACAAGCTTTCCGTCCTTTGAAGACACCCTCCATTCCAAAGCTTCTCATCGCTCGAGGGGCTTGTCTCACTTTTAATCAAGGTACGCAAACCATTATTAGTAGCTACTGCCTCTCAATGCTCAATGCTTTTTACTCGAGTTGCTTCGAGTTCGAGGAACTTCGTACAGAGAATCCTGGCTGAACGGGCAATGCTACGAACACCACTATGTCCGTTCATCTAGTTCCGAAGAGGAGAGAACAATCTTGACTCCCTTAGTGAAGAAACACAAAATGAAATTACTACTAGATAATACGCCTCCGCTCTCTGCCATAAGTATCGATGGTGCTATTAAAGGTAGGCTTAGTCCCCGAGTGCAGCCCCTCCAAACCGCAACAACCCACCACTGCCCCGCGCCAAGTGCCACGAACGTGGGGCAGCATCCCATCGCCAACCGCCATCGGCTGCTCCCAGCGAGTAGGAAGGCCAAGAAGCCAGCGAGACCGAGAACCCGCTCGCCCCGGCTCCACGCGCCCGCCCAGCCAGAGATCGATTTGCCGTATAGGCTGCGCTAACAATCTCGCCTCTCAACGAGGTCTTCTTAGCTCAGTTGGTAGAGCGCTGGTCTCATAAAAATGACTCGGAAGAGACACTACCGAGAGATCCAGAGGTCGACAGTTCGAGCCTGCCAGAGGACATGTTCTTTTTTTGTGTCTAGACCCATTGTGCCCTTGCTCTTTCTTTTGTGCACTTTGTATTTCTATTTTTTTAACCCTTCCGTTTTGCCCTTGAGCTCTTTGCTCCTTGAATTGGCCTCGTACAAACTTTTGGGGGAGGTGATGTATGAAACTTCAAGCACATGTGGGTTTGATGGAGTGGGAAACAAATTGGTGGATCTGGACTGCAATGTCGTCCCCCTCCCCCACAAATACACACTTCCCAAATCCGAATGATTCAAAACCTCTCTTACGAAGCCCTGCCATCAATCAAGACCCGCCAGCAACGGATCTTGCCCCATCAAATCCGTCTTCTTAGCTCAGTTGGTAGAGCGCTGGTCTCATAATAATGACTCGGAAGAGACACTTACCGAGAGATCCAGAGGTCGACAGTTCGAGCCTGCCAGAGGACAGATTCTTTTTTGTCAATACTTTTTGTTTCATTATTTTTCTTATTTTTGCATCTCTTCTTTGATTGATGTCATCTTCATATCCAATACTCTCACATCTCTTCACATCTCTCTCTCATAGGGCAGAGATGGGTGGATGCTGGTCTCACTGCTCACGTCCCAGAAATTACACAATAGACATATAATGCTCTTGTCCAATGATTTATATAGAAACCCGCACAAATGGATTAAATTCGTAGAGATGGGTCATCAATCTATGCTTATCTACTTGGGGGTATCCGGTAATATCTGCTCAAGCCTCCTACTCCCTTTGAGCCAGGTAAGCCACGCGTGTCCTATGTGAGTGCGCGCGTCAAGGCATATATCCCTCTACTTCTAATACTTCGCTCAAAGACGTGATCAGGATCAAGGTAAAAGTGGGGGTCATGAGATTTGATTAAATGGTAACAAGAAAAAAAAACGGTCAAGAAAAAGAGATGGTCCATCCTGGAGTGTATATAAATCATCCGGGCGGGAAGAATCTCGTTTGCTGTCGAAGCAAATGGTGAAATGAAAGTGGGCTTCGGGTGTGTACAAAGTGATTGGATATATTCGCATGGGCTTGAGTCCGATTTGGAGCTTCTGCCTCTTGTCGATAGAAACGATACCGCGCGGTCGACCATGCCGCCTTGCTCTCTCTCCCTCTCCTCTAATTAGATTCGCTAACATTCCGCTCTCCGCGACGATAGGGTAGAACCCTCACGACGTTCACCTCCGTGGCCGGAAGGCGGGCTGGGTGGGTTGCGCCGCAGCTTGCGCCTGGACCGTTTCCGTGACCACGACCGGACGCCCGGCGGCGGTCCAGTGGGCCGGAGGGATCACGTGGCGGTTGTGGCCTCCATTGATGGGAACCGCAATCAAAACAGGGACTCCCGCATGGCCCTGGGCCGGGGAAACGTGGACGGGAGGTGCCTGGTGGATAGGAGGAATCTGAGCTGGGACGTGGATAGGAGCGACGACTTGTACGGGAGGCGCAACGTGGACGGGAGGCGCAACGCGCACAGGAGGTGTGATGTGGACGGGAGGGGCGATATGGACGGGAGGAGCGATATGGACGGGAGGGGCGATATGGACGGGAGGAGCGACGTGGACGGGAGGAGCGACATGGACAGGCGGGGCGACGTGGACGGGAGGGGCGACGTGAACGGGAGGAGCGATGTGGACCGGAGGCGTAACGTGGCTCGGAGGGATGATTTGAGCGGGCGGCGTCTGGTGAGCCATGCCCGGGTCGGCATTCGAAACCCCGCACACGCTCGACGTGACAGTGACGACCCTCTCAACGGGAACGGTCACCGTGACGGGAGGAGGAGTAGGTTGGCCGGGGTTGGCATCCGCGGCGTCACAGGCGCTCGAGGTGACAGTGACGACCCTCTCGACAGGGACGGTCACCGTGACGGGAGGAGGAGTGGGCTGGCCAGGATTGGCATCGGCAACCTCACATGCGCTCGAGGTGACGGTAACTGTCCTTTCAACGGGGACGGTCACGGGCCGTTCGACGGGAACGGTGATGGTCCTCTCAACAGGAACGGTGACTGTCCTCTCCACGGGCACAGTGACAGCCCTGTCGACGGGGACGGTGACGGTCCTCTCCACAGGAACGGTGACAGCTCTCTCGACGGGAACTGTAATCGTCCTTTCAACAGGGACAGTGACGGTAACACGCCTCTCAACAGGGACAGTGACGGCCCTCTCGACGGGAACTGTAATCGTCCTTTCAACGGGGACAGTGACGGTAACACGCCTCTCGACAGGGACAGTGACGGCCCTCTCGACGGGAACGGTGACGGTAACCCGTCTCTCCACAGGGACTGTGACCGTCTGTTGGATGGTCTTGATCTCGGTAACGGGCACCTTGACAGGTACCGTGACGGGAATGGTGACTGCCCGGTCCTGGACAACTGTCTTGGTCTGCACGACATTCTTGACATCCGTCTTGGTGATTACTTGCGTGACGGCCTGGGTAATGACCCTCGTTACCTCCTTAGTTTGGATCACGTTCTTGACCTCCGTCTTGGTGACAACCTGAGTAATGGGTTGCGTGACGACCTTGGTTTCAACAACCTTCTTCACCTCCGTCTTTGTGACAACCTGGGTAATGGGCTGGGTGACTACCCGCGTAACCTCCTTCGTCTGCACGACGTTCTTGGTCTCTGTAGCAGTCCTCACATCGGTGACTGTCTTGGTAACTTCTTGCCTTTGCACGTCCGTCTTGGTCACGATCTTTTCGAGCACCGAGGTGACGGTAACGTGGACGGGCACCGTGACGTGGACCGTCTCCTTGACGACTTGAGGAACATGGACGGTCGTCGTTACAATCTGGGGCACATGCACCGTCTTGGTGACAATCTGAGGTACGTGGACGGTCTCGGTCACGGCGAGGATGCACTCTTTCGGGCAGTGCGCCGGGTGTTGTACAACCGGAGGAGTGGCGACAACGACGGAGGCCAAGGCGAGGCCGGTGGCTACGAGTGTTCGGGGAGAAAGCATCATGGCGGGCTTTCTTGTTTGCGGTTTGTTCTTCTCACTAGGCTAGGTATCGATGTCGTCCGATGATCTGTATATCGGCGGATCGGGTTCGAGGTCGCCTTTCTTTTCCTACTGAAAAGGACTGGAAGAAAGGTAGGAAACACGAGTACTTGAGAAACCGAAGTCAAGTATAAAAAGTAAGCAGGCAAAAGAAAAAGAGTTGTAAAAATCGAGATGCCAGCTCGGCTGCCGAAAAGAAAGGAAGATGGTGAGACTGGAAAAATAAAGAGATATTTCACAGTAGGGTTGAACCAATCTTCCCCAAAAGCCCGTCGTCAAAAAAAGAAAGAAAGGAAGAGGGCGGACGGGAAAGGAACGAACGTAACAACAGAAAGACCGGCTCGAACGAAAGGATGGAGAGAGAGGAAGGAAAAGGAGAGCGAACAAAGGAAACAACGGCGATCAGTGCAGCGCCGAGAGTCTTATAAGGCGATAGCAACATTTTCCGGGTCGCCGAGGACTCTCCCCTCCCTCCAGCGACCCATACACCATAGAATAAGCACGGTCTCGGTTTGTTCCCATTCGGACGCCGATTGCCGTGCACTCGGAGGAACCCCTTTTCCTTACCGCTACCCTGCGACCTAGCAACCAGCGAGGCTGATACAGCACCCAGCTCTCCAGGTTGGGAACCAAGATGGGAGGGGAGAGAAACTTTGAGCTGGTCCCCTGGACCGCGTCTCAAGGGGGTCGAGCTACTTCGTCCACCGAATCCTGCTTCGTCGGCTGGCTGGACAAGACCCCAAGCCCTCCCTGAGCTTGCACCCAAGGCAAGCATGGACAGTGGAGACTGCCCAAGGTTCACGATGACGGAGGCCGTCCCATCAATCCAGGCAAGTGTCTAGACCACCCAGGGCTCACAAGAGTACAAGGGGAAAAGGTGTGAAATTGCCGTGCGCAAAAGTACACCCTGTTGCGGGTGAAACAAAGGAGCCGCAGCACCATAGCAAAGTCGAGGTTGAGAAAAGCTTGAGTCCCTGGTCCATGTTGTTGCTCCATCCGAGGAGGTGCAGGGGGCTTGTTTAAGCTTGGCACTGACAGGGGTCTTCTTTGCGATTTGGGCGAACGAAAGACCAGAGATATGGAGTGGGGGCTTTTCTCTAACAGCCACTCCCGTGCTTTAGTGGAACACGGGGTTTTTAGTCCACTGTGCCCTGCATTCCCGGGTTGGCCTCGATTCCTTCTGTCCTGCCAATGCGTGCCACTCCACTTGCACGAGTAGCGTAGCGTAGTGCATGCCTGTTTCCTATCTTTGATGGCATTAGAGTTTGCCCATCTACTCCAGCCAAGCAAAATATTATGTCCTGGCGATTAGCTCGATATAACAAGAGCCCAGATGATGGCTCGAGAACAGTACAGTTGAGGCTTCAGGGTTAACTTGGCAGGGTGTCAGAAAACGGACGGGTTCTCGATTCCAGAGGAGAGAGAGCTCGTTCAACTGTAGGACTGTCCCATCGCATTTTTTTGCTTGGGAGGCTGACGGGAAGGAACAGTCAATGCTCGGATTCTGATACAGACCTCCTTGCGCAGGCACTTTGGTTACCCCCACTTGGTCCAATGAAGACGCACCCTGAGTAAGAGGATCGGCTGGGACCGAGATTGGCTTAATGCGGCGAAGATCACGGCCGAGAGTCGATCGTGAGAGTCAAGGTCAATATACGCGGTCGAGGAAACCCGGAACGGGTGTGTGTTGGCACGTCTTTGTGGGAGATCTCTCGACGATCCCCAAAGATTTCCTCGAGCTATTTCATTTTCAAAGAGAAGAAAAAAGGGGGACAGCCAGCCGCCATTGCTCTCTTCCAACTTTGTCTATCAGATCATCACGACTTCTTTTCCCATCTGTTTGCGGGCGCGCCAACCCCTTCCTCTTCTCTCTTCGAATCGAGCGCTGGCGCCTCGTTTGAGGTCAATTCAGCTTGTGGCGAAAGCCCGACGACGAGTTTCTGATTGAGGTGAGGGATCCTCCCCTCCGAATTCGAGCGTGCAGTGGCAGTGCCTTAATGCCAAAGAAGCCAGCGACGGTGGGCGCTGCCGAGGACGGGCGCAGCGAAAATGCTCTCGATTCGGAGTCTTCGGAGATCTAGGTCTTCTGGGCTGTGTGTGACCAACTCAGCTTTACCCCAAGCCCTTGGGGCTCTGGGGGCTTCGGTCCCGTCCTGTGCGCAGCGCAGTGTGGTGCATTGCAGGTTTTCTTACATCACGGACAGGGACGGGGGCCAAGATGAGACACCAGGCCCAGGGTCCGAGCCAAGCATGGTTGGGAGCAAAATTCTTTGGGAAGGTGAGGTGCCGCATAGCAGTTGGCAGCCAAGCAGCGAAGCAGCAGGTACAAAGGTACAGACTCAATCTTCTGTGCTCCATCCAGACTTCGTATTTTCCAATACCAAGGCAAGCAAGGACACCATGGGCAGGGATGCAGGAAGCACCCCAGAGGCCGAACCAAGCGGCCAGTTGATGTTATTCATCCCCAAGCAAAAGCTGTCCGAAATAATCATAATGCTCCATACCAGAACCAAAAAGATGAACACTGATCACTGGTACTAAACTGATCGTCAGGTCAAGGACGCAAAGCTGCAGGGCAATTTTATACAGCTTTCTTGAGGTATTACACGACCCGTCATAATTCACGATGGGATTGAAACCCCACATGTGCACAATTCTGGGAGAGCACAACGCACGTCGCCACCACAGCGATGGATCAAACCTCCTTCACTGCTGAGCAAGGCAATGTGGTCCGTTCCAAGTTGTCACCAGCCTTAAGGTTATTCGGCAAGAGGGTCCCCCGATCCCTAGTTTCCACAATTACTCCGCAAAAGAGTAAGAATTTCTCCTCGAGCAGTCTCATCCCAGTGGAGAGCCTGGCTAGTGCTCTCCGGGCCCCCTTTCAACCTGCCAGTGTCCTCACTCCTGTCAGGATTCGGATGATGGCAACATCAGAACTGAGACGTCAACAAAGATCAATTGACAGGATGACTTGTTGTACAAGGGAGGGGCTAGTTCTTGAGCGTTCGACTTGACGAACGAAGCAAGAATGGCCGATGTAGACCAATGGCAACATTGAACGCCAAAAAGCAACGGCAGAATGGCCGAGCGTTGCCAGCCAGGCCAGCACATGTCGAATCCGTCATGTTTCAAAACTTTTTCTTCACACTTTCCCGCTTCACACAATCTCTCACACTGTGGTCCCAACCCACCTCATCACCGCAAAGGCAAGTGCGCTGGCGCAAGAACAACACCAAGAATGAAGGAGCGGCGAGCCACGGAACGCACTGTGCCAAAACCTCAAGCCACCCGCCAACTTCCAGGGGCTCTTCTCCCCTGCATGTGCAGAGGTTCCCAACACCGACACGTGCGTTCATTTCAACACCAGCTTTGCGTTTGCCCCTTGCCCTGGGATCGAGGTATGATCGGGCCTCGAAGGATTGTTATGCTCTAGAAATGAAGAACACTCGAAACCTTATCGGAAGTAGGTCGAGATCTCGTCACATCATGAACCGGATGTAGCCCCTTTTTCATCTTTTTCATCTTTTTTTATCCACACCATCGCCCACCTTTGTCCGCGTCCTTTGGCCTACGTCCTGTTGTCGATGAGTATCGATAAGAAGGTGTTGGCTCTTTGGTTTTGTAGATAGGGGCCCCAACGAGTGGCATGCATACGCGTATGCAGCTAATGCTTGGGGCCTCGTTGAACGGCACAGAGCGACTCTAGAAACGTCAGAGCTATTAGCGAGCGCAAGAGTTCAATACATTAGCAGAGGAGCCCCACAGTACGGATGTAGTCCTGGTGGTTCTCCCTCCGAAGCTTACTTCATAAGTCATCTACTGTTGCACAAATGAAGTGTACCTTGTGTGATATCCGGTCCCAACCAGCTCAAGGAGTGAGGCGGTTCGGGAGAATCGGTGAAAATCGCGGTGTACAACAAAGAGAATCTCGCTGAAGGGTATAGGCAGCCTAGTCTCGCAGTGGGGATAGCCTCAACTGTGTCTATACTGAGATTCGGCTCGTAGAAATCAAGCACAAGATACTCATCCATCAGAATATCAGTGCTATGCACCTCAGTATTCATCAATGTCCAAGGTTCCATCAAGGGAAACCACCTGGGGCTGGGACGAAAAGGAGGCGAGCGTTGACGCTTGAAGAAGGCCTGCACCTATGGCGTAGGAGAGACGGGGATCATCCACAAGCACCGGATATTGGTGTATCCCAGCCTTTGTGATACCTCACGCATTGCTAACCAAAGAAAAAAGGGGGAAGAACGACAGGGGAAGAACTAGAAGTAATTCATATCACGGATAGACGCGCTCTTAAAAACAAATAAAACAAACACATTCCCGTAGTCTTACCCGACAAAACACGCGCGTCCCTCTCCCTGATATCGGGATCACGCCCATCAAACATGAAGGAAACCTGGGCTGGAGAAATGATGCAGCGCCTTAGTACATAGCTACGAGCCTGTCCCTTCCATCACCGACCTGATACGAGCATCACCGTTGTAAACGCAATACCGCCCTGCTTCTACATGCTTAAGTGAATTAACGGGGAGAAAATGCATTGAAAGAATGGTGGAAATAAGAACATGAACACAGCCCGTAGGAGCACGGGAGTTTGAACTTGGCGATGAAGATCGGTCACCTGATTCTCGATACACGGGACCTTCAGCACTCATCCATCCAATTATTTACCGCCGGCCGCGATACCGGAAGTATAGGCGGGCTTCTCTGCCGTTCTATCAAACCGCACGACACCCGTGTTTCCCGCCTTTCCGTTACCCTGAGAGGCGGGCGCGGCCGTCCCGTGCTCCAACGCACGAGGCTCTTCCTCGGGGCCAACGATCCAACTATACATCTGGCGGGTGATGAGGAAGCTCGACAGAGCCCAAGCGTAGGCAATCAGCGCAAAAGACGAGGTAAGAACCAGGGTGGGGACGAGGACGAAAAGGGCGACGCCGGCCCAGAAGAGGGTGAAGATGAGGGCGACACCAAAGGCAAAGGCGGCGACGGAAAGGACAAAGGCCCCGAAGAGCAGGATGGGAATGAAGGAGAAGAGAATTTGGGCAAAGACGAAGGACTATGTTCCCTTTGTTAGTATCAATTTGCGCCCTTGCAAGGCCCACTTAAGATCCAGGCCCTATGGCGCGGGTCATATATAGGGGAGGTCTAAAGGCTTAGCATACCGCTAGGAGAGGTCGCTCTTCGTAGAAGCTGTAGATGGCATTGTACGCTATTTGCCGAGCGTCGGGGCTGACGATCCGGTCGAGCTGGCGGGCGAGAAAGGCGAGGAGCCCCGATGCCCGCTTCTCGGCAGAGCTCTTGAGAGAGTCGGGGAGGTACCGCTCATTTTTGCGAGCTGAGAATCCTCAGTTCGTTTGTTTTGCGTACAAGGAAAAAGAAAGAGAGAAAAACCTCAAGGCGAAGATCCAAAAGCTACGGAGATGATTTTTTTTTTTTACTTCGGGCGGAGCGGAGATGAAGTTTTCAACAAAGCCGAAGCTCAAAGAGGGTTGAAATGTCTCGTTCTTGAGGTCCGGGTCGCGCCTGCTACACTCTCACAAGTCCGTGGTTGTGGTGACTCGAAGCCCATGTGTAATTATCTAATTATCACGTGTAATCCGTGTGCAGCTGCCATGAATGCCCGTTTTCTGATTCCCTAGATTTATCACATGCGAGGGACCCTCTGCTATTTTGATGATGTAATAATTTTATAACGAAGTATCTTTTAACTCTTCACGAGGTAGACCTGCTTTAGATACCTCCTTTTTCTACTGTAGTATTAGCTAGCCTAAAACGCATCCTACTTGTACTTATATTATACTATTAACCTCTATATATCACTTAGTCTCACCTTACTAGCTAGTGGAGCCGCTCTCCAGAATAACATGTCCCTACCGATTCCGCTGACAGGAAAACAAAGGATCCCGGATCCAGATCACGACCTTTTCTAGCCTGCCCTTCCGTTTACCATGACACGCTACTCCAGGACAGTCATCTCTGCCCTGAGAAATTCTCGCCTCACAACCAGCCTCCATTCTCGCCAAGGCCCCAGCTTATTGTCGCGCTTGAGCTTCCTCTCGACACGTCCATCGCCAGCAATGTCGGGAGGTCGAGATCATGACGCGAAAGAACGGCATCCAACCTATAATTGGATCATGGATGTCGAATCGCTTGAAAATTATATTCCTGGTGGCTACCATCCTATAATGATTGGAGACGTCTTGCATGATCGCTACCGCATCGTTGATAAGATGGGCTATGGAGGCTATTCCACAGTATGGCTCTCATATGACATCCAGCAGAAGTGTTATGTCGCAGTCAAAGTCGGGACGGCAAACTCAGCTCTCCGGGAAACTAAAACTTTACGGGCTATCTCTTCGCAAGAATCTTTACCTTTCCCTATCTGCTTGGGCCGTGATTCGATCCCCTCGCTATTCGACGAGTTTGAAGTGGATGGACCGAATGGAACTCACCAATGTTATACAATGGCCCTTGCGCAATGCGACCTTAGAACCATTTCCTTTAGCCTCCTCTTCCCTATTAATGTTGCACGAGCATTATCTGGAAGGCTTGCACTAGCTGTTGCTTATACCCACTCACGGGGTTATGTCCATGGGGGTACGATACCTATCTTTCGCTAAACCTAATTTACTTGCTTATGGAACATTTGCGTATAGATATTCATCTCAAGAACGTGCTGCTCCGTCTCTCGTCAAGTATCAATGAGCTATCTATCGATCAATTCTATAAGAACTACGGAGAGCCGGAAACAATCCCTGTTACCCGGCGCGATGGAAGACCACTAACACCAAATGTTCCTAGGGTGGCGGTAGCGCCCCTTAGCCTAGGAGGGAAGAAAGAAATGTGCGAGTTCTCGGTGTCCGACACGCGTGTACTTCTTGGTGATTTTGGTGAGGCCTTTTCCCCAGATTCAGAGCCCCGCCTCGGAAAAGCCTGTCATACACCATATGGCTCGCGGGCCCCTGAGGCTCGATTCGAGCCTGACACCCCCTATCGTACCCATCAGACATATGGGGCTTGGCTACTACAATCTGGGAGATCATTGGCATGAAGGCCGTGTTTAGCAACGAGTATGTGACGGAGGACGAGATTACTGCACAACAAGTGGATGTGCTTGGACCTATGCCCCAAAACTGGTGGGAGCGCTGGCAGAACCGGGCTCAGTTTTTACTGACGACGGGCGTCCTTGTGGACGAAGTGAACCTTGGCCTACTCTCGAAGCATCATTTGAACAGTATATCCAAAAGTATAGGCGAGAAGAGGAGAGTCTTGGAGTATTCGACGAAGCAGAAAAGACCGCGATCCTGGACCTGATGCGGAAGATGCTAGCGTTCCGCCCAGAAGACCGCCCAATAGCTGATGAAGTTTTGAACTCGGAGTGGATGACAAAGTGGGTATTGCCCGATGTTGAGCGAAGCGTGGAGTGAAGGCAGTAGAGTGATGTCAACATGTTTAATCTAAACAGAGTCGCCGTCAGCTTTTAGACATTCAATGATACCAGATAGCTTGTGAGCGATCTACTCCCATCGGCGGAGAATATTGGGGACCTTTTAACCCTATGGGACGACCGTCTTATCGCCGTAAAGGAGAAGGGGGTCTCTGACTACGAGCTGACAGGTCACACGCTTTTTCGATCTATGTCACATCACCACTTTGATCTGATCGTTGGCGCTTTCCTTGCCTTGCGATGACGGCAATTTCAAGATTCAAAGTAATCGTGGCAAGGTTTTGTCGGTCATAGACCTGGTGTCGAGATGGCCGCTAAAAGACATCTCCTTAAAAACATTAAATCTCTGGGAAGCTCATGTTACCCGTATTCTAGCGAGGTTATGTACCAGTTCCAGATAGCTAGATATAATGTACTTCAGGTGATAGAATCTAGGTTGATCTGAGGTTCTGAGATTAGCACCCTCTTGCCCTTAAAAGGGACCCCAGACAGCTGCACACGGCTTGAATCTGTACATGTAGTCGAGTTGTCTCAGCCGCAGCGTGGTAGTGGGCTCGTTGACCCGCGAGGCACGGGACTACATCATGCCACCAGGAGTTGTGTTGCTCGAACCATGAGACGATGCCGAGCGCGCGGAAAGAACAACCCACGAAGGGCAATCTTAAATATAGCGGATCGTGAATTGCTACGTTTTTTTGAAGAAAATATTCATGAATTCGTTTCACTCATCATCGATGAGCGAGATACATGGACACATTTTAGTTGTTGGCTGGATATTCTAGTATATACAAGATGATGTGATTTAGAAAAGTGAAGAACCCGCGCCGTCCACGCCTTAGCTCCAAGACAACAAACAGCTCCTTGCACACGAAGCGATCATTGAAGCCTACAATCAAGGCATTTTAACCCTATTTCAGGCCAAGGGAGCCATAATTCTCGGCCACCTTTCCACTTCAGGAAATCCCAACCACCGAGCCGGTCGGCAACGACCCGGACGGACACTGGTCTTGGAGATTCCCCGAAAGGCTGAGACTCCTTGATGACTGTGGAGGTTATGAGCCGGGGCATGAGCCATCTTTAGAACGCGCAAAGAATTATCTGTTCAAGAAAAGGGAATAAAGATGGAAGAATTAAGCATTGAGTAGTAGTAGTACGGCTAGCCTACTGGACTCTCCGGAAACACTCCACCTACACGGTCCACCAACACACTTTTTCCATTTCCTTCCTCCTTCCTGTACAATTCAGACTGAACTTGGATTGACAATCTATTCCTTTTTTTTTTTTTCCCTATGAATTCGAGTTCGACGTAATTTGATCTTCCGCTTGTCTGACCGGGCTCCAACCACGTCCGGGAGCGTGTCGAGATAGGTCGAGGTATCGCAGTCGGATGCAGCAAGACTAAACCTAAGCCTCTTTCTTATGAGAGGCAGACGAGGATTGGCGTTCGATCTTAGTCTCCTCCGAATGCTGACCGGCGTGCTTTTTGTCACCCTCATCAACCTGACCATTGTCCTCGGCCATCTGCTCGTCCTCCTCGGTCTTGTCCACGGTTTTAGCAGTCTTTGCCACCTGTTCCTCCCTTCTCTTCTTCTTTGCAGCGTTGGCAACAGCCTTGCCACAGGCAGGCTTGAGCACTCTGCCTTTACCCTTCTTATCAAGGGTCTTTGTCATCTTTGGATGGTACTCGATAAAGAAGTCGTCCTCCGGGTCCACAAAGTCGTGGTAGAGGCGACGCGGTGACGGCTTACCGCCGTGCTTCGCCATCGTGGTGAGCGGTCTTTGACAAGAGTTGCTTTTCAGTTTTGCTTTGGTAGGGTTCGGGGCTTGTTAAGTTGCAAGAGAGGGAGCTTGAGAGTGAGCTTTGGTGGTGTTAGCTCGGGTGTCAGTATGCACGCCAGTGTTTCCAACACATAGAAGCCTACCTTTGTAAAGTTGGTTTGGTCGTGTGTTTCTGACAAGACCGGCATGGTTAGCTCGGGAAGCCTCACTATAGAGCTATCACCACTTCGTGATGAAGAACTTACTTGGTGGCTTGGTAGCGGGAATTAAGCTTAAGCTTGAAGATTGTTTGATGGAGAGCAATACTACCATCCTCAAAGCTCCCGAGAGGCTGCCAAGAGCCATCTTTTATATCGGCTTCTGGCACGACTGGCAATGCCAGCCAAGCGCTGACCCGGCCTCGTCTTATTCAACGAGAGGGTCAATAGAACTAGCGCTGGACTTGGTGATGTGGATGAAGCTCACATCTTGAGCCTCATGGATCATCTTCATCGCTTCGAGTCAAGTGAGTCACAAAGGCTTGGTGGGAAGGCATACGCGGGAGGAGCAAACTCGCCACCGCTCGATCTTGACGTTGACCACGATATCACCAAGCTGTGTCGAGAACGATGGCACAATGGGGCTCAAATAAGTGATCTCGTCCATTTTCGGAACTGACACTCGGGGAAACAAATCATCATCTTTGGTAGAGTAGCTGAGTTGCTACAGTTCAATAGGGTTCCAGGATAAAAGTGCGTTGCCAAGTTTAGGTCCCCCATCATGAGGCGGCAATAGAGCAAACCTAATCATCTACTGCGAACGAAAGATAGGCACGGAAGGACACGGGGGAAGTTAAGCCAGGCTAGAATGGGAAGAATATAAATATATATTACGTTGAAGAAAATGTCCAATGGTAGATGAAGTATGTACAGTTTATATATAAAGAAAGGACGACAAGTCCAAAGACCTGTCTGTCCCGTTCGACACCAAACGTTTCATTGACCTCCTCGCACCTCGCTCTTCACAAAAGCTCTTTCCAATCATTGATCTCCTTTCCTCTTCCCATCCCGCGCAGTCTGGGAGCGCTTAGAGGCACTGAGAGTACCAGTCGTTCTGCTTCTGGCAAGTGTAAGGAGACTGGCAGGTGGTAGGGCCGGTCCAGCCGATGCCGCCGCACTGTCCCCAGCGAGCCTGGCCGGTCGAAGAGGAAGCGGTGGTGGTGGTGGCAGGCGCGGCGGTGGTGGAGGTGGCCTTGGTGGAAGTGACGAGAGTGGTGGTGGTGCTGCTGGGCTTGGCGGTGCCGGTAGCCTTGGCGGCGAGAACGCTGGAGACGGCAGTCCAGGCGGCCTTCTTGTTCATGTTGGAATCGTAGAGGAGAGCCTCGCCCGCACCGCTGAAGGTCGAGGGCACCCACGAGTACTTGTCCGACATACCCCAGACGGTGACACCGACGCAACCGGTGACGTCAAGGCAAGAACCGACAACGTTGGCATAGTCGTTGGCCTGGGTGGTGAGGGCGGAGGAGGAGGCGGGGACGGAGGAGTGGCGGATGTCAAGCTCGGTATAGGCAACCTCGACGCCAAGGGCGGTGAAGCGGCGGAGGACAGTGGCAAGGTTAGCGCGAGAAGGCGTGCTGCCGACGATGAGATGGCCCTGGAGACCAACACCGTCGATGGGGGCACCGGCGGCCTTGATGATGTTGACGGCCTCGACGACGCGGTCGGTCTTGGCGCCATTGTACTCAAGGTTGTAGTCGTTGTAGTAGCTATTGGACATGCGGATTAGCCCAGCGGATCAAAAACACAGATGTGGTAAGGTAAGGGCACTTACAGCTTGGTGTTGGCGTCGGCGGCCTTGGCAGCCTTGAAGGAGATGGGCAGGAAGTCGGTGCCCATGACGCGGTAGAAGACGCTGTCGCGCCAAGCACCGCTGTCGTCGGCGGCCTCGTTGACTACGTCCCAGGCGTAGCACTTGCCCTTGTAGTGGGCCATGACGTTGGCGATGTGAGCCTCGATGACGGCCTGGAGTTGGGCCTTGGTCCACGAGCCGTTGGCAACTAGAAGGGGAGTCACGACTGGTTAGCCTTTGCGAGCCTCCGATGGAGTGTAAAGGCAGTACTTACCCCAGTTGGGGAGCTGGCTGTGCCAGGTGAGGGTGTGGCACCTAAGGACGAGGTTCTTGGAGGTGGCAAGGTTGGGGATGACATCGGCGGTGGTGTAGGTGAAGCTGTTTTGCGTAGGCTGGACGTAGGCCCACTTCTGGCCGTTCTCGGGAACGAGCTGGCCAACCTCGGCGCTGTTGTTGATGATGGCCATCAACGCAGCGTCGCTGGTGTGGGAGTTGTCAAGGCATGTACCGAAGTACTTGAGACCGGCATTGACGGCGAGTTGGTGCAGTTGACCAACGGCCGGAGTGGCACAGGCAGCCAAAAGGCTGGCAATGTAGGCGGACTTGACCATTTTTGTTAAGGGGAAGAAGAGAGAGCGTGTGAAAGAAGGCCGGGTGCTACACAGAGGGAAACTGGTAGGGCTGGAAGAGGATCAAGAAGATCGGAGAGAAGATGAAGTGTGTATTAGGAGGATGGGACCTGGACTTGGAGTCTTGTCTGGCGAGAGAAAAAGAGGAAGGATCTACGACGAGGGAGAGGTTGCTTCGCATTTATACATGCCATCGTGTTGATGGAACCAAGAAACAGGCATGGGGCGTTGAAGAACCAAGAGTCTGTTCCAAGAGATCCACGCCGACTACTCCTCGCATCGACCTCTTTGCGCACGCACACCTTGAACGGCGCTACTAAACCGGGGATGGATGAGTATGGGCGTGGAGTGGGTGTGAGCTCTGTTCCCTTTTCCTCTTTTGGCTTTCTTTTCTTTTCTTTTCTTCCCTTTCTCACTTCGGGGCGGGAATAGCCTTTCTGTTCCAATGTTCCCTTTTTCTTCGGTAGCATCGCGGGGACTCGGCGTCCTTCGTGGGTAGTCCCCACCCACTGCGACTCCTCGCGAGAACCAGAGGCTGAGGTGGACGGGAAAATACATTGTCAAAGAATTTCCGTGGTCGAAAACCACGCCTTGTTTCCCATTTTCCCCATTTTCCTTTTCTTGTTACTTTTTCTTTTCTATTTTCTTTCCCCCTTTCCTTTTTCCTTTTGCCCGCTCCTCCTCTTCCACTCCTCACAACGCGCGTACCAATGTGGTAATTACCACCGCTCCATGTACGATAAGTCTGATGCTCGAGGCCATTCGCGCCGATGGACCGCGGGACATGTCGTGGCCCTCCCATTCACTTGCCTGTGGTAGACCCAGACCCAAACATCAGATGGCTCGGGGAAATGGGTGGCGACGACAAAACATCATGGGACGATGCCGACTCAACCCAGCCAGGGGTGGAAAATGGCAGTGAGTGACCAGCTCGAGCCCTTCGAAGAGCAAGGAACAAATCAGGCACGCAGTCGTGCATGATGCAGCTGGCTGTGTACCCTGGCGATGTGCCCATGCGTCGAAGAAAGTGTGGGGATGATGCCTCGGTATGGCAATGGTGAATGATGGTGGATTAGCCAGGGGTAGGAAAGAAGGAGACAGCAAAGATGAAATCCATGCCTTGGCTCCGCCGGTTTTTGGCGGAAATCATGGACAATGCAGTCGTGGTCGCGCAAGAGCCAGCCCGGGCTCAGGCCCCGCACCCTCTCCTCAGGGCTTCCCTCCGCCCCTGGACAACAAAGGACTCTTGTAACTGAAGAGAGACTAGCCTCAGGGTCCAGCTCTGCAGACATCCTCGAAAAGGGAATCGGAGAATGGAGATGGTATATCAGAGCGTCGAGCGACAATCACCAGAATTGATGGCATTGAGGCCGGCCCGGCTCAAGACTAGATGGTACTATTATTTGATGGGTTTCCTGATTGGATGGATGTCAAGACATCGAGATAGTAGCCGCTGATATCCCAGAAGCTTCTCCCCCGCCTCCCGCCCCTTCCTTCTGATCTAGTTTGTTGTGTTGTGTTGTGGAGCTTGATGTTGTGATGGGAGGCAATGACCTCCTCGCTTGAAGCTCCGGATGCAGGCTCAACCCATTTAGCTCAAGGTGCGTTCCTGCTCCATCTCTGACGGTGGGACTCGCTCTTTTTGGCGGGAGAGGAAGGAGCCCCTCGGGCGGCATTGACTTTGGGGCTCCGGTGGGAAAGGAGCACTTGAAGAAAAACAAAAATGAAAAAGAAAGTACCGAGCCACTGAGATTGGATAATGCTCTCGACGCTTTTAGACTGCTTCCCTTTCCTTCCTCTCTTTGATTTCCTAAACGAGCACTTTCACATCGCCTGTGTGGCTGGAGAAAGTCAGTCCCGAACCAGAAGTGACAACTCTTTGGGTCCGCAACCGCCCCCAAATCTTGGAAGGTGCGATTATTTCCCGCCGCGCCAGCTGCACCGGCTTTTCCTTGGCATCTCTTTCCCGGGCTCAGCGGATGGGGCTTGTGGGCGGCAGCAACGAACGAGAAAAGACTGTCGACGCTGAGCTTGAACACGTCCATACATGCACCTCCCTTTTCTTGCCCATTTCTCTCATGTCTGCCTTTTCATCTTTTTATTTCGTTTCTTGCCCGCCCTCGCTTCTCTTCCCCTCTCTCCCTCTCCCGGTCGGGAGTTTTGTGAGTGACAACGTTTGGCCCCTCCGCTTTGCATGGAGACTTGAAGTACAGCCTCCCCTCCAATCCAATCCGCGCTAGATCTTGACAAGTCTGTGACAAGCTAGAGAAGAGGCCTGATGCGTGTGGTGCAACTCTAACCCTGGTCCCCTGGCAATGTCGCACGTCCATGTTCTTGGCCTTTTGTGGAGAATGTGCCAGTCCACCAAATAGGTAGCACTCTTCAGCGCCTGACTCAGTTGCGCCCGGCTTTAGGCTAATTAACGGATCGCACCGCCCATCAGATTTTGTCCACCAACCCGAGCGCCCGGCCGCGTCCACTACCGGACGCGCATGGGGAAATTGGGGAAATCGTTGGGTCGAGGGTGGTGTCCGTTGCTGGGCTGGCGGGCTGAGAAACCCGGCTCAGTCGTGCGCCCGGAGCTATTGCCGACAACGTGAATGCTTGTAGAGGGAAATGGGGGACGGGGAAAAGAGAGAAGGAAAAAAAAGCAAAAAGAGGGGAGAAAGGCGAAGGGATGGAAAGAGAAGCAGTAGAGAAGCAAACGGAAGGTAATAGTTGAATGACAGAGCTGCAGGTTGTCCACACGATACCCGATGAACAGGTCCGTGGGTGCCGAAGGGGCTTCTTCTTGGCTTTCACGTCAGATCTCGACTAACTTGATGAACGTGCCCGCCATCAATTGATCAGTTCATTGCAAGGGGCTGCCATACTAAGAGACTATTACTTAATAAGTTTAGGCCTTTCCTTGGAGAAAGCTTACTTTTACAAGCCAACGCGAGAGAGAACTGGCTCACATCCTCCCCAGTCCAGTACACACCTATCAAACTGCTCTCCCTCTTCATAGAAATAGCGAGAAAGAAGATAGCTCAATCAACCCCGGCCATGATTGCAAAGCTATCGATTCTCGCTTCGAGATAGTCCTTGGGCCCGTGTGCTGGCGTGATTGGTGTCGGTACACCACTGTAGAAATGGCCCTTCTCCTCTCTCCTCCAAGAGAAACGACGTGCCCATGGAGGCCATTTTCACGCTTGCATGGAGCTGAGCTAAACGCACCACCCCGATGAGGACCGCGCGCAATATGGAGATATGGCCAGGGGTGAGGTATTGGTAGGACAATTTGATAGGAGAACAGGCCTAAGCGCAAACTTGTTCTATTTTGCATCCATCTCTTCTTTTCCCTTCCCCCTTGCTACAAGTATGAAAAGCTTGACTGACGCGAACTGTTGGCCTCACTACCTCACTTATTAGCTACGCCAGTCTGTGCATACCTTGACCGACTCGGGATGGGTTTGCAGGCGCACCCGACCTTTGACGAGGGTTGGGAGAGCCAGTGTCTAAATTCAAGACTGAAGCGACATTCTAGCGACCGAGCGTTCAAGGTCCGGCTCTGCATCTACGTATACCTTAGTCCCAAAACGAACCCACCATCACTTCTTGACTCCGCGTCACGGCGTCTCACCATTGCTAGCCCTTCTCAAGCTTCCGGCCCAGTCTCGCATCCGACCCCGGCTTCCAGTGCGCTGCGCTAACCCGCGGAAAGGACCCTTGATCTTCGTGATCTGCCCCATACCAAACTCAGACGTCGGGTTTCCAACTTTTCTGCACCTCTTCCCTGCCCCAGGCCCTCCATCACAATTGTCTAGTCTATGAACTTAGCGTTCCCTCCCCCTGCATCAGGCTCTCCACATCTTCGAATAGTAAAGGGACCAAAGAGGCCCGTCCTCTAGCTCATTGGCACACATAGTTCTCAACGACATTTCGAGGGCCTGAGCTTTCTCGCTTACAGAACCATGGCCATGGCACCTGCCAAAAGCCCAAGGTTGGCCACCGCTCCCACGGCCCCGGCCTGGGCAGGGGCCGTAGGGGAGGCTCGCTGCGTGGTCGTAGCGGGTTTGTCGGCGTCAGGGCCCTTATTGCTCTCGTCACCGTTGCCTTTGCCCCTCCTTGGCCTGGGCCATGATTATCTCCGGGGCCTTTGCCTCCGCCGCTTGCTCCCCGCCACCGCCGGACCCCTTGTCATCGCCAGCACCCTTGTCGCCTGGGCCTTGACCTCCCGCACCAGAATCCTCTCCATTCCCTTTGTCATTGGGGCTACCTCCTTGGTGTGGCGAGGATTCTTCTTGGCCCCCTTCCCCGGGTCGGCCGCCGCCGTAGCCGCCATCTCCGGGACCAGTCCCTTGACCTCCGTCGTTGCCTCCCCGCCTTCGTGGCCCCCTTCGCCTCCAGAACCTCCCCTTGATCACCTCCACCGCTGCCTGGCGCATCGCCACCTTTATCTCCCTCATGACCACCATCATCACTGCCTGGCTCCTCTCCGCCATGCCCGCCACTACCGTTTCCACCACCAGAGTCGCCGTGCTCTCCTCCGTCGTCGCCCTCAACGGGTGAACCCTCTTCGTGTCCATGGTCGTGTCCGTGGTCGCCGTTGTGGTCGTCGTCTTCGTGTCCGCCGGAACCAGGATACCCGCCAGGCGAGCCTTGGTTGTCGTGATCGTCTTCGTCTTCAGCCTCATCATCACTATCATCGTCATCGTCGTCCTCGTCTTTATCATCATCCTCATCATCCTCTTCATCATCCTCTTCATCACCCTCTCCATCATCCTCTTCATCATCCTCTTCATCATCATCCCAGTCATGCTCATGGTCGTGGTCTTCCTCATCGTCATCCCCGTCGACCGAGTGGTCTTCGTCCTCATCGTGATCGTCCTGTTCATCATCATGGCCGTGATTTCCGCCGCCGGGCGATCCACCTGCGTGGTCTTCCTCTCCGGGTGTATCCCCAACGCCGCCTTCGCTTGGCGGGCTCGGCGGGCTCGGCGGGCCTGGCGGATTCGGGTGGTCCGGCCCTGGCACATCAGGTACCGGGGTTCGCTGGGTGCTTCCGGGCCGCTGCATTCGGGTTCCACGAACGCATTCCGGAAGGCATCGATAACATCAGCCGGACACCCAAGTGGTGCAAGGCATTGTCTACCGTGGTCACTGAAGGTTAGCATAAACGTTGCAATTTCTTGCATATGGGAGGCGAACAAGCCAACGCGCTTCACGGATTCGGGAGGGAGTCATATAATACTTGCTTTTCAATTATTTTGAATGCTTCGCAAGCGCAGGCAGAATCATCGGGATCGCCATAAGACGGCCCCTCAGGCTTTATCGCATCGAAGGCAGCCTTGACACAAGTGTAGAAGGCGCTACAAGCCAAACGCCGAGTCAGTACCAATCACCTAGTTGGGTATTCTGGGAAAGCCCCCAAGAATGGGGGACAATGGAGGAGGGAGGAGGACTGGGCGTGGGCGAGACGTACTCCTTGATGACACTATCTGTGACCCCACAGAGTTCTGGGAACTTGCCCCTGTCCTGTTCGAAACTGGCACCACGCGCCACAATAGGAAAGCCCGTCAGGGCTGGGTGGCAAGCAGATTGGGGAATCAGCAACAGCCCAAGGACTAAGCCCATGGTGGCACCTTTCAGGGAATGCATGGCTGTTTTTCTGGCCGCCGAATGGTTTGACTTCCTCGTTGTCGCAGGAGAGTAGGGCCAAGATGCAGAAGCTTGAGGAAGAGCCCGTGAGGTGGATGATTTGAGAACGAGTGTGGATAGGACAGGATCTAGCAGTGGGTTCTGTAGCCCCGTTGTCCGAAGAAACAACCTGTGGAAGAAAGAGAGGGGGTTGCGCTCCCATTTATGCTCTCACATCGAGGCAGCTCGTCGAGGGAGATGAAGTTGATAGGCAACGCGTGAAAGTACACGCCTATACCTGCTCAAGGCCTAGCTGTGGCTTCTCTAAAGCGATCTAAAAGCTTTGGTTGCCCCTAGTTGCGAAGCTTTGGCGATCTTGTACGCCATACTCCGATCCAATACGAGAAATCTCGGACGCTTGCCTCGCGCGGCCTTACTCTACGGCCATCCCCTCTGTCCGACTCAATGAACCCTTTGAAGAGAGCCACCAAGTCAGCTATCTCTCTTCCACATTGCTATTACCGCGACCAACCCCCGGACTGGTTTATGGGTGTGGAGGCAAGGTCGCGGCGCGATTGATTAAGACGAGAATGCAGGTTCCCACGACATCGAACAATCTCATCTATGGCGGCACTCCGCGATAATAACGCATCGACCACTAGAACAAGGTATGAGAATGAACTTAATCGTGGGGTTGTCCACAAGGTTTGTGCTACGAATCCGGGGAGACGCAGCGGAGGTTTTATATATAAAGTTGTGGGACGCGGGCCCGGAGCTTTCCCGATGGTGATTTATTCCATACACGTGGTGGAGGATACCGCTGTCGGGACCTGATCAATCTAGATAGTCTCTTCTCTAACGGACCTTTTCTCATTCAAGAAAAAAAGAAAAGTGGACAAAATTGAGGGTACGAAACAACCACGGCTGTTCATTGGAATGGAGAGTAACAGGTAAGTGTATCTGGATGCACCATTACACCTTCAACTCTACGCTTTGGCGGATCACACTGGCCGGTTTGCTCCACGTCGAATGCTCTCTTTTCCTGTCCGATATTCCCTCCACCCGGCGTTCGGCTGCCAGCCGTGGGAAACAAAGCAGATAGCCGAGGGCCTCCAGTTCGTTTAGTGTCCTCGCCGCCGCCCTTTCTCAGGGGAGCATGGTGAGCGCCCAAGACTGCAGATTTTCCGGTTACACTAGGCTTTGCCGAGGCGGGGATGGCTGGGGAGAGAGGGAGTAAAGGGAAAAGAGTGGTGGAATCGGTAGCAGGCAGAGAGACAGAAGAGTCGGTAAATACCCAGGCTCTAGCTTGTCTCTTGATTACTGAGTATTCACGGCCATTGATAACCTTTGAAGGTACCCGGACACTCGACTGTAACACACCGGAGCCCTGGAAGGGTGGCCCAACCTCAGCAAGGCGGAAGTCGAGCTGATAGTTCGAAGAGAAACGGCATGCCCGATGCGAAGGTTACATCCCTCTCCTTTAGCTGCATGGCTACACAAGCGAAGGGTTCAATCTACGTCGCAGTCCATATTGCAGAACCGCGTGGTAGATGACCATGGCTCGAACTCAATTTTCTTTCCGTGGTCTCCCGTTTTGCTGGAACAATCGTTATTATTCTGTAGACGGAACCGGCGAACAATCAGGCAAGTTGTTGAGTCACAGCAGCAGCGAGCGCTTCGCGTTGCTTTGTGGTAAACGACCCGTTGCCGACATATACGAAGCAGGAACAAGACTTTACGGGTTGCGATCACAAAGGGAAACCGTAACCAAAAAAAAAAAAAAAAAAACTTTTCTCCGAATGTATTTCGGATTTGTTTCGCCCTATAGGGTAGGGTAGAGCGGAGTAATCGTTGATAATGGAGACAGGCGCCCAACCCCTTACCATAAACGATTTAAAAGCTTAAAAGCCCTCCGCGGGTAGAGTGAGGGTTGGCGACTAGAATCTTGAAAAGAAGCTGACTCGTTTGATACAGTGGTTGACCTCGAGGAGGGAAAAGCAAAAAGGGCGAAAATGAAAAATGATCGATCTCTTCGGGAAAAAGAAAAGGAAAGAAAAGAAAAAGCAGAGGTGCGTTGGTGCAAAAAGGATGATCGGTACTAGTGAAAATCGGCAAAATGACAACCCCACGCGAGGCTCGAACTCGCAACCTTTAGATTACTTATTAGGAATAGAAGTCTAACGCGCTACCATTGCGCCAGTAGGGCTTCCTCTAGTCAGGTTGCCATTAGCGGCCCCTAACGGACCTTAAGTGACATGCGGCTGCCGAATCGAACAAAAAATGCCGGTGGGGCTGTGCACCCGGAATACATGATACAAGTTGCCTCGACTGAGCAGCAAACTGCTATTATCAATGGCTACCAGTTAGATCAGTTCATGTCATTCTCGAGGGGCCTTTCGCAGGCGTCGCCGCGCCGCCCTTTGCTTTGTCGCGTGTGTATTGATTAATTGATTGTTTACCCTTTTCAGAAAGTGTTTGTGTCTTGAAGCACCGGGCTTGGCTTTGCCCGGGGAGAGGCTTGGCCTTTTTGTTCCTTAGGACTTCTACGGGGCACATCGTTGTCATCCAATGGCCCTCGGGATCCTCGTCTCGCATGCTGCAATCGCCTCTGCTGCGGCGAGCTGTGCTCGAGGTTATCGCCCCCGAGGCCCTCTCCCACTTCCGAAAGAGGATAGATGGAGCGCCGCGTCAACGGACACGGGGGTCCCGTTCCTAAGGAGCAGCAGGTCGGTCGGTGGTGTCCCCGGACTGTTTTGCGGAACCTCCCGGGCTCTGGTGCCTTTCCTCACGTGATGGTGTCTCCGAACTGGGAAGGATGATGTTTTCGCGCATGTGGTGGCAAGAGAGCCAAGCAAAGCCAAGACCTTCTAAACCTTGGGGCAGGCGTCTGACCCGCGATCAACGCAAGGCTTGGCTCTTTGCGACACCTTGTCTAGATTGGACCGTGATGTCACTGGGCGGCTGAAGGATCTCCAACCCGGTGAAGAAGACAAGTCGGAGAAAGGGTGGCAGGTGGCTCATGTGTATTACTTGCAGGCTGACTTGACGTTTTCCTTGCACGCCGACTCGGGGCGAGATGGGGAAGGCCAACCAGGTGGACTAGCCATATCGGTGGGTGGGTGGTCTCGTGGTGGAGGGAGGGTTTCTCGAGGGTGCGTGACTGCGCGGGCATCGAGCTGCAAGATTGTGTAGTTTTGGGGGGGGTTTGGTTTGGACGAGAGCCTGTTGACGCAACAGGCGACTGATCTTTGTGTTTAAAGGGCCCTTCTCCGGCCATGCTGTGAGAAATGGTGTTTTTGGGTTTTCATTCAAAAGCCCCACCTCGAATAACGGACGCTATCTGCAGATTATCAAAGGCATCAACATCGTTGAACAACAGAACATCATCGGGGAAAAAACACCCCCTACGGCATACACTATCTAGTCATTCCTCTCACATCCCCCTCTTCACCTCCCGCGCCATACTATCTTAATGGAGCCCGTCCCAAGAGACTATCATCACGATCATCATCACGACCATCATTCCCAGAGCGAACCACACCGGGGTGTAGCCATGTCCGCCTGGAAAGCCGTCTTTGACTTCTGGGATACCGTGTGCTACGGTGTCGGAAGTCTCGCCTACAAAATTGTCGGGCGCTGATTTGCACCGTCCTCGGAAGAAGAAGAAAATTATTGAAAGAGCAGAAGAGCCAACACAGGCCAACCTCCGCTTGAGCCGGGCACAATGGCGGACGACTGTTCGGATCTGAAAGCCGACCGATCGACAAAGAGTACACAAGCAATGAGAAAAGGGTACTTGTGCGACCAGACCCCACCGTCGCGCCCCATCTCAAGTCCAAGTGTGACACATTTGGCAGCACACACGACTGGCCTTGTCTGAGACTTTCTCCTCGACTCGGATACACTCGCTTTGAACGGAGCGGAGTGACGCGAGCGCAACATTGAAATCTGCCTTGCAAGACACATAACCAGGGGTTCGTTTCCGAAGGATTGATGGTGACGCGAAAGCAGTTGGGATGAGTGAGCGTGCGTGATGGGAGCGCCCTGTGGTGGATCTACCTCGTACAGTGGATATGGATGGATCATTGATGTGCGCGCTGGTGTTCATTCAGGCCCCAGCGCATTCCGGCAACCCGGCACACAAGAGCCCATTGCTGCGCCTCCCACTTCGTGTGTCAAGGGCGACATACGGACTGGCTGCCCCCAAAGGCCTCCGAGCAAGCATCAGTCCATGCGGGCCGGGAGCTTAATCTTATTATTCCTTTTCTTGATTACTTTCTTTCCTCTCCGTTGTGCGTGCGAAACGGATTTCCACGTTAGCTGTATGAATAGCGCATGTAATAGATACCATCAATCACCGTCTGATCCGAAATCTTGATGTCGTCCCAAGTGCAAATCATTGGGCTTCCTCCTACCTCGAGGACGCCGTGATGAACACTTGATCGCGAAAGCGCGAATCTTGTGTCTCGCTGACCTTCCTGCGGGATGGACATGGCGGGCCCATTAGCCCAATTTACCTTTCAATAAATCGTGGCCGCCCTGGTGAATACGAGAGGTCTTCCTGTTGCCACTTCGTGTGCGCGAATTGATCCATCCGGTATCATTCTACCTGGCCACCCGCTATCGATGTTTCCTCTTCTCTCTTTCTTCCTTCCTTTCTTTCTTTTCCGTTCTGCTTCAGGCTGTGCATGTTGATAATATTGCTATCCCACTTGTCTCCGTCTCCCTGCTTCTCGTGCATCAGAGGACAGGGTCTTTGGGAAACAGCATTGAACAGTTTCAATGGATTCCAACCCCCTGCGTGTCATGCTACATGCCCCACTGTTCTGTTCACCCAATTCAGGAACGAACGGTTTTGGGTGGTGGCTCGTGGTTGGTTCTCCACAGCCAAGTCATCTGCCCGCTCACAGTCTGCGCGATCCCTCGATGGACAAAAGGGCCTCCAAGTATTCAAGGCAACCTTCTTTCCTTCTTATTATCTCCTTTTCTTCGTCGTTCTCTTTTTGAAATATTTTATCCTTTTTTTTTTTTTTTTTTCCCTTCCTCGCCAAGTTTGCAACCAGACCATTTACCGAAGTTCTGTTTTATATTAGTCTACTCGTCGTTGAAGCAAATAGATAACTATGACATAAGAATGCAATTCCGGAAACAAAGGCCTGAAGGAAGATTACCAAAGGCTGCCCGGTTTACAGGGGATAATCTCGAATATCTTTGCGGGACGAGGCGAGTCCTTGTATGGAAAGCGAGAATCGGACTAAAAAGCTTAACCCTTTCCAGATCGAAGTGTGTACCTGTACCTTGCATGTCACAGTCCACACCACCAATCCCGACGCCCCGAGACTAACCTCTTCTGCTTTCCAATGCTCTGGCAGCATTGACTTTGGGGAGGCGACTTCTCCCGCTGAGTGTGCCCCTATTATTTACAACAACCACTGTGCCGCAATTTGAATGACACCGTCATTCCCCGGCTGTGCCTCTTGCCATGGCTGTTGGTCTTCGATCAATCAATACGCGGAATGGGCTGGATGGATCGCTCAGGTGCCTGTCCAATGGTTCGCTGATGCACCGTGTCGGAAGTCTACTAGTAGTAAAAGTTGCCCTTTAAAACCAGGTACATCAGCGCGGCCCTTGTACCAGGTACTTTGCACAGGGCAGTTTCCAAACGTGAATGCCGCCCTCCCCTACTCCGAATGTGGACGACTCCTATTATTTTCTTTCGTATCGTCGCTCCCACTCGTTGCACCTTCCCTTGAACCAACAACACTTGCTCTCCAAGTTCCCGTGAAAGTTCGAGGAGACCCGTAGGACCCTCTTCCTTCTTCCTTCCTTCCTTTAAGCCCTTTCTATCTTCAAGTCATTCATTACAGCCTCTTTTTTACTTTTGTCTTCCAATACAGTTCTCTTAATCCTACCGCTGTTTAGACTCATTGTTTCACAGCGTCTTCTCACCTTTTCTTTTCTTTTTTTTTTTTTCTCTTTCGCTTCCATCGATTCTCGAAACCCAACACATTCCCCGCGAGTTTCCCTCCTAGCGTAGCTGAAAAATCCCGCCCGCACACAAATCTATCCTGCCGGCATCAGAATCACCTACCAGTCCTACCCGCATGCGACGAGCCGCCATGGCGCTCTCCAAGACTCTCCTTGCGGCTTTGCTGGCTTCCGGCGCAGCCGCCCTTGAGCCCATTGTGATCAAGGTAGGCGCGCATTCACCGCTAGGGTTGCGATTCAGTTCGCGAGCAAGATGTTGACATTTCTTCTTTTCCGTTCTCTCTAGGGCTCCAAGTTCTTCTACGAAAACGGCACGCAATTCTTCATCAAGGGCATTGCATACCAGCAGGACACCTCGGCCGCCGGAGGTGGTGTCCAGTCCGTCAAGTTTGTCGATCCCCTCGCGAACCCCGCTGCCTGCCGACGTGACGTTCCCCTCCTTAAGCAACTCGGCACCAACGCCATTCGAACCTACGCCATCGATGCCGGTGCCGATCACAGCGTGTGCATGGGTCTCCTTGAGGACGCCGGCATCTACGTCATCTCCGATCTGGGCGAGCCTCTGCTCTCTATCGAGACGGATAGCCCCGCTGGGACTTGTCCGTCTTTGCGCGATACAAGGCTGTCATCGATGAGCTGAGCAACTACCAAAACGTGATCGGTTTCTTCGCGGGCAACGAAGTCACGACGAACAAGACCAACACCCCCGCCTCTGCCTACGTCAAGGCTGCCGTCCGCGACACCAAGGCCTATGTCAAGGAGAAGGGCCTCAACTACTATGTCGGCTACGCCGCCAACGACGACCCCGATGTGCGTCGTGACATTGCCCACTACTTCAACTGCGGCGATGATCAAACCCAGGCCATCGACTTCTGGGGTTACAACATTTACCAGTGGTGCGGCGAGAGCACTCTGGAGAAGTCGGGCTACAGCAAGCAGATTGACTTCTTCAAGAATTACTCTGTCCCAGTCTTCTTTGCCGAGTACGGTTGCAACAAGGGCTCTCAGGGAGCAGAGTCCCGTATCTTCCAGGAGACCACGTTCCTTTATGCCGACGAAATGTCGTCTGTCTTCTCTGGCGGTATCGTCTACATGTACTTCCAGGAGGCCAATGACTATGGTGCGCCCCTCCCCCACTCCTTCCCGCAATATCCTTCCGATTTGGAGGAAGTGTATAAAACCTCGGCTAACAGCTACTGAACAGGTCTTGTGGAGCTGAATGGAAATATCGCCAAGCCCATGAAGAACTTCGACCAACTCAAGTCGCGCATTAGCAAGGTTGACCCCACCCTTATCGACATGGATAAGTACACGCCTAGCAATGTCCCCCAGGAGTGCCCTCCCGTCTCGGAAAACTGGGCCGTCTCTGGCGACAGGCTGCCCCCAACTCCTGATGACAAGGTCTGCGAGTGCATGGTTGCCGGCCTTAGCTGTAAGGCCTCGCCCTCCCTTGATGAAGAAGACTACGCCGACATCTTCGACTTCATCTGCGGCACCCCGGGCAGCCCTTGCGCTGGCATCAACGGTAACACCACCACGGGCAAGTACGGCGCTTTTAGCATGTGCACGGCCGAGCAGAAGCTCGGGTACGTCCTCGACCGCTACTACAAGAACCAGAACAATGCTGCCTCCGCCTGCGACTTCTCGGGTCAGGCAACCATCGTTACCCCCACCAAAACCGACTCTGAGTGCAAACAGAAGCTCTCGGAAGCCTCGCAGGCGGCCAACGCTGGTGGCAGTGGCAGCAGCAGCTCCAACGACGACGACGATAGCAGTGCCATAACCATGGTAGCAACCAGCGTGTACGGCCTGGTCGCGTTTATTGTAGGTGCTTTGGTTATGCTTTAAGGGAGGAAAATGAAGGAGAAGGGGGATGGAAAGGGACAACTTGTCGTGGGCGACCTCGCCTATGAGTTCGGCTTGGTGTCTTGGTGGTTCCGGGGTGTAAGAAGTCGAAAGCCGAGTTTTAGTCCAAAACAATGGGCCGACCAAGAAGTTTGTTGCATACCCGTATTGATATCCTAGTTATTGTTTGTTCTTCCTTCTCTCGGGGCCTTCCCCCTGTCTACTTACCATCCTCTTACATCGGTTCTTTACGCAATAGCGGCATTGTTCTGTTTTTTTCCCTTTTATTCCTTCGCACGATTAATAAGATTTGGGAACGTTGATCCTTTTCCCCCTCTTCTTCCTACTACCCCAACTCAATTTTTCTTCTAGTTCAAGCATAGAAAAACTAATCTCACGATCAACTCTGATCTGCTCCGAGTCTTCTTACTTGGTGTTGATGAGACACAAGGGTGGGCGTTGAATCTTTGGAGAAGGAATCTACGAAGCCTTTTCGTTTTTGGAGAGACGGTGAGGGTTTATCATGATTTAGGTTTATTGTTTTCTATGTATTGTCATATACATTAAGTCTCTTCCTGTTTTGATTTTAGCTGTTCCCGTATCTAAAAATATCGATTATTCTAAATATATGAAAGTCAATGGGGAAACTTCTTCGTGTACCTGAAGCCCCTTGCACCCGCGAACCTTGAAAAGCAGTACCCATACACCCAATATTCCATTTTCTATATATCAAGTTCCTCCCTTTTTCCTTACTCCTGTTCCATTTTCTTACCCCAATTTTCTCAACCTAGAACCCCAGCCGAAGAAAACCAATTCGCGCGTAACAACACCTCGTTTTGCGATTCCGCGCAATCAAACGGTGCGGTTATGATGATTTCAAAAAGTGGACGAAGGCGCACTGCTCAACGTGGTCTAAGAGCGACCAAAGGCCTCAAGAATATCCTCGATGGTCTCGAAGCACCAGACGTCGCGGACAAAGTGGTGGGAGCCGAGAGCGTCCTCGGCAAGCGCGGGGAGATCGGCGCAGAGGGGGACGATGTCGACGATTGGGCAGGTGTCGATGGTAGTGGACGAGGACGAGGACGAGGACGAGGAAGAGGAGGAGGCGGCAGAACTGGCAGGAGCGGCAGACCCGAGGGAAGAAGCAGGAGCTTGGGCCGTGGCGGAGGTCGCGAAGGTCGTGGACTGGATCACAGTTCTAGTCTGGTTCCCGAAAGGTGAAGGAGCATCGCCTGCGGGAGAGGATTGGCGCGGGGTTAGGTCCCTGTCGACAATCGCGCGTTTAAGGGGGTTTCAGGGTCCGGAATAAGAACGCCGGCGGGGAGTGAAGTGGTCGGGTTAGGGGGAGAGCGGGGACACCGGGCCCAATGGTTAGTGCGGTATTGGTAGCGGGAGGTGGAGTGGTGATGGCGAGGTTGTCGGTCTCGGTATTGAGAACGGGGGTGTTACCACGGGCTCATCGGTCTCGGTATTGAGAACGGGGGTGTTACCACGGGTTCCTCGGTGGTCGTCCCTGGTGGTTGGGTGATGGCGGTGGTGGGATCGACTCCTGGATTGGTGATGCCCGTGTTCTCCGTATCGGTGGGTGTTGTAAGAGAAGAAGTAACGGAAACAGGAATATCGGTTGGGAGCACGCTCGACTGAGAAGAGACTGTAGAAGTCTGCTGGACAACAGAAGTCACGAAGCTCTCGAGAAATGAAGACAGTTGGGAAAGGATAGCCCCGTCGGCAGTGCTCGCGCTCGTGTGGGTTGATGGGCCCCCGCTACATCTTCTGGGTTCGCCGGCTCTGTTCGCACCGGCTGGCCCGTACCTGCCGACCCATTAGCTGTCGTGGTTGCCGTGCCCGAGTTTCCAGCCGAAGACGCCGCCCCGGATGCTTCGCCTGGAGTGCCAGCTGCAGACGGTGTTCCGGACGGAACTACCACCGTGTCAGGGGTTCCACTGGAGGCGCCACCTGAGGCGCTCGGTGAAGACGACGTTCCGGATGGAACCGCCGCGGGGTCATTCGGCGTGGCACATGACGTCGGCATCCCGGACGAGCCCGCCGAGGCGCCACTCAACGTGCTAGATGAGCACGGTCCCTCGGACAGAACCTCGGGTTCTGGAGCGGATGAAGTCTCGGGTTCGCAATCCTTTCCTGGGACAGCGCCCGTATTGCCAAATTTGGCAGACACGGCCTTGGCCTTTGCGTCGCCGTCTTTCTGGGCCACGCCTTGGTGGGTCTTCTCGATGGGCACGTAGTCCCCGCCGGGCAAGGCGGCAAAATTGACGAAGCGGCGCTTGCCGGCGGAGGTGGTCGAGGTGGTGGAACCGGCGTTGGCGGGAGCCCAGTTCAGCACGTCCCAGGTGCCGGGGAGGTTCCCGACCGTGACGTCGCTGCAGGCGATGAAGTCGGTGTCGGGATAGTGGAGGAAGGGAACGGCGGCAGAGCCGGCGGAGGCGAGCTCGGCCAAGTCGATGGTCAGGCCGCTAGTCGCGCCGGACACGGTAAGGTCGATGGCTCCAGCGCTAGTAGTGGTCGACGAGGCAGGCTTCGTGGCGTTATTGGCATTAGCGTCCTTCGCCAGATCGTCTTCTTGGCGACGATGATGGTCGGCAGATGCCGTCTCGTTCACGCTAGCGGGGATATAGTCGGCGGCAGGCTGCAAGAGAACAGAGAGGGAACCCTTCGGGCAGGACGTCCGTCACAACGGTGCCATCAGAAGCGTCCGGGGCCGATGCGTTCTGATAGAAGACGAGAGCCGCCTTGGCGTCGGCCTCCGAGGTCGAGGACGAAGACGAAGACGACGATAAGGGGACCAGTGTCAGAAGCTGTCGGCCAGAGGACGCCGACGAGCTCGGGTCCGAGACAGGGAGGACGGACACGCGGTTCTGCCCGGCCCCGGTGTGCAAAGTACCCAAGGAGCTGATGGGCAGGGAGGGATCACGGGGATCACGATGAGGTTGAAGCCGCTGGAGGTAGCAATCGAGACGGCTCCCGCCCGGGCGGCGAACAAAAGTAAAGGGGTCCGAGGACGCTGGAGTGACTTCGACCCATGATGAAAGAGGAAAAGCGAGCTCAGTGGAAGATGGGCAGGGATTTGCTTGGTTTGTCCCCGGGGGTATTTGGGTAAGCGATATGAGATTCGCGCAAAGGGAACAAAAATAGGTTCACGGAGAAGTAGAAGAGAACTCTCAGTTGAATTACCTGGTCTGTATTATCGAAAGGCGTACAAGGAGGGGTTGTGGCCGGGATTTTATATCTGGAAGAGGAGCGCTGTTGGAGTGCGGGTAGTGGAGCGGGTAGTACTACTAATCCTCCTGCGTATTGTGTAAATAACTGGATGTAGCCTCCGAGATTCTCGTCTGCCCTTCCCTCTGATTCTATCCCTCTCGCTCGTTTGAAAAAGTTTTCCCTCCCTCAACAGTCTTTCTTCTTCACCCACCCTCGGCTATCGGCCCGGGCCACACGAACGTACCGTCAGCCCTATTATCAATAGGGAATCCGAATTCCCGGGCGATCAACAGCTCATGACCAATCCTCCGACCTCATAGATGTCGTCACAACAAAGGGTTTCTTTGGAAGAAAAGAGGGGAAGAAGAGAAAAAAAAGCCACAAGGCATCGAGCTTGAAGTGGGGTGCCCCCTGGTACCCCTTCCGCTACCGCTACCGGCGGCCGAGTCCGGTAGCTGAGTTTCTTTGCCTCGCGGACGGAAAGGGGGTTGTATCTCATCAGATCTGTGACGGCTGAACAGGCAATTGGGGGAAGGGAAAGATCTTCACGAAAACTGGGCCTTCAAGCCACGGTGCTAGGCAAAGTCAATGTCTCACCAGGTCCAGCGTTATCATCCTTCTCGGCGCCCAATGTTCTCTTTTAGAGTTCTATGATTCAAGCCTCAATGAATTAGGCTAGCCTCCCTTGTGTTGTGCGCCGAAGGAACCATTGGCACTAACATCACCAAGGTCTAACGCCGCGCTGCCAGCGGAATAGCACCAAAAACGTCAGAATTACAGTAATGGAATAGTCCGGCGTTCCCTTCCCTTCTACTCTAAAATACGTTACTCGGAAACCAGGGGGACGGCCCAGATCGGGGTGGAATAAGTGTAATAATGTAGATGATGATGAAAGAGGGCACATAGAGAGATACTGGAGAGGTCCAGGGGACGGGGAAAGGGTCCATATTGAACCTACATCAATTGATGTAGCTGGTGTAAAGACAAATTGCCATAAACATCCTCCTTGACGGTTTTGCGAGCTTAGGCCAAGAGAGGTAATGGGCGGCCACCGACTCTAAGTTCAGGTTTGAAATGCTGCAAGCTAGATCGATGGGAAGAGGAATACCCCCTTCGACACACGGATATGGCAGCAGCGTGTGCTCTCTTCCCACCTTGATCTTATGATCTCACCAACAGCGGTGTAGGTGAGGCGGTGGGGGATGCTTAAAGCGCGGATACACTGTAAAGTAGATGATTTGTTGCAAATCTACAGTTCCCTCTAGCTCCTTCTCTTCTTCTTCTTCTTCTTCTTCGCCCCCTACCTTGTGTCTCCAAGGATAGGAAGCTGCTTCGTACATGTAAGTGATGAGCGTGTGAGGGGCGGGGCGGAGAGTGGGGATGACGGGGCGACGGGGCGAGGGATCGGGGGCGGGGAGCGGGGCGGGAGGCTTGAGCAATCAAAGGTTCTCTCGTCTCTATCTGTATAGAAAAGAAAAGAAGAAAGGTGGGCAGAGGGATGAGGTGAGGTGGTGAGACGATGTGCCGCTGCAAAGACACCCCCAGCGAAGGTCCATTGCATCTCGGATTTGTCGTCTGTTAGTAGAAACACGACCGGGAAGTCATGGCGAGTGCTTTATAACGAGAGCTGAATAGACGCGGTCTTTAGTCTTTCTCGTCAAGGCCGGAATCATATCACCGAATTGCAAGTAAATGGGAATCCGGAATGATCCGGCATCGTACCCGGGGCGATGACCGCGATGGGGGAGCGCTAGGTCCATCTTGAAAGCATGAGTTGATGATGAGGACTCGGAGAAAAACGACAAGATTTTCAGAAGTCAAACAGGAGATAGAGAATCTGATTCAACCGGCACCCATCTTTACGCCATTCGAGCTTTCCAAATATACCTTCTCAAATATAATGGCTTGTTGTTCCAGGTTTTCATGAACCTCATTCCTTTTTCTTCTATTCAGGAGCTTTCATCGTTATTTTGCCTTTGCCACGTGCCTATTTAGAAGAAGAACGCTTGTCCGGAACGTCCGGTTCCTCCATACTTTCATGCCACTGAGAACTCCGCAGGGCGACTGACTATGGCTGCATAGGGGTTTTAGAGTAGAGGAAGAGGAAGAGGAGGCAGAAGTGGTTGGTTCAACGTCGCGAAGAGTTCGGCCAAAGAATAGAAAGAGAGAAAAATAAAACAGAAAGTCAAAGAGAGGAATGTGCGCTAGAATATCGAGGGAACAACGTAAAGGGTCAAAGTGGCAAAACTTAAGCACTCACAAAAAAGGGGAATCAGAAGATAAAAATAAACGAAAACCTTGCAAGAAAAAGCTAAACCTAACACCTGTTCCCGGGACAGCCCACCATAGTCCCCAGCACGCTTCCAGACACGCCCGCCAGCTCCAGCGCCGCGCCGACCACCCCGCCGAGGCCCTCGCCCGCCAACATGCCCGCCGCCACGGCGAAGCAGTACATGCCGAAGTTGGCCGGCCACTTGCGGCGCCAAAAGTGCGCGACGACGGCCCCCGTCAGCGTGGCGGTCGCGTACACGGTGGCGGGGATGACGAAAGCGATGCCGATGGACATCCAGTTGGGCAGCCACTGCCGGTAGCGCTCGCGCGGCCCCGTGAGGAAAAAGTGCTTGGCGACGACCTGGGCCACGCACACGCCGCCGAGGACGCAGGCGAAGATGGCCGACGACCGGGGATGGGCAGATCCGGGTTCGTGACGGCCTCGGCGACGGCGCGCCAGGCCCCGACCGAGGGCGCGGCAAAGGGGCAGACGAAGTCGTCGGGGAAATCCTCGGGGTGGATCACGCACGGGTAGGCCGCCATGAAGAGGACGAAGATGCCGGGGGCGAGGAACATGGCCACGAGGGTGCCGACGGCCTGCGCGTAAAACTGCTTGACGGGCGGGGTGCGGAGGAGGAACCCGACGCGGAAGTCGGAGACGAGTGCCGTGGAGACGTCGGCGGCGCCCGCGGCGATGCCTCCCGCGATGAGGTTGGCCCGCTGCGCGCCCGCGACGGTGAGGCCCTGGCCCGACGTCACGCCGCCGAGGACGAGCTGCGAGGCTTTGCTGGACGCCGTCAGCGGCGTGATGTCCGTCACCGCCCCGCCGTGGATGCTCAAGAAGGCGAAGACGACGCCGAGCAGACACGCGAGCACGGCCAGCTCCACCCCCATGTCGAACTGCACCTTGCACACCACGGCGGCCACCACCACCATGGCCGCGCTGCCCGTCGCCCACACCCAGCCGGGCACCTGGTCCTCGGGCCCGGCAAAGTCCTCCACCAGCGAGCTCGCGTCGCCCTCCGTCCGGCGAGCCTGCCGCGCCAAGAACGCGCTGCCCGGGCCGCCGATACCGCCGTTGCGCTTCTCGAGGACGCCGAGGAGCTGCCCGCACGCGTTCTTGTACGCAAACTTGAACCCGAGCCACACGACCTTGACGTGCACGAGGAACTCGGCCATGCTGTAAGCCACGAGGATCAGTACCCCCGGCCAGAGGAGCCAGTACCGCGGCGATGGCACCCAGCCTTCCGTGCCGATCCCGCCCATGGAGTAAAACGTCACGAGGTCGTCCCACCGGTCATCCCCTGCACGGGCGTGGCGATGCCCACGCACTCCCCGTCGTCACGAGGAGGGGCCCGATGATGCCCCACGCGAGAACCGACCCGGCGAAGAAGGAGATGCCGACGTTGAGTCCCACCAGCATCCCGGAACCGATGAAGGCGGGCGTCCACTCAATCATCCATCCCCAGTTCTCCACCGCCAGCGCCGCGTTAGTGTGGCCGCTCCAGATGTAGAACCACGTAAAGATGTGCCAGTCGTAGAGGATTCCCGGGGCGTAGTAGGATGCCACGCGATGGCATAGCGATGCGGAAAAGGCGATGCCCAGGGCCTTGATCTTTTTCATCGCGTCCGCGGCGCCGCTGCCGACCGCGTGCATGGACCGGATGGTGACGGCGGTGGCCGTCGCTGTAAGCCTAGTTAGCGTGCGAAACACCTCCCGTTTTTTTGTGTTTTTCTTTCGTCCTAATCTACCCGGAATAAAGGAGGGGGTAGCGGCTAAAGATAACGGAAGTGAAAAGGAATGAAAAACACCCACGAGAAGGAAAGACAAGCCGTAACTCCCTCGCCACATTGATCACAAAGAATTTCCGTAGCGGCACCGCGAAGAAGAGCCCAAAGAAGGAGCACACGAGCGTCAGCGTCAAAATGCGGCCAAAGTCGTCGATCGGCCGATCTGACAGCAGGCCCAGCTGGTACATGGCCGGAAGAGCGGCGACGAAAAGGCCCGTCATGCCGCCGGCGCCAGCCGCCGCGGCCTGGATGATGCTATTCTCCTGGGGGCCGAAGACGGAACCGCCGCCGAGATGGGGGTCGTGGGGAAGAGCCGGGTGAGAGCTTTTATTATGCCGAAGCCGAAAATGGCTCCGAAGAGGGAGGCGCCAAAAGTGAATCCGGTTTTGAGGCCTGTAAATCATGCGTAGAAAAGTGTTAGATTCTTTCGTCGTTAACTAGTTTTCCTGTACTCGCGAGGAAACAGAGGGGAAAAGAAAGAAACAATAGCTAATGGGGGAGTGGTCCCGGTTTCTAGGGAGGGATATGTGCGCGCGAACCTAGGTAGACATTGGAGGCGTTGACGAGAGACCCGAGAAGGATCCCCACGGCCACCGCTCTCACAGTGAGAGGGTTCTCTTCGTGCGGTATGCCCTCCTGCGGCGGAAATGGTTTAAATATATCCTCCTCCACCTCTTCGCCCTTCTCGCCCACCAGAAACGTCTTGTCGCCGGCTATCGAGGCGCCGCCGCGGCTATAGGTCGAACTCAGCCGGGTTCGTATGCTCGAGGTCGAGCGGAGAGCTTCGGGAAGAGCGCCGGCCGCGGGATCATGGTGTAGGCGTATCGGCGACAGGGGCGTTATTTCCGGCAGACGCCGGTCGAATGGGTCCGCCATGACCGGCGTACGGCACCGAACAGTGGGTAGGAAAAGAGGGAGCCTGCCGCCCTTTGAGGCTTCGATTTCTTGCTGGAGTTGAATGCAAGATTAGAGGTTCCTTATGCGCTCACTATTTTACAAGAATATCGTCGTGTGTAAGCCGTGATTGACGCTGCCCGAGGAGCAATAAACAAACGTAAATCCACAAGATGTAGCGAAAAAGAAGAATCAAACGAACCACGGGTGGGACAAGAACAACATAATGCGTCCCCATCTCCCTCTTAAACAAAAAGACAAGGCACTCCTCTTCCCTCCCACCAGAAGACTACCCATCCCGAGCACCGGCGGCTATCTTTGGTCCTTCTTTTCGTCGATCCGCCCTCTCTCTCACCGATCAGCCCACCACGCGTCTCATCTAGCCCAGCCCACATTCTCTCCTACTCTTATCCTTCAGCGTGGCGAGCAGAGCGGGAGCGGCAAAGAGGGGGATGAGAGGCAAAACGAAAGGGAAAAAAATAGAAACAGGGGAACAAGATAAGAACGCAAACCGGCTGTTTGGGTCGCCCAAACGTCGCGCGGAGACGTAGGGCCAGGTGATCGCCGTTTCGCGACGTCGGCCCACCGCATTCCTCGTCAATGCCTATTGAGCCGCGCCGGCCAACATCTGGTGGGTTTTCGCCGATTGTACGACAAGAGTCTTTCGCCTCCCCTAGGAGAATTTCCATTCTTTTTCCCTTTATTCTTCTTTGAAATTTTCTGTGTACTCCCTTCTTCACTTATAATTACTTACACCCACCCCCTTGGGAATCTAGAGCAAGGGCTCGAGCGTGTCCCAATCTTCTGCCTTTTAAGGGTTTGGATGGTGGTTAGTTTTGGATCCATCATGCAATTCCCATGTGGCCCTAGCTCTCTTGCATGGCGGGGTCAAGGTTGAGGTGCGACGGAAGAACACAGACTGACGACTACCAGATGATCGCCGCAGGGACTACAATTCTGTAAATAGGTTGTGTTCGCAAAGGACAGACGGATGTGGATATATCAACATCAGAGCCTTGCAACTCTTGAGTTTGCTAGCTCGTCTCTTTTGCTTATCTATTTTGTCTTATTGCTGTTGTATCTCTTGAACGGGCCGTTGGATCCCTTGCTCATCTTGAAAACGGGCTTTCCTCGCTCACGCTCAGAGCCCATCATGCCTGTCACCTCTTCCTCCCGTCTAGCCACTTGCTCATGTACGGCCCGTCAAGCCAGTATCCTAGCCTCGCGTAGTAGCTCCGCACGCCCACGCCCGAGATGACGCTAATCTTGACGCTCCCGTGCTCCTCCCTCGCGATCCTCTCCGCCTCCTCCATTAGTAGCGTCCCGAAGCCCTGGTGTTGGAACTTGCGCGGATCGCGCGCGTGCACCGGTACTGCCGTGCCGTAAACGTGGAGCTCCCGCACCAGGCTGGTCGGCTGCCCCACGAGCTCCTCGCGGAACGTGTACCGCTCCGTACACCGCCGCAGCCGTAGCAGCGCCACGAGGATGTCCTGCTTCGGGTCTTCGTATGCGAGGAACGTCTCCCATCCGCCGTTGGCCGCGTAATCGCGGCGCACGAGCTCGATTTGATTGGGACGTATCTTGTGCTTGACCTCGTTGATACCCACCTCGCGCGTGCGTACGTCGCGACAGGTCGTCCCAAAGTCCTTCATGCGCGCTAGCGCTAGCTCGCGCAGGTTGCCATTCTCTACGCCCGAGGTCACGAGGGGCATGGGATGTCGCGCTGCACGCGGTAGATGCGCGTCCAGGGCGGCACGAGGGCTAGGATTCGGGCCACGAGGTCGATGAGGCCGTTGGGTGTGTAGTTTTGGTAGCGGCCCGTCCGCCAGAGCTCGTACAAGCCCGTCCCACGGATAACGAGGGTGGGGTAGATTTTGAGGCCGTCGGTGCGGAAGGCTGGGTTCTCAAAGTACTCGCGGAACTGGTCTAGGTCGCGCTCCATGCCGACGTTGGGCAAGTCCGGCATCATGTGGCTGACGACCTTGAACCCGGCATCCTTGGCCAAACAAAACGTTTCCGCTACGGCCGCGACCGTGTGGCCGCGATTCGTGTCCCGCGCCACGTCCTCGTACAGCGATTGCACGCCAACCTCGAGTCGCGTGCAGCCGTACCGCAGCATGCTGGTCAAGTGTGGCTGCAGGCAGTAGTCGGGCCGCGTCTCGATGGTGATGCCGACGCACTTGATATTGCTCATCTCCCCGCCGCCACCGCCTCGTCTACGCTCGAGGTTTGGTAGCCACTGAGGGCGTTGTGCAGCTGGGCGATGAAGTCCTCCCTGTACGACTCCGCGAGCGACATAAACGTACCGCCCATAATGATGTACTCGACCTTATCGACAGAGTGGCCCAGCGATTTCAGCTGGTCCACGCGACCTCGGGCCTGTTCGAACGGGTCGTAGCGCGCGCGAATGGCTCGCATCGATGTCGGCTCGTAGCCCGTGTAGGATTGTGTGCTGTACTCGAAGTCGGAGTCGGGTCCGCCGGGGCAGTAGACGCAGATATTTCCCGTGTAGGCGATGTGAGGGCATCTGTGAGGCTTACACATGACGGCTACTACCGCAATGCCTGAAGATGTGCCTAGAAAGAGGGGCAAAAAAAAAACATGTTAGTTCCGGTCACGACGCTGCCAGAGCCTCTTGGCTCGCCTCTTCTATTGTAGTCTACCCGTCCCCCAGGGTGGCAAGAACATACGGATTGGCTTCGCGATCAGCTTTGGGAGGATATATTTCTTGTAGTGTTCTGGGATGGCGGCAATGATGGCTGTGAGGGGGGATGTTGTGGAGCTTGTGCTTCCTGGCGAGCTTCGTGCGCAGGCCATTGAGATTGATATCCTTGGCCGGGCGGCTCGAATTCTTGGAGTCTTCATGGTCCTCGATTAAAGCGTTCGCAATGTCGGCGCAGCACCTGAGGAACCGCTCGCTCTCGGGAGGAAGATTCGCATCCTTCTTGCTCCGGCCAGACTTGGTGGCCGTTACCGTTACGGTCGACATAGTGTGGGGTCTAACTCTGGCTGAATATTGTGAGATGACCCGAGGATTCTCTGTAAATTATGGCTAGGTGCGGGCGGGCTTCGTCTTTCGTATTTGTTGCCGCGTATCGTCAAAAAGGTCGATATCTGGCGTTTGGGAGGGAGTTCTGTCATTGCAAACCCATTTGACGTGGGGCAAAATTGTCCTGGAAAGAAAGTTCAAAAATTTTGGCGGCGTGTAAATCTGAGTCTGTCACCCGCGCACAATTGTCGGCACCTGTCAGCATCTTGAGTGGAAACTGATGAATCATCGGGTCGTCGAAATGGCATCGTTTGGTGAGTGTCCATTCCAAGACAAGCCTAAGTGGTGGTATTTTTCCTTGATAGAAGGATTAAGAATGGGAGATTATTTTTCAATGTTCATTCTTCATTTCTCGTCTCTGTAGCGTTTGGATTAGTCTCATCACTCCCTTCCCTGGAGCTTGCTCGAGATAATCAGATATCAAGGGGCGTTTCAACCGCGCCTAGCACGATGAGCCAATGGCGCTGTCACCAATAGGGATCAGCGTTCCAAGCACACCGCGGCCACGAGCCGAGCTCCCTGGTCTGTCCCAGGTTCCCAAGGTTACAAGGCAATTGATAGCGGCAGGCACGTTCCGCAACAAACCCCCGACCAATGGGAATCCGTGAGCATATCGGAGGATCCTCGGATATCGAGAGCCGCAACAGCTGCGCCGGGCCGCCAAAACACGCTCACTGGCCCAAACGCCCTGCTTCAGCGTCCGTAATCTGCCGGATTGGACCGGGTGCAAGCTGCGGTAAACCCGCCCTGGAGCCTTCCTCGCTTCTCGGGAGAAGAAATCGCACTCTCTCGAGCAATCTGATTGACGTTGGCTCCCGAAGAACAGCGAGGCCAAACCTGCTTGCAGCCGCAACCTCCAAGAGCTCTCCCCTCCCCAAATTTCCCCCTTGCCTTTTGGAGCCCCTAAGGAAAAAAAAACGCCCCCAACGACACAACTCCCCGAAACCAAGTCATCCTCTCCACTCCACATCATCAACCCGGCACCATTTTGCGCCTTCTTTGTTTTCTTTGTGAATTCTTGTCTTTCTTCAGGGTCTAACGGTCGTCTTTCCTTTCCTGGAGCAAAACATCACATTTGCTTCCTTTTCCCCCTTCTTGTTTTGGTGTCGTCATTCGCCGAATCGGCTTCATAAATTCCGCAATCATGCAGGCCTTCTCCAGAGCTCGCCCTGCCTCCAGGGCCCTTTTCGGCCAGGCCAGGACATACAGCTCCTCCAGCCCTTACGCGGCCACCATCAACAACCTTCGCATCAACTCTGATACCAAGGTCATCTACCAGGGCTTCACCGGAAAGCAGGGAACGTAAGTTTGCCCAGCAACTTGTTTGTGCCAGGGGTTATCGCCGACCTACGCGGAAACCGAAAGGGGCCGCTCCCGACGCGAACGCGGGCTCGTTTGTTGAGCTCGACATCCTCCTTTGGCGATGGAGTTCAAAGAACACGGCCACGGCTTCAATGCGCTAACACAATACTTCTCTTTTGAATAGTTTCCACGCTCAACAAGCTATCGATTATGGTACGGAAGCTCCTACGATGCCGACCCGGCCGATAAATGGCCGAGGAACCGAGCGCGGAATAAATGTGTCTGGAAGCTAACGTCGCGATGCTACTGATACAGGAACCCAAGTTGTCGGTGGTACGAATCCCAAGAAGGCTGGCACTATGCATCTCGACCGTCCCGTCTTCGCCACCGTCTCCGATGCCGTAAAGGAGACTGGTGCGACTGCGTCTTGCATCTTCGTCCCGTTCGTCTCCGCCTCCTGTCGACCCTCCAACATGTCTCCCCTCTTTTCCAATGCGCGATTAGTCTGACATCAATGCTTTGATCAATAGTCCTCCCCTTGCCGCCGCCTCCATCGAGGAGGCCATCAACGCCGAGATCCCCCTCGTCGTCGCCATCACCGAGGGTATCCCCCAGCATGGTAAGCGAACACCTCGCGACATCCCTCTCAACGTCTCCGTCTACTCCGCGGCGAAACCAAAGCTTTCGCCCTGCACCGCGGCCCGTCCAGGTCTTCATCGCTAACCACTTTTTCTTTTTCTTCTTCGTTAGACATGGTCCGCATCACCTCCATCCTCAAGTCCCAGTCCAAGAGCCGTCTCGTGGGCCCCAACTGCCCCGGTATCATCGCCCCCGGCCAGTGCAAGATCGGCATCATGCCCGGCAACATCCACAAGCGCGGCCGCATCGGCATCGTCTCTCGCTCCGGTACCCTGACCTACGAGGCCGTCAACCAGACCACCCAGGCCGGCCTCGGCCAGTCCCTCGTCGTCGGTATCGGCGGTGACCCCTTCTCCGGCACCAACTTCATCGACTGCCTCAACGTTTTCCTCAAGGACGAGGAGACCGACGGCATCATCATGATTGGTGAGATTGGTGGCTCCGCCGAGGAGGACGCCGCCGAGTTCCTCAAGGCCAACAACACCATCAACGGCGGCAAGCCCGTCGTCTCCTTCATCGCCGGTATCTCCGCGCCCCCGGCCGCCGCATGGGTCACGCCGGTGCCATCGTCTCCGGCGGCAAGGGCGGTGCCGACTCCAAGATCAAGGCCCTCGAGAGCGCCGGCGTCATTGTCGAGCGATCTCCCGCCAGCCTTGGCAAGGCCCTCTACAACGAGTTTGTCCGCCGCGACCTCCTCTAAGTTTGAGAGCCCCGTTGCGTGCGTCTCTCTCTAGCCCTCTACGAGGGAGGTATCCCACCTCCCAGAACGAGCGGGCCCATGTTGGTGAAAAGGGGGATGAAAGAACCGTTGGTGTTGTGTAGGAAGAAGTTGTTAAAGAGGCTGCGTTGCGTGTCTCCCTTTGAAGATGCAGTGATTGTGCCAACGGAGCGCCTGAGGGTGGTGGCTTTGACAATGCAATGTTCAGGCCACCCGCCGCTAGGCTCCCAGGCATTGTCGCTCATCTTCCTGTTTATTTACATGTGGAAATTTTTATTATCTGGTACACCATAGACTAGGCTGGGAGTGGTAGGTAGTATTATATATCTGGGAGATTTTAACAAGAAAAAAACTAAAACGCTACATGTACTGCCTTAGTACACGATCCCCTCGCCCTGTTGCCCGTGTCTTGCTCATGTTCTGCAACCGCGGAGTTTAGTCATCTGTGAGCGGAGCAGGAGCTTCTCATTGCTTTGCGGTTTCATCAATACCAAATACTCTTTGACTTTCCATGCTCTCCAAGCAGTAAACGCTCGATGGAAACCTCCGTACTTCAACCTCTCACTCTTGCGTGATTTAGGCGCCGAACTCAACTTGCTAGCCAGTTGGGAAAACTCCAACGTCCCCTGAAAACGAATAATAATAAAAAGCGGAGTCCTAAGGTCAAGATACGATATCGAGAAGAAGGAGATATAGACGGCGTAAAGGGAAACCCCCAAAAGGACGGTCGTCAAAATAACAATAATAATAGTGAACATAAACACCGCGACTCCGGCCATGCAGGATATCCGCCATCTTCTCCTCCGGTGACCCATAGGGCAGAACGACCTTCTATCCCATACCAATTTCAAGCGCTCAAAGCAGAGAGGATGCTTCCAACCGGAGTCACCGTGGAAAGATACGGCCGGGGAGGCCCGTATGAACTCCGAGGTATGCATATTTCGTAGCAAAAGGGAGGTAAAAGGATCCAGGCTGTGGGGTATGTCGTACTACGATGCACTCGAACCTTGTCAGGCAATTGCAATAGGTAGGCCGAGTTTGTTTGTGCCACTTTTGTTGCTTTAGTAATGCCCTCGTGGGCGGCATTTCGTCATCAGAAATTCCGTTCCAGTGCGATGTGAGAACGTGGGCTTAGTTCTCTCCGAGAAGTCGAGCCGTAATGTCGCCCATATACGCCTCTTCCAGCTCGTAATCTTCCCCGCCGTTGCGGTCAATGCCCACAAAAATGAAGGCATCAACAACGGCCTGAGCACCGAAGCCCATGTTCACAAAACGGTCGACGAGATCTTTATTGTACCCCTTATAACTAGAATCGCAGAATCGTTAGCAATGGCTTTTCAAGATGAAGCAAGCAACTCGTCGGGGCGTGGGCCAGGATACAGGCCCAGAGTCGTATGGACACAATACATACTCAACAGAAGTTTGCTTGGGCTTGGTATCTGGTTTCCTGAACTGCGAATAATCGATATTTTGGCGAGGGGCACCGGCATATTGGACAGCCCACTCGTGAGCTGTCCGGGCAAATTGCTCGGGGTATTCGAGAGACATTTTGGCTACTTCGGCATCTTGAGGGTCTTTGGGGTTAGGGACCTCGAGGAGCATGCGGAGAGAGATCAGGGCAGATTTGATGGTTTGGACGGGAGACCAGCCGGTCCCGAGAATATCGAGACAGATAGCGCCCTACATCGATTTGGGGAACGTTAGCTTCGTATCAGCGGGCTTGGGGATGGGTGGGCATAGGTGTGGTAGAGGTTATCGCAGTGTTTCTGGGGAAGGGTGCTAGAAGCTAAGCCCCGCTAAGAAGGGGTTATCCGATGCGTTCTTCCACATACCGTCTGGCTGCTGATATTGGGATGGTAGACTTTGGTGTCGAACTTGATGACCGGGGGCTTGAAAGGGTACGAGTCGGGGATTTGGATATCAACCTGGTACGTTCCGCCTGCGTAGACAGTTCCAGGAGGGGCAGGAAAGTTCCCTTGAGCTTGGTCCAGTCTCCGTCATCAATAGGACGCGCATATACCCCTGACTGATCCTTGTCCTTCGCAATATCTTCCAGCTCTTTCATAATCCGCCTCTCTCGGCTCGTCAGGGGGCCATGATATCTACGAGCGTGTGGCGGAATATACGACGGGAGAGCGGGTGGCGCGTGCCTGGATCTCGGTTGGGTTCAAATGCGGCGATGGGTACCGCCGTCTCAGAGGGCGCAAGGTGCAATGTTCGAGTAAGATCTAGGAGGGGTAAAAAGGGTGAGAGGGGACAAGGAAAATTCGGGAGAATAAAGACAGGCAGTTCCCTAAAAATGAACGAAGAGGGGGAACAAGATCAGGTTGGGCGATAGTATTGAGTTGGGCTACACTCTTCGAATGTGCTGGCCGAGTTGCGGAAAAAGATGTATTGTCAAAAGTTGAATCAACTCGCAGGCTCGGTTGAGCCTTCACAGTGAGGGACACTTTGCTCTGATGACGCAGGGACTGTGGAGGGAAAGTGCGGAAAGTGCTTGCTGGCTAAAGTATTACAGCGGTCTGGCTGGCCAGCAAATGGAAGGTGCAGCTGGCGACGAAGTGGGGTGGGACGAGGTTTAGTCTGCCCCGCAAAGAAAGAATGGAAGACTGAGCCGATTGCTTGGTCATCGACGAGCTGGCTGGTTCTGGAACACCAGCAGCCCAGCAGTTCGGTGTCCTGCTTCCCGTCAAGTCGAGGTTTCCTGAGCTCGTGAGGTCTTAGCATCTAAAACTGGACAGCACTTGACCATTCCTCGAATATTCTCAATGCTTAGGTTACGCTTTCTGTGTTTCCCCAGCAATAGATCGTTATCCCAATTCTGGCGCGGACTACCTGGGCGTGTTCCCCGCCACGGAGCAAATTTGATCATGCCATGAAAAGGTCCGGTCTAGCTAAAGTACGCTTCCCAATGCATCGCTAGTGCTCAGCCGATAGACCTTGCGGATCTTGAAATCAACCTTTTCAGTGCACTGAACAAATCCACAGAGGCTAGTAAGAATCCGATTACGGCGAAGTAAATCGTAAACCTGAAGTGTATCTATGTCTAAGATAGAAGTGTATTTCGAAGCTATCGCCAAGACCGAGTAATCTCAACAGAAAGGGGGAAATGCCCGGTGGTTCCCAAAAACGATCGTGCGGGTATAACTAAGAGCTTGAAACAAGAAAGAAAAAACTGATGGATCGTCGATCAAAGAGTGGAAGTCCGCCTCCACAAACACTAAGCGGACCGCGCGCGGTCAACACCAATGAGCGCCAAAATGCTAAGAAGACAACATGAAAGAACGAAACGCCTGAACCCCCATGACCCCTAAGGTTTTCATCACACGCACTCTGCTTTTGCATGCTCCTTGATGCTACCAAACCGGAAAAAACTAACAGATGCAGTGGGGAAAAAATACAAAGTAGCCGCAACGCCTTTTATGCTATGATCAAGTACAATCGAGTCGTGAGATGGGCGCTGATACAAAGGAGAGATAAGAAGAGGAGATGATCGGCGATAAGTGCTTAGGGGTCTTGCTGCCATCTCGAAAGAGCACAAAAGTGTGCCGGCTTCTGCCATCAAGGCGCCGGGACCTTTTTGCCTTTTGAATCGTTCGAGTTCATGACCGTGCCACCGGGGTTCGGTCATCGTTTATTGATTCTTTTCTTTTATAAAGAAAATAAGAGCGTGTTCGGGATCCTATCGTGTCGTCCCGGTGGGTGTAGGAGTTGCAATCGGTTTTGCGTGTGTCATGGTTGGGAATCCGCCTCCAGTATAAGTGCTCGAGGCCTTCGGGGCAGAACTGTGGGCGAAGTTATTAGCGTCGGTTTTCTAAAAGTTGACGAAACGCAGCTGCGACGAGACTTCTATTTACGTACGGCGTATCTGGTTTCTTGCTGATCCGTACGGCAGCCACACCTCCTAGAAGCCCGCCCAGGAGAAACACGGCAACGACGATGAGCGCGAAAAACGTCCTCCTGCTCAGGCAGCAAATCGTGCGACGTGAACGTGATGCTCGTGTTTTGCCGGCTTCCAGCTGTCCTTCTACCGACGGCTTGTGCTTCGAGAACAAGCCGTTTCCATTCGAATCGTCATTGTCAGGAGACTAGCCGCTAGGACGCGGCCGTTGTAAATGTCAATCCTCTCGGTGAACGTAACTTGACGTCGAAGGGGTGGCTGCCAACTCGGTTCTGGTTCAGTCGGCGAAGTGGGAGAAATGGTCATGACGACATGATGGCCATGCTGAGTCGAGAATCACAAGAGGTGTTGCCGTCTAGCGTCTACCGTCAAGAAAGTAGGTCGCTCCGAGAATATCCAGATGGATGTAGTTGCAATAGGCAAGGAAGGTGAGTAAGGACAAAGGACACAAGAAAGAAAAAAGAAATAAGGTTAGGAGAGACAACTCATCACTCAAGGCACGGAGTAGCAGGAAGAGGAAGAGGAAAAAGAAGGCCGGCAAGAGAAAATCTGGGTTTCCCAAGGAGGCGGGAGATCGGCCAACTCGCTTGTATATGAGGGTTGAGAGGTTGTCAATACTTGCATGAGCTGGCAGTACTTGTCCGACGAAAACCCTCCCCACACTCTCAGTTCGGGCCAGCCATCTTCCTAGCTCCTCCAGATAATAAGGAGTAGTAGGGGCACTATATGACCGAAATGTACGGAAGGTGGGTGTCGAATAAACAGAGTAGAAGGGGTGGCACTTCATTTATTCTCATCGAGAAAATTAGTTGGGGCCCATTCATGAACGTTTTGTGGTGTCCCCTGTGCCGCGTTAGAGGTGGTGGATGTAACTGGAGGCGAGGGGATGGACTTTAACCGCACCGAATTGAAGGCGTAGTCAGCCTGTTCAAGACGGACAGCGGCGCAAGCCCAAGCATTAGGGGCCGGATCACCCTCCGACAAGATTGAAGAAATTCTGGGTCTGGGGGAGGGAAGCAACAGGCCCGAGACCTTCCCCCTCCGAAAACGACGAGGGGGCGCACCGCGGTGGTCACGATCTAAGGGACGGTCCCAAGATCCACCATCTCAGCAGAACAAGGCGGTACAGTGAGCCGATATGGGCGATTATGGTACGCTAAACGTGTGGCCGAGTGGCCACGGCTGACAAGACCACGCAGACCCAGCCTCCCTCCCGGGTCGCCATCAGGTGTGGTGCCAAGGAACCACCCAGAGCTCACGGTTATATTGACGTGCATTAGTGATGCCTGCATGGTGTATATTAAAGGGAAATCTCTGTACCATCACGACTACCACTCCCGCCCTGATTCCCCCATAGTCCTGCTTCCAAAGCGTTCGGAATACTTTCTGCTACTTGGCCCGAGGCAATACTCTTTAGCGAGATGCTAGCAGCAGCCCGTTCAAAGGGGAGGGGGATGCATCCTGTTCTGGTTTACGAAGGCGAGGATGGATCCTGTGAGCCCTCGCCCGCCACACCATCTCGCTCCTCTTCCCGATTTTCTCTCTTTTCTTCATTTCCTCCTCCGGAGAAGCGACCTCTCTCGGCTCTGCCACCTCCTGATTGGCCCTGGACTGGGCGGCATTCAGACTCTCCTGCAAGATCGAGGGTGGGATGAAATGTGGGAGGGAGACAGAGAGACAGGCGAGGCCAACGAAGCGACAGCAGAGGATTGCTGCGATAAGCGCCGTCGGCCCAACGCTTTCCGCCGTGCCGGACGAGGGCAGATCTAGCGCAAAGAGATACAGTGGTAGTGGTGGCAGTGGTGCTTGGTTGTGGGGGAAAAGGCAACGGATCGTGAGAGGTGAGAGGAAAGAGGGAGAGGGATGAGAGAGGCTATCCTGTCTCCCCACAGAAAACTTGTCGGCAAATATGCTCGAATGTTACCTGGCCACACTATATCTTCCAAGGGCGGCGTTGGTCGGACCAGTGAAGGTGACGAGCCATGGTTACATCGACCGACGGTTATACAGGCACCGGTTCCCTCACTTCCGCCAATTGCTCAGAATCCTAGTCGCTTCCGTTGTCTGGCGCCCGCCTGCCGCTCCACGAGGTCTCAAGGGGGAAAGGACGGGGTCTGCGTTAGCTGCGCTTTGGCGTTGGAATGAACAATAACAATGGGTGGCAACGTGTGACCGAACCCCAGATTGGGGGTTGAGGTGAGGGGAGAGAAAGAGAAAACATGGAGAGAGAGACCTGGGGAGGGAGCAGTGCAGCGTCGCCTCTTGCGCCTTTTCCCGCCCTTTGCCCTTTAGAGCGGAATGTGCGCTGGAGCAGCGCACTTGCAGCAAGCTCCAAATGAAGATAATCACGACTTTTCAAGGCGTGCCTGAGATGAGATGATGCTCCGATATCAAACTATGAAAGGGGAGAAGCCACCTGATACCCTTTGGTTCGTGGAGCATTGGCGATTTAATTAATTGACGATATCAGAGACACGCTGGACCGGGTTTCCTCCTCCCCATTCTCCATCAGCATTCAACCGAGATTGAACTAATACCGCAGACCTGTTGACCGGAAACCGCCAGTCCTGGGGCGGTTTTTTATGAAAGGGACGAGGCGGCTTGCAGCTGCCCCGCTTCGATGATTCAGCAGGATGTGGCTTGGTTTCCTTAGTCAGAAATGGGGCGTTGACTTCGGTCAAAATGTGGCGTGAGCAGTCAGCCTCACCTCCAAGTATGCACGGGCCATTGCTTATGTGATTGCCCTTGCTGCTTGCTGTCGCGTTACCTAGCAGCCTGGGCTGGCGGCTACCAAGCTCTTGACCTTGTCGGAACAGCAGAGACAACATCATCAGCCAAAGCCTACCATTTTCCACAGCCTTTCGCCCCCGATTCATCAAGCGAAGGTCTCACGAACCACATCAATCCACCCCAGTATTCTGTTTTGCGGCATTCCTGTTTGATATATCTTTATTCCACTTGAAGGACCTGCGAAGATGGTAAGGCGTGAACGAGCTTCCGGAGTCTGCTGAAATTGCCACTGACTGATTGATGCCAGGGTCAAAACCAATCTGGAATGGGGAATGGGGATGGAAAGGATGACAAGGATAAGAAGGTTCGTTCATCAAAGATGTCTCGCACCGTCACAGTCTGCGGTTTTATGAATTTCTAACACCCTTTCAATTAGAAGAAGCCGAAGTACGAGCCCCCCTCGGCCAACCACCCGCGTGGGCCGCAAGAAGAGAAAGGCTGGCGGAACCAGTGCTGCCGCCAAGCTCCCCGCCGTATACCCTACCAGCCGATGCAAGCTCCGACTATTAAGAATGCAGCGGGTCCACGATCACCTGCTTCTTGAAGAGGAGTATGTCGAGAACCAAGAACGCCAACGAAAGGCCAAGGCTGCCAAGGAAGGAGCCGGTTCCGATCCCGACGACAGGCTGGCCGACGAGCGCGGCCGCGTCGATGACATGCGAGGAAGCCCGATGGGCGTAGGAACCTTGGAGGAGATGATTGACGATGACCACGCCATCGTCAGCAGCACCACGGGCCCCGAATACTATGTCAGCATCATGAGCTTTGTCGACAAGGATCTCCTCGAGCCGGGCGCCAGCGTACTGCTCCACCATAAGAGTGTGAGCATTGTGGGTGTTCTCACGGACGATGCGGATCCTCTCGTCAGCGTCATGAAGCTGGACAAGGCGCCTACGGAGTCGTATGCGGATATCGGTGGTTTGGAGACTCAGATCCAGGAAGTTCGAGAATCCGTCGAGCTGCCGCTGCTGCACCCCGAGCTGTACGAGGAGATGGGCATCAAGCCCCCAAGGGTGTCATTCTCTACGGTGCTCCCGGTACAGGAAAGACGTTGCTCGCCAAGGCGGTCGCCAACCAAACTTCGGCTACTTTCCTGCGTATAGTAGGAAGTGAACTTATCCAGAAATATCTCGGTGACGGCCCTAGGCTTGTGCGGCAGCTCTTCCAGGTATGCTCCTCTTCTTGACTTCTTTGCCCCTTCACCCCAAATGTAGGCCTTGGCTAATTCTTCTTTTCAATACTAGGTTGCTGCCGAGAACGCCCCCTCGATTGTCTTCATTGACGAAATCGACGCCATCGGTACCAAGCGTTACGAATCCACATCTGGTGGTGAGAGGGAAGTTCAGCGAACCATGCTTGAACTTCTTAACCAGCTCGACGGTTTCGACGACCGCGGTGACGTCAAGGTCATCATGGCCACCAACAAGATTGAGACTCTAGATCCAGCCCTGATTCGACCTGGTCGTATCGACCGAAAGATTCTGTTTGAAAACCCCGACCAAAACACGAAGCGCAAGATTTTCACACTCCACACATCCAAGATGAGTCTGAACGACGACGTCGATCTGGAAGAGTTCATTGGACAAAAGGACGATCTTTCCGGTGCCGATATCAAGGCCATCTGCTCCGAAGCGGGTCTCATGGCCCTGCGGGAGGCGGATGCGCGTACAAATGGCCGACTTCCGTGCCGCGAGAGAGCGAGTGCTAAGAACGAAGCAAGAAGGCGAACCGGAGGGCTTGTACTTGTAGAAATAATATATTTATGTGCACCTTTGCCGACTTTGGCGGCTGAGATAAAGGGATTGGGGTGGGAGCTAGCGAGAGAGACTGGGATGAATAGATGGCGTTGAAACCACGAGATCAATGTTCTTCGAGGAGTGAAGTCTGACGAATTCCCGAAACCCAACAGTACCCAACAGTCATCTAGGCCAGTGCTAGGCGTTTACTTCCGACTCCCTTTCATCTGCGTTGCTTGGGGATGGATGGTCTACAAAGGAGCCTGCACGAGTCTACTTGCAGCCCTGGCGCCACGAGTGACCTTGAGACGTAATGGTAGCTAGGCCGCTAGGTGATCGTGACGATGGACCGGGGGTAAACAGGAAGCTATGTAAACCTGCCTTTTTCTGACGGTCACGGGGTACGAGATTTCTAGGATAGTGAATTTTTATTGTTTTTCCCCATCACATGTGTGGTTTTGCAAGCATGGTGGTTTGCTTGACAAAAGCATCAGATCTCGGAGCCACTACTGTAGCCCCGATATCACGATGACGAGGTGCACAACTGTGGTCGAACAAGAAAAAAAGAAGAAGAAGACCGAAACCGAGGAGGAAACCCCATCAAAATAGGGACTGATGACAAGTTCAAAGTAGTAAAGAACCGGGATTTTGGTAATGATACGCGTGGGACATTACGACTTTTCCAGCTGGGTGGGGAGGACACGGATGGGGAAGCAAACAAACCAATGCTGGGAGTAAAACACCAACTTTTTTGTTCGTTGCACCCTGGTGCCTCGAGGCTCGAGGGTAGATCTCGTGGTCAGAAGGCGTCACCAGGCAGAGGCAAAGCTGTGACGAAGAGAAACAGAGAGAAGGGGCAACAGTTGCGAGAATGTGAGGAACCCACTAACATGAAGTGGAGGATGAGATCATGCATGGGGTACATGAAAGCCAGCTCTGTGCTCTTGGAAAGCTTGCGTGGATCTTGGATGGTGCCTTGTGATGAAGCAATCAGTTACGAGTCAGCCTCGCGTGTGAGGCTCACAGAGGCAATCACAGGGGTGGCTTCTTCGTCTTTGGTTCTCTACACATGAGACGAGTCGCGCTCCACAGCATATCCTGGGCTTTCACGGCTTTTCTTCGAGGGAAAAGGCAGGTACGTTTGGAGCTGACGCAGGCTCATGAAGCCTTTTTGTTTTCGGAGACCCACGAGAAGAAGACTTTTGTCACGTCACATGTGTCAGGAAGGGATTCTTGTGCGTTGTTTGGAAGAGTGGCCCCATGCTATGCTTAAGATCTACGGAGGATGGTGTCTACTCGAGTTTCTGAGCAGAGAAAGCAAGGTCGTTTGTGCGGTGCGGGCGACGAAAACCCTCAACTTGAATAATGAGGCTTCGTCGAGGACGGCTGTGGCCAGTTGCCGGGGAATGGATGTCTGATTCGGAGGTGATGGTGTATGTCCGGACATGTGGTTTCGGAGTGATGAGGGAGAGCGGGGAGGAGGCAGACCAAGGTTGCGTACATCACGATGGAGCAAGATGTCTCATATTTGTAAGGCTGCGATGAACCAACTCTACAAGCGAACCGAAGATGAACCCACAGTCGATGGGGCCTCTAGATGGGAATAGGACCAAGGCTTGGGCGACTATACGCTTGGTGTGGGTGAGAAGGAACGTCACCGGACTATCCGGCAAGTTCCGCATCGTCATCGAGGGTAGTTGCGAGCTGGAAAGGGAAGGAAAACAGACGACCAAAAGTTCATGATGTGTTTCTATTTAGTGTAAGAATGGGATGACGGCGGGTCGAAAGGGCACCTCCCCTAACTGATCGTCAGGGAATTGGTAGTCATGAAAATCAAGGGCGATCCGCCGGAAGGGATATCCAGGGCTAAAAGGGACTGACACCAGTCACGTAACGATGCCACCGCCCTATACGGCACCACGGCGTCACTAGCAGGTGCTGGAAGCAATACGTCCTTGCACTTTATCGGGGAAGACACTTCTTCCACGGTTCAGGGCTAGCATCTAGAAGTCCGCCAATAGTACCCTCGGGCCGGCCTGGGAGGGGGACCCCATATTTTCATTTCTTCCTCTTTCCGTCGGCCCCATCATGTTCATGGCGCGCCGAGCTGCACTAAAGACCCCCACAGGCAAGGGTACTCGAATGGGGAGCAGGGCCAGGCCTCGGGTGTCCGAAGTTGATCCTCTCTCATTGCCTCATTGCCTCCATGCCTCATGGGATAGCAACGTGAGAGACGCCGGCTTGTTGCATGGCCTGTGGCTAGCCTATGCCAGTTCCCACTCGAGCTTGGACCAAGGTTTGGACATGTTCGGTGCGTCGACGATGAGCGTGCTGGCTATCTCTCTCTCTCTCTCTCTAGTCTCTCTCGTGCCCCATGCGCTGGAATAGGCAACCATTTAAAATTTTCTTTTGTGGCAGGCATGGCGATGCATGTATGACTCCTTTGTGCGTTGGAGACGGGCTAGGGTAGATTGAAGATCTGAAGCCATGCCATGGGGTATGAGTTGGCGATGTCGCGGTTGCGACTTAAGCACGACACCGCACTTTGCACTTGCACTTTGCACTTGCGCTCTGCACTTAATTCGATAGAATAGAATATGGGGGCCTTGGACCAAGCACGAGCCCCACAATCGTAGCTTTCAAAAATTAAAGTGCAATCGGTGACGGTTATAATCCCATGTTCCTTTTCTGCAACCTGATGCGATGGTCTCCACTGGCCATGCTGGCGGCGCATGCGGACCAGGAAACCTGCATGAGAAATTTCAAACAAAAAAACGTTTGGATGCCGCCTTTGACATTTTCTTCTCTTTGAGGCTGGCCAAGCAATCAAATCAAAAGATGGAACAAAAGGGCCAGCGGTTCCAAGCGAACAAGGTTCGGTGCAATGAAATGGCCTGCTCTTGCTCTTGTGGGGGAACTGACTGGGCCCGCTTCTCTGCGAGCGATGAATCACTGCACACTCAATTGCACATAGGCAGTGGAGAACAAAGGGCGATTGTGTCATTGGCGAAATCGAAAGCCCGGGACCAGCATGCCCGCCTCGTGCATTGCGCGGGTCGAAGACTGGACAAAAGGAAAAGTAAAAAAGAAGGAGAGCTGGGACGGTATTCGCTCCCTCCGACAAAGTAAGTTACACAAGCCTCGCCCTGGCTTTCGAGAATGTGAGGATTGGATTTTGGGCGCCCCTTGATTTGATGTAGACAGTCTTTCAAATCGTACATGTAGGCGAAGCACTTATGCATTATTTTATGCGGAATGGAGCACGTTGAATGGTACGAATAGCAGCCTCGTTTAGGTCAAGAGCACCACACTAAACACCAAACAGAAGCAAGGCACAAAGCTCACAAAAGACCAAAGCTCGCATCAACTGATTTCCTTGCGGCGCTGGCTCGAACAGACGATTTGCTTCCGTCCATGGACGTCTGGTACGTCTGGATCCTCTATTGGGTTATTAGTGCTTCCCCGAAAGAGGCCGCTTAGCGCCGTAGTATCGATGTGAGAAAGCCTATTGGGTGAACAGTGTGAGGATATGGGCGAATCACGGGCCTGAAGACCTCTGTGACTTGGGTACCTTGGACCCGAGCAAATCGAGTCCAGTCTCTCTTGGGAAGCCCTTTGGCTGTTCCCGCCTGCGTCTCCCTTGAGCCCGCAGACAGGGCGTTTTTTTCTCAAATCGCAAGAAAAAGGACTACAAGTATTGCTCTAGAATGAAAATGTACCAAGTGCATGATTTCTCCCCTCGATAGAGACCAACTTTCAAGGCGTGGTGCGTGTATCAATTGTGCGTCTGTGAACGTTGTGGATGGGCGGGTGTCTGTAAGTGTGTGTATCTGTGTGCGTCCATCTGTGTGTGTGGAGGTCTCGGTAGTGCACAACTTGGCAGTTCCCTGTCTGCAGTCCCCGAATCGAATGCCAGGAGCCCCTCCATTGGATTTTGGCCCCATGTCCGCCCTCCTTGCGCCAGGTCGATGCAATGCGTCGTTCCCGGGACAGAGGTCTTGCCCCGTCCTAGTTCCTTGAGCCGAGACAGACACACAAGATACATACATTAGCTCGCCTGTGTCGAGCATGCAGGACCAGGGTTCTCGTTTCCTTCCTTTCGAACCGATGACTCCTCTTCCACGCATCTTCTCCTTCCTGTTTTCCCGCCGCCCTCATGTTATCGTCGAACGGATGCTCTCTCCGCGCCATCCATCCTGTTCTCTCTCTCCCAAATCTCGCCAGAAAGTTTACGCTTGTCGTAAGCCATTGCGGGCCATGATGGGCAGGAAGAGTAATCGAGAACGACTAGACTGAGACATTGGTTTTCAAAAAAACTCGCACCGAACAAACCTTGGGCTCGGCTACGAGCTCGCTCCCTGTGCCGAAGCATCATACCCCCTCCCCTCCCCTCCGTCGTGCCCAGTCGTGGTCGTTTGCTGTTCCTTTCAAGGGTCGACGGGTTGCATCGCTGGCTGGCCCTTGATCCCTTGTTTTTTTCTGGTTCTTTTCTTCCCTTTGTTCGCTTTTCCCGGCACGTCTTCTGCGTCTGTCACGCCTGTCTCCCCCTCACTAGGGTCCTTGTCTGTCTCTCATGAACACCTTGCCCTGGCTGCACCCTGGATTGGTTTCTCTTTAACCCCCTTCCCGTGCTCGCCTTCCTTGAAATACCCAACCCCTACCCTCCAACTCGAGGTTCTTGCCCTCTCGTTTCTATTCCTAGAAAAAGAATCCGAATCGCTGTCTCTCAATTTCCCTTCGACTCTGTTTCATTACGTACCTCGCCTACCATTTTCTCTTTTGCTCATCCATTGTATGTGTGAAGCACCAATTCATCCTTGCAGTACAAGCACCGCCCTCCTAAAGTCGTTGATCTACGTCGCCACCCAGACCCGTCAGCCTACCCACAATCTTGTACCGGATCAAGAAGGAACACCGCCACGTCCGCTCAAATGGGTTTCTTTTCCACCAAGAAGCGCAAGAAAGCCGACGAGCTCCTGAGCTCATCGGCTCCGCAACACCACCTCCCGACTCGGCCCAGCACCGCCCCGCACCCGGGTCTGAGCCACAACCACGCGCATCACCATCAACAACTCCAACTACAACTACCACCGCAACCGCAACAACAACCGCAACCACTCCAACATTCACAATCTCTTCCCATACAACAATCGCACACCGGAACATCCGTTGCCTGGGCGTACGACCACCCCGCCCTCGCCCGGAGCTACAAGTACGCGCACTCCCAGCACATCATCCCCGCCGCCTCGGCATGGACGGCCCCCACCCAGGCCCCACCCGCGCATCCGCCGCCGCCGTACAATGGTTATCAGCAGCCGTGCCCGCCCATCGTCGTCAACCAGCACTACTATCTCAACTCCAAGCCCATTCCTATTCCAAACATGAATGGAAAGAAGAACCAGTCATCGCTCGACAAGATTAGCGATTCCGTCGTCGGCATCACAAAGGATGTCGCTCAAGACGTCTTTCCCCAGCTGTACGACGAGAGCGTGTCGGCATGGCAAACCTATGGTCCGCAGCTGGTCAATTCGACCGTCGCCATGGTGGACCAGATCTCGAGCAGTTTCGATCGGATCATGACAATGATTGACATTGACAAAATTGACCGGAATGACCGTGATCTGTTAGCCGGTCAGCTTCCCCAGCAATCCATGGAGGTGTCGAGGCGACCTCTCGACCAGCCCAAGTCGAGGTCGAAAACGGACAAGACCTATCACCCCAAGGTGCAAACAACTGCGGTCGCCTCCGCCGTCGTCTCCGGTGGTTACTTTGCCAAGGTGGACATGTACGCGAATTCCAGGCTCCCCTGGATATGCCCTCCTTGAAGCTGTAAGTCGAAATGTCGCTTTTTCTTTGTGTTCTTTTTTTTTTGTTTGATTCTATACAGCTCCATTTACTTACGCGCACCTCTTTGTAGATACGTGTCTACCTGGCCCCTTCTTTGCCTTGCCGCGAACTACTCCGAGAGGGTATACGACACCCCCGGGGCGCCGAAAAGGACACCCACGTCAGCGCCGATTGGAGATCCGGAACCAGAGCAATGGTGCTCAAATCAGTACCCATGGATGACAAGAGCGTCATCGTTTTCGCGATTCGCGGCACGGCCAATTTCATGGATTGGGCGGTGAACCTTAACATGGCACCGGCCTCTCCCGCCGGGTTTCTGGTACGTCTTACCCTTGTCTTGGACAAAAATGCCACCCACCACCTTTATTTTCCATGGCTCAGTGACTAATCCCTCAATTTTGAAAAACGAATAGGATGACGCCGGTAACCTCTGCCACGCCGGCTTTCTCACCTCGGCCCGGAAAATGGTCAAGCCCGTCGCCGCCCGCCTCCGCCAGCTCCTGACGGAAAATCCCGGCCGCAGCGACTACTCGCTCCTCATCACCGGCCACAGCGCCGGAGGCGCCGTCGCCTCCCTGCTCTACATGCACATGCTCTCCACCTCGCGCAGCACCGAGTCCGAGCTCAACATCCTCGCCGGGTGCTTCAAGCGCATCCACTGCATCACGTTCGGCACCCCGCCCGTCTCCCTGATGCCCCTGACCAAGCCCGACATCCCCCAGCTCAAGAAGAGCGTCTTCATGAGCTTCATCAACGAGGGCGACCCCGTGGTCCGCGCCGACAGGGCCTACGTCAAGACGTTGATCGAGCTCCTCGCCTGCCCGGAACCCGCGGCGGCGGTCAAGAGTAAAGACAAAGACAAGGACCGGGACAAGAAGGCGGCCTCGTTGGGGAAACCCGCGGCCAAGTCCTCCGGTAAAGACGCGAAAACGATTGCGTCCAAGAGGCCCCGCGCTTCGTCAAAGTCGGCGGGAACCTCGTCGTCGTCGTCGAGGTGGTCCTCGCGGAGCCCCGTCTGGCGGGTGCCCAACTGCACGCTCAGCAACGCTGGGCGGATCGTCATCTTGAGGAGCAAGGACCCCAAGGCCAAGGTGACCGGTCGTAGGACAATCGACGAAAGGCTGCGAGACGGTGTCGTGGCTCATACGGCGACTGATTCGGAGCTTAGGGGCGTGATTTGGGGTGATCCCCTGTGCCATATGATGTCGTTTTATTCCAAGAGGATTGAGCAGTTGGCGGTTGCTGCCATTACCGCCAAGGGCTATTAGTCCGAACTCTTGGAAAGCGAGGCAACCCGTGCTCTCTCCCCTCATCACTTTTTTTTTTTTTTTTGGCCATTATCTCCTTTTTTTCTACTACAGCTTGGGATGGGTATTCTCTTGTTGGGCCAGCTGTTTTCTTGGTTCCTTGTTTATACATATATGTTTGATGACTTCTTCATATCGGCGCGCATTACTTGATACCATAGAGAGGGAATATATTCAGCGATTGAGTGGAAAGGATCTATCTTCTAAGAGAATAACAAATTTATGAGTGTCGGTTCTTTGGTGTTTCCTCCCGAGTGATCATTGGGGATGAGCATAGCTTGAAGCATTGAGATTGATTCGGTGTCCCCGAACTGCGTGGCCCGCAGTCCATGAGATTTGGTTTATTGAGCCGGATTCGTGAATTCTGACGTGTGCAGTCCCCACCTGTTCCTCATACGCCTTCCTCTCTGTTCGGAGTGTGAAGACTTGCTCCGCTCCTCGGCGCCATTGTCCCCAAGCCAGAAGTCTGCACGATTCTCAATACAGCTCGCATTGACACCGCTTATTAGCGAGCCAGCGCAGAAAGCACGAGGTTGGCTTTCGTGTCTAGACGCTTGATAATTGGCCCAACACATGATGGAACATCATTTGATATGTGGGGCGGCGCAGAGTCTGGTCACGCTTTGACACCGTAGGTAGCACAGTTGACAGACCAATAGAAGTTGGTAGGTGAAGGACTTGAGGAGGGAGGAGTGGAGGAGGAAGGAGGAGGAATGAAGGAGGAGGGATTTTGGAGGAGGGATGTTAGAGGAGGGATCCATGTCCTGACTTTTGAACAGGGCCGCACCTGGGCACCAGAGAGTGCTTCTTCTGAGTGAGCACTGAATCCTTGTTCAGCCGTAGCCAGGATACCACGACCACCGACAATGGAGGATCAATTGACATGAGGAAGCACTTCTTCCGATATGGAAATAGCGATCTAGTTAGAATGTACCATTGCGTATAATGGTAGTTCTAATTTCCTGCACAAAATCGGAGATATAAGCTTCACCAGAACCCGCCTGCAATCGACAGTTGAAGGACCATTTCATCCTCTCTATCTCTATTGACTACTCAAACCTGGCCATTTCCCCCTCTACCACAGCCCACAGTCACCTTCTCGAGATCTCTCACACACTACTGCCTTCTATTTATTGAACTCTTCGAACCCGAGACTCGACCCCGTAACTGCTCTTATTAAACATCATCATGCCCTTCGTCATCTGTAAGATTTTCAACAACAATCCTCGTGGACTCATCAGTCCGATTACCATGGACGGAATAAGCTCTCTCGTCGACTTTGTCGCGATGGATGCTGTCCTTCTTCTTAGTTTTCTTATCACTTCCACTTGTTACTTCTGGATTGTTGCAAGAGCCAATCCCACTCTCTCCGGGGACCATTTCTTCAACATATTCGTTTCAAGCTCATCACTCATAGTACTCGTCTTGCTCCCTGCTCTTCTGCAGAGGCGCAATGGGTGGTGTCTCTTCTCACATGTGGGGCTCGGAGTACAAAAAGTCTTTCAATTTCATACCTCCGCTTACGAGGACGTATGTGTAAGGGCGCACCAACAAGCTAAAACCACTATCAGCGTTGATCATGTCGCTCTCAAGCTCCATATAGATGGGGAAGGAACCAAGGCCGCCATTCCGAGGTGGAAGCCGGGCTCCTCTCTGACTTTCAACATTAACCGAGCAAGCTTTCCGGGCGAGGAAGTGTGCGAAGAGGCCACAGGTGCACTCGTGAATGCCGCGAACGATTGGAACACCAGTTACCTCACCGTGGCCTTTCGCAGAGTAAATGACTTTGAGCGCGCGGTCTTTACGCTTACCTACTGTAACATGAACCATGAAAGCCCCACCTGTCTTGCTGTGGCTTTCAACCCGGGTTCGTGGTCCCAACCAAACACACCCCTCAACGTTTACCGCTTGGCTTTCGACTGCCAAACTTATATCCCGCTAAGAGAGATGTTCTGCCACGAGCTGGGACACGTTCTCGGTTTCCGCCACGAAAATGCAATAAAAGATGAGGAAAACCAGCCCTGTGTCAGCTTCGGCACCGACAACCCCGGATCCATCATGCACAGCAACTACAAGGAGTGGGGCGGGGGCATCCGCCCTACAGACCGCCTTGATGCGAGGGCCTTCTACGAATTTTCTCGCTGCCGCGTTGGCTCCGGCAGAAAGCGAGACCATCCCATTCATCCCATTCGCGACGTCGACCCCAAACTTTCCATTGACGGCATCCATCCCGAAGTCCCCAGTATTAATACTGGCCCCAACGTAGTTCCTCCTCAGCCTTGCGGCATCATGTAGTCAACTTCTGCAGATTCTTAGCCAGCCGAAGATAGATCAATATAAAACATGATTGTACCGATTCATCTCTTGATCTTGTGTATATGTGTTTTATTTCTTTTATTTTTATTTTTATTTCTTTTGTGAGTGAGGGGTAAAGGGGTGCAAGAAGGATTGATGCCGAAAACGTTACTCCACACTGAGTACCGAGGTATAAGAGGAAGTGTCTGGAAGGGCTAACTACGCGGATCCCGAGATACTAATGCCCGTAACCAGGGACACGAACCTATCCTTTGATCGATTACCGGGGTATTTTAATGGTTGAACGTTCCGCCGTGGTGGGACTGATGTGAATAGGTGGGACGGGCCGGATCTTATGAGTCGAAAAGCGGATCCGCAAGCCGGTAGGATGCGACTGCCCCACTGCCTGGGAAGCCTCGGGAAAAGTGGCCCGAGCACAACGATGGCCCCGGCATTGCCCTAAACGCTACCTCTGTGCATCTGCTATTTGCTCACCTACTTCCTTGCCCAAACGGACCTAGTTGTTTGACTGACTACCACGAACTCGGTCTCAGTTGAAGAAAAGATTCAGGTTGAGATGTCTCTACACATCCTACTACTGCATGATCTAACCTGCCATGGATTTTCATGGCTTCCGCGAGTCACATAGTAGGAGCGTGTTATTATCCACATGATTTAGGACTGTGTCTGATCCAGTTGATCGCTTCACGCATCTATCAGATGGGCTTGCGTCGTCTTTAAATTGGACCACCCCAGGTAATGGTATATCTCCCTATCTTTGGTCCTTGGGCTGCTGTTTCTTTGTACAACATCCTGGACTCGCTAGAACATTCGCTCGAGGATCATCAAGGTAAGCAGCAACGACAGCATGCCTTTACCCGGCCACAAAGCTATCGTAGCCTAGCCTGTGGCCTTCGTGTCCTCGCATCAAAGTAGTCCTAATATGAGAGATGCTTACTGAACACGTGGGGCGTGGGGCGTGGCGGTCTCTTGTCAATCTACGGATGGAAGATATTTAATGTGCTGGCCGGTACAGGTACATCATGGACCCACAATGTATTAGTATGTAGTTGCGAGCTGGAGTTCGAATTTGAACAGGATCTGGGGCCGTGTTCGGACCCACTCTCGCTCGTCCGTGATCCACTCAAGACATCACCGCAACCGCTGTGCTGTATCCTCTCCTCCATGCCCTCATGCGAGAAAGTACTCGTCATTTACGCAAAAGGAAGTCAAACCGCTCCTCCGCTTTTTCCAGTCTTTCTTTCGTCTCGGCCAGGTCCTCTTCAGATTTTTCAGTCTTTCCTCCGCCCTGACCAGGTCTTCCTCAGCTTTTCTCAGTCTTTCCTTCATCCCAGCTAGGTCTTCCTCCAATTCCTTACGCCGCTTCCGCTTCATCACAAACCCAACCCTCGGTACTTCAGCCCCTTCCTCTCTATCATACTCCTCATCCGACCCTTGTGATACATCTTGCCGTTGTCTTTTAGTGGCTCCATTCTGAGGCGCTGCCACCGTTATAGTGGGTGTTGATACAAGCCTGCTAGGGCAGGGTTTTTCATGTGCCGGCTCATATTGTCGCGACGCCCGAATAGTGTACCGCATCGAGGGCAGGAGAAGTCTTTACTTGCGGTGGAGTTGCTTGAAGAGATAGCCTGGGTCTGATGGGGCGCGACTGCGGCGGAGTTCCCCGGAGAGATGACCTGGGCCTGAGGCGGCGCTACCGCGGTGGCCTGCCGCTCGGTAGACGGGCTAATCGAGGGCTGGGATGAGAATCCTCCGAGAGAATCTTTGGTAGGTAGAATGGAGTAGCTGGCAGGTTCTCGGTACTCCATGGGGACGAGACTGAACGACCTCAACGGTTGGTCAGTGGTAGAAGGGTAAATACAGGCCATCTCCTCGTCTGTCAGGCGGGTGGTCCAGCATGTGAGTGGAGGTTCGGCAGCCCCTTGTAGCTGATACGTCCCAAAATTCAAGTCTATGTGAAAATTATCCAAAGGCGCATTCCCCTCGAGATTGTCGCTGACAGACACGTATTGCTCCGGCCCGGGGCGGGGCGCGAACATCCACACAACGCTCCATAGCACTAACAGTGCGGGAGGGATATTCCACGGCATGGATACCGATGCGCTTTTGAGGCGCTTTTTGACCCATGTCGCGACAGTGCTATAGGTGAGGAGGCGGGCCAAGTTGAGAATCAGGGCGATGAGGGCGAGGAGGCGCCTAACGTATTCCCACTCCATTGTTTTAGGTGTCGGCACCGCCTTGCTTGTCGATCGGTGGGGATAATAAATAAGCCGCCGCACATAGTTGCAACTTGAAACAAAATCTCCAAAACTGCTACAAGGGCAACGAGTGACGAGGAGCATGTGGGATTCGTTTGAAGTGAACTCGCAGCGGCCCCGGCAACAGCTAATGAGAGCCCTAAAAGACCAGGCCGGAGGTTTGGGTGCTAACAACTCAGGATCAATCGCTTTAATATTACCTGAGATAGTCCTACTCAAGTACTTGAGATGGCGTTGTAATCTGGAGATAGTCCGAGGTAAACAATTATCCTTGGATTCTGATAGGCGTGGTATCGTATCGTAACGCCATTCGGCCCTAACTAAGGGCCCCGGTGTTTTTTCAAGAGTAACCAGGGGACGGTTAGAAGAGCACATCGTAGTTTATCTTAAGAAGAGACAAACGAGCGTTTCTTTTTGGGTATTGATAGGTATATGAAGGACCAAACCACATTTCCCGCGTTCTCTTGAACTTGAAAGGTGGAGTGACCGGCCGCCTTGCCGCAAAGGTAAGTTAGATATGGAGATCTAGGTCGGTTCATCGTCCTCCCGCCTCGGGGGTTGCGTGGACAAGGACCGAGGGACAGAAAAAGAGGTTAAGGCGGGAATAGAGGAGGGAAATGAGAAACGCAAGATTGGGCTTCACTAGTATTTATGATAGAGTTGGAGGATGCTCTCGCCTCTTAGCAGAGGAGCAGGTTGTGATGAACTTAACCATCCTCTTGCCAATTGGACGCCACCAGCCCCATCTCCAAGTTCATATACTGATAACCCCTACTCCCCTATTCCCTCCTCCCCTCCTCCCCTCCTCCCCTCCCTCCTCTCCCTCCTCTCCCTCCTCTCCCTCCTCTCCCTCCTCTCCCTCCTCTCCCTCCTCTCCCTCCTCTCCCTCTCCCCTCTCCCTCTCCCTCCTCTCCCTCCTCTCCCTCCTCTCCCTCCTCTCCCTCCTCTCCCTCCTCTCCCTCCTCTCCCTCCTCTCCCTCCTCTCCCTCCTATCCCTCCTATCCCTCCTACTCCCTTCTCCCCCTTCCCATTCCCTCCTCCCCCTCCCCCTCCCTCCTCTTCCCTCCTCTTCCCTCCTCTTCCTTCCTCTTCCTTCCTCCTCCCTCCTTTGTCAACCTCACATTTCGAGGAAGCGGTGGGGTACAGCATTGAAAGCTACACTATTTACTGTTAGGAGCCGAGATGGAGCTTGGGAATACATGTATGCATATGGTGTCATCAGGCTTGACATCTTGCTATTGGGTGACATAGTCTCAGAGAGGCGAGGAGGTTTTGTTTTTCTCTCTTTATCCCGTTATTCGGCAACCGCTAGAGAAGAAACCCGTTAAAGGGTATTCGCTAGAGGGATACGTGAAATGGAACATCTGCTACAATCGCGCTCTCTCATCCTATACACCCCACTCACAACATGCCCTGCTTCCTGCCATGCCTTCCTCTAGATGTTCCTGTCCTGTTCGACGTGTGCCTCAACGTGTGCCTCGGCGTGTCCCCATGTTTTTCTTAGCCACCTTTTGTGCCTCGAGTAGAAGAGTTAAACCTCGAAACTTGAGTTACTATGTCACCTCACGTTGTATCTGGTGCAGGTGTGAGGGGCTCAGGCGAGACCCCAAATATTGGCGACAACCATGGGGTGAGGCCACCTCTTGATCACCTATCACCAGTTACCCCTTGCGCCTCACAATTACCACCAGCCGCCACTATACCAGATGAATAAGTGGTACCAAAGCTCTGACTTGAGCATCTTGAATATTCCGTCTTTGAGAGAAAGCAAGGATGCAGTCTCTACGGCGATGAGCCGTCGCGCTCGAGGATGACCACTTAAATATGCTGGCCTTAGGGCACCAACGTCGTGATGCTTCCTCGAAGCAGGTTCATGATGGGGGTGCTAGTAGTCGCGCGTAGGAGGAGGACGGCGGTGTATGGGTCAGAAATGGAATGGTGCCAAGGCTCTGTTCCCACTGCAAGCATGGCAAAAGAGGGGTTGAACAAGCCAATGAGGACACCGACATAATAAATGCAAGGTGATAGGTTTCCTCGTGCTGCTTTGCAGCCCTTCTTTACCTTCCTCTAAAGTCCCTCTAGCTTCGTTTTGCCCTGCATTCTCGCCTCCCCATCGTCTTGTGCCGGGCGCCAGGTCAATCTTTTGGTGTAATTGATACTCGACGACCGTTAAAGTCCTGAGGTATAGAGCTTGGGTATTCCGTTCAACTCAATTATAAAATTACATTATACCGAGGTAGGCATAGTCAAATTACATTATATCAAGAGATCCTTATTCAGCATACTGAAGCTGAAGACTGGTCAGTGTATGACGCTGTCGGCGGGGAAAAGCGTCTAGGCCCGCTCCGAGGGGATGGGGCAGTAGAAGTATGGATGTTGTTCGGTTGCCACGAGCTTGACTCTTGAAGGGAATTTTTATGGGCAGATGGTTGACTCTTCAAGAGGCATATCTTCGATAAGACTGGAGAAAATAGGCAACGGGAGACTAGGATGAATTGATATCTACATGTAAATGGATGGATCTGTTGTTGTCGATATTGTACGATTGAACGGGCTCAATATGGGCCTCCTATCGGCAGGAGAAGTGAGTCGTAATGCATGGTGAAGCTACTAACCGGGTACGGTATAAATGGTAAGGCTCAACATTGAAGTTGGTGACCTCGTGCGCTCCACGAAAGCTACACGCTCGGCCAGGTCTAGACTTGCCATATCACCTCCCATCAGCAGAACTTGAAGTTGGAAGAGGGGCATCACAAAAGAAACATCGATGCGGCCGTGCTCTCAGACCTGGGGCATCTGAGACACCTTCGTCTGAACCGCCTGTGTGGAACAAAAATGCACCTCGCCGCCCATTTAGTCGTGCTGCCCAACGCATCCATGGGATCCAATCTTCATCCATTCTTCATCGACCCGATACCACCCTCCCTGCTGGCCCAAGTGCTTAACACAGCACAGGCAACAGCGCGCTTATTCTCCGGGCACCAACCATCTCGAGCCCTTTTACCCCCATTTTCACCACCGGTCCCTTTATTTTTCTTTCTTTCTTATTAGCAGCTCTTTATTCAAACGCTCACACTGCTAGGCGTTCGCACACCACAGGTGTGCAGGATGAGCCGCGAATAGGCTCCTCAAATCGCGGCAGTTAAGCTTGATCACCTGCCTGCACTTTCTTTTTTCCCTCTCTTTCTTCGGGCCCCCGACTGTATAAGGCGCGAACCATGCTACGACCAGGATCCGTGTCGTTGACGCTCATTTAAACCCCTCACTTATACACGCAAATGATCTATACCTCTATGTCCAGAATGAAGAAAGCGCAACGTCTACCATCTCGCGACAGGCGTCGGGTGAAGAGGAAGTGAAGCGGGCGTCGGGCTAATGGAACAGAAAGCTACGAGGGCGGCGGGAGCGGGCGAACGCGAGCGGTTGGGCTCGTTCGAGTGGGGATCGTGATCTCGGGAACGAGTGCCTGAACTCTTCACTTGGGTGTTCAGCCACGTTTGACACAACCCTAGACGCTAATTCCTCATCGCCCGTGTCTCCAGCCTGGTCACATCGAAAGTGTGTCGTTCGGCGCGCACTAAACTTTTTTCACGATCCTACGAAAGTCGGGCCTCCTCCCCGCTACCCAAGTCCCCAAGGCAGCGCTCGCTGGACGGCACTTGGGAAGGAAACCTTTCGTTGCGCGTGACCTTAAAGCGGTTCGTCGCCCCCTTGGTTTTCTGAGGATTAGAAATTCGACATCGTGGAGCTGATGAGAGTCCTCTCAGTGCCAGATGTAGCGCTGGCCTTGGCGGGACGAACAAAAGCCGAGGGAGAGGGGCAAGTCCAAGGTGCACAATTCAGCCAGGCTGGGCTATATCCGCTGCCAAACCCAAAATCCCACCATCGGACTTCAAGATGGAAAGCCGGTTAGGCCGCGACGAAGGTGCAGGCAAAGAGGTGAGAGCTCTAGTGACATCTTCCCTATAACTTGGAGTAACTGTACTTGGCCTCCATCATGAGTCGCCTAGGTCTTCCTTTGTTGTTTTCCATTTCTAAACAGATAAAGTAGCTTCTTCCTTCATTACCAGCTTTCCCACCTCCACCCTGCTTGCAGCTGATTTCGACTTGACGCCGTGTTTCGAGCGCAGTAAAGTTTCCGAACATTTTACCACCAGCCCTAACCGGAACCTCACGCCCCGTCGCGTGGAATCTTTCCTCCCAAGCCGACATAGAGTAATGCCCCGGCACCCCGTTCGTCCGAAGGAGAAGCCCGGCAATTACCAAAGCCATGGAATCCGCTACAGCGAGATCAGTTCCTTGAATATCCACCTCGACAATGAACCCGAAACGCGCACTATCAAAAGGTGGAAACCAGGCTCTAAGCTGACGTTCAACGGAGACCCCGCGAGCTTTCCGAATAGATGGGCCTACCAAAAGGCCATGGAGGCCCTCACGCACGCCGCCGAGCAATGGAACGCCATTGGTCTAAGCGTGACGTTCAAGAAAGTCAGAGACGGAAGGACGGCCGTCTTTTCCCTCGTTTACATCCCCGACGATGGTCATGAATGGGGCTCCGATCGGTGTCTCCTTGCCCAGTCCTTCTTCCCAGCCGATTGGACTAGTCCGAATACCGCTTTGTACGTGTACCAGGTGGCCCTCAGTCGCCCGTACTGCGATAATCTTGCCGCCGTTTTCTGCCACGAGCTCGGTCACCTGCTCGGCCTCCGACACGAAGACGCTGATACCGATGAACATGGCCACCCTTGCGTCCCTTTCGGCGTGAAAATGCCATGTCCATCATGCAAAACCGGTTGCTGCCTTCCAAGATGAAAATCCAAGAAACAGACTGTCGTAGCGCGAAGGAATTTTACGCCTTTACTCGCAAAAGCTACAGGGGATGTCTCATCGTCGATGTGTCGACAACTTCTCGTATCTAGAGAGATATCTTCGAGATGATTTTCTTTTCAAACCAGAATTTGAAAAAGAAAAAAAAAAAACAGAGCGAAGGCATTCTTGATTTTTAGCATTGTCACTATGCAATAGATCTCTTTCTTTTGGGAGTAGGCTAGCTCTTGATAGTGTGGGGCGTTTACGAGTGGTGTTCAGGTCTTTAGTTATAGGCGGTTGACGGGACGCTTGCATGATAGATGGATCCATTCCATGGGTTTAAAGGAAGGCGGGCTTCGGTGAGGTGATGACTCGCTGATGTAGCTATCACGACAGATAAATTAAAACGGAAAATAAAGAAGAAGGAAGAATTTGTATTTCTTCCATTTCACAGGCTATCACAATTTGTAGACATTCCCCAAGGAGTATCTAGGTGACCAGGGTTCTGAGAAAACGAGTCGACTGTAGTGTCCGGTCACGGCCTCCGTCGACTTTGGGCCCCACGAAGGCGGCTCGGAAGCCCGAGGCCAAGGTACACCCACGGATTCAGTGTAATATCAATCTGGATCTCGGCTGGAGTTAGGTAGGACGCTTGTAGTTTTCAACGGCACGGGGCGCCGTGGCTGTGTGGGGTTGTGAGGAAGCTCGGAGGCGCCACGCCGGCCCCACATCCTCCGGTCCGTCGCACGGGCACGCGACCGGCGTTCCGCCGGCTCAACGCGGGGCATGGCCATTCAAAGAGAAACTCCTAAGTTTCCGTTTCGAAGATATGGGGCTGGGCCTCTGTTGCCATCTAATCAACGCCTGGGCGAACCTACTCTCAATTTTTATCTTGTCAGCGATGCCGTTGTCCGCAGGCTTGCCACTGGATTCGGCCCACCGGCGGCACAAACTGTATTGAATGGCTGATTTGTGCGTCCCAGGACAGTTTGTGCGATGCCGGCATAATTTTATACGGCTGTCAGACGTCCATCTATCCAACCTATTGTAGTCCTCTGAAAGCTCCTGACACGACCCGAGCTAGCGGCAAGCACGGCCACCGCCAGTGTCACCGGGACTGCAACGTCGTGGGAATGGGGGAGCGAATTTCCGCACGAGCCGGGCCTGTCGCGGGTGAGCCACACCCACTCGTGGATCGTGCGCTCTTTCCCTAACGTGTGCTCCCTAAAATTTTAATGGCTTGCTTAGTCCCGCTAGAGTCGAAGTTGGGACACACTTCCACATCACTTGCTGTATGAAAATTGTTTTTGCGCCGCGCCGCCGATTGATTCTTGCTTTCCTCCACCTTCCGCGTCCCGCTCTCCTCCCCTTTCATGGGCCCGTGAATGTCTTGTTTTCTACTGAGCGTTGGAAGCACCTTAGCCATCGAACCCATACAGAGAAGGTATTTCTCGCCAACGTGGTATACACTAGTCATAATCAATTAGGTCGGCAATTTGGAACGGCGGTCACGACGTGAGGCGACGAGACCCGTGGTGCATTAAATGATTTTAAAAACTGCATCGTCCTCACTGGCGTACGAATATCAGACGAAAAGGGTCCTTGCAGAGCCGTTATTCTTACCAGATGGGGTATCGAGGAGGATTGAGGGAGTCTAACGAGTGGAGTGGCGGGCGGTGACTGGAGACGCTGTGACACTCTTCTCAAAGGCACTGGCCAGGAAAGCCCTCGGCCGAGGCAACTTTAATCTTATGGTTTTATGGGGTAGTCGGCTCGTGACTGGAGGGAGGAAAATGTGCGAACCCGCGAAGGTTAGCTGCAGGGGAGGGGGGCACCTTTGGGATTTGTCCAATCTCCTTTTTATTCTTTTTGGGAGGTTCCCCATTGCGGGGGTTTAATTTCACTGGCGTCGATATCGATGTCCGATGCTCTTGCTCCTGTGACTAACTTTGGGGAGGGAACGGCGAACAATTATTATGGATCTATTAGAAACAGATGGCCGTACGACCGCTTTTTCGATAGCTACGTGATTCGTATCCATCCACCCACTAAGAGATCTCTGGATGGATCTGCTGCGTCCTGGCTACTGGACTATGCATTCAATCTCTTATCCATCAACCAACCGGCCTTTGGAGAGACCCCTGAGAAAGTAGAAGGGGGCGAAAATCCCACTTTTTTCAGTCAAATCCTCTCGAGCTCATGCCCTTTAAATCGATCCATCTTCTCCCAAGCAACTGTCGATGAGGTCCGTGGCCGTATTGGCCGAAGGTGCTCTTGCCTCTTGCGATGATGTTGTTCGCCCCATGGCCAATAAGAGATGGCCTGATTACTATTTGACCCTTTGTTGTCATCTCAAATCTGGGGGAGCAAGGGGGCAGCGGCCAGGGTCCCTTGAACTCCTGGAACGTGACTTGGCATCCGCTGCATGGTGGCGTTGCGGGGAAAACACTGAGCGCTCGAGGGGACGAAGAAGGACGAAAGCCAAGGATTTCGGAGAGGGGGCCCCAATGGAGAGCCTTTTCCCCTAAACCCCCTGGGAGAAAGTGGGTGTGGCGTCCTGCAGGTGGAGAGGGTCCTTTCTTTCGTCCCGCAAGGGAACCAGCAGAGTTACCAATTGGATTTACCTCTTCGCCAACAACTTCAGGAGAACAAACTACTAGGCTCCAAAGGACTCTACTGGTGGTGGGGACACATCCACTGGTGGCTCCCTATTTGCTGCCTCCTCTATTGGGGCCCTCCCCCTGTCAATCAGTCCACGCGATTGGATCTTTGTCGAGTAATCGAAAACTCAAAGCTCAATGTCCTCGGCCATTCCTGGGCAAAGTTTCGGGGGTGGATTCCCTTTCTCGTCTGAGCATTGAGGTTGGCCGGGGCTCCATGGAGGCCCCTTGTCAACGCTAAACAAACGCTTCCCACTCCTGACCCAATCCGTTCACTTGTCTGCATCCTTGATATTCTTCTTCGTGCCCGTGCGATCCGGTCGCCACCAACAGGACCATCCCTTAGCTCCTTCCAAGTTCATTCGGCCGACTCGAGTCAGACAACCACCCCAATATGATGTGTATTGTAGCGACTTGATGGCGGATTCATTCGTTCGATAAAAGTTGGCATTTTCAATAGTCACGTAGAACAATAGATGGTAGAGGAGAAGAAAAAAGTATTTGGAAGCCAATTTGGATTTGTATTCATTCAAGAGAGAAAAAGAACCACCATGGTCGCAGGGCTTCTGAAACGAAGAACCCACTCCAAGAGAAAAGACCAAGAAAGTCAATCCGACATCCCCGAATCCCCGCGCCCCAGTTGATGGATCCCGTAACATTCCCACTAAAAACAAACACCCGCCCAAAATAGCCATTAATAGAGAGAGCCCGGAGAGATATCATTGTTCCAATTAGACCGGTCTTTTACACTCAAATAAGATCCACATCCTACAGTCGTTTTCCCGACATGACGCATATGTCGTAAAATACCCGTTTTTCTCGTCGAGGAGAGCCAGAGAAGCGCGCGCTGCGTTCATCCCCGCGTCCCAAAAAAGTAAGAAAGAGAAGATGGAAACCATTCGCTTAGAGGCGAAGGCGAAGAGGCCGAGGGCAAGGGCGGCGATGGGGGCGAGAGCACCGGCACCGGCCTGGACGGGGGCTCCTCGTCGTCACCGGTGGGCTTGGGCTGCTCGGGGGTGGTGCCGTTGCACTTCTTGCAGGGGCCGGTGGACTCGGTGGGCTCGGGCTCCTCGGTACCCTCGGTGGGCTCGGCTCCTCAGTGCCCTCGGTGGGCTCAGGCTCCTCGGTGCCCTTGGTGGGCTCGGGCTCCTCAGTACCCTTGGTGGGCTCGGGCTCCTCGGTGGCGGGGGTTGGCAAGGACCTCCTCGCAGATGGCCTGGACCTCGGAGATGACGGCGACTGGAAAGAAGATTGTTAGTTGAAAAGTGTTCTCAGAATGGGACAGAGAAGAGAGTAAACATACGGGCACCGGTGGCACCGCCGCAAGCGGTGATCACACAGGTGGTGGCACCAGCCTGGATCTTGCCCATGTTGGCCTCAGTGCAGCCGCAGGCCCAGTCGCCGAGGTCGCAGATGCCGGCAGAGGCATCGTCAATGCACTTCTGAGCCTTGCCGTCGCAGGCAGTGACCGACTGAGCGGAGGCAGCAGCGGCGAGGGTAAGGGCGATGAGAGAGTACTTCATTTTGAAAGTTGGTGGGAGTATTAGGTGGTATAAAAACCGTAAGTGTTGATATTACAAGGTAAAAAGAAGGTCGTGTGTTGAGCGAGTGAATGAACACGTCTTTTTGTTGGAAACAGCGAATGTCTTTGGGGTTGGAGAGAAGGAGGAAAAGAAGTAGGAAGACGATTGGGGGATCGAAGCCTGCCTTTATATACACAGTTGATGCTCGGATGGATGGGCGTCAACCGAGAGCGAGCGAGGTGGTTCAAACTACCAATCCTCTCTTCCCGTAACAAGAGCAACAGCAAGACAAGAGCGAGTTGAGTCGAGCGCTACCCTACCAACAAGCAGAGAGCAACCGGGCGCTCTCCCCGCCAAGTCCGCTTCCAAGTTTCTTCTTGGTCGACATCCGGGGGTAGGGGGCGTGTGTCTGTCAAGGGTTTGGCGCTGGCTTGGATCATGGGCCGAGAGGCAACTGGGTCGAGCCACCCCGGACTTTTTACACACCTTGTCGCCCCCGACCCTCATGCTACCTAGCTCCCTCCCCACCACCAACACCGTGATACGTCCAGGACTTTTGGTTTTTGGTCCTTTCATTCCCGATTCCCCTCTCGCAGCTCATTGCTTCTCGCTCGTCGATCTGCAACAAGAGAAGGGTGACCCACACTCCATTAGCTAGACTTGAGGGTCGAAGGCAGGTACGAATAAGCCTTCGGGCCCTTCCACCCTTTCCTGCACGTATCGGAAACGAATAGGGGGAAAGAAAGTCAAGCTTGTGAAATCGAAAACTCGCCGCCTCGCGCATCCCCTACCGAGGCCTACGAGTCAAAGGAAGGAAATGTGAAAATCAGAGGTACTAGGATACACAAATGCTTTGCATACAGTTGGCCCTGGCAAGCCAGCAAGGAGGCGCCGAGGGGGTGTATTTTGTGCCCCACATTGCCCCGAGGTGGAGGGGTGTAGAAAAGTGGGGGTGGAATTAAGCCATGGGAAAAACGAGGACTGAAGAAAGAAATCGCTGTTAACCCCAGGCACAGTGAGCGAGCTTTTCGGGCAATACTGCGCGCTCCTGGTCTCCTCTTTCTTCAGTGCTCCTTGGATTAAGTATTCCCGCGAGGTACTTGCTCCAAAGTGCACGGGGTACGTACCCCGGGCCGACATTTTTCTTTGGTGGTCACCATGGATCAATGTTCAATGCTCTCTCCTTCCAGGCCGGGACTAAACTTCTTCCAATACTTGGGCCAGCTAGTCGCAGTCGCACCGGAGCCCATTGAGCTCTCGAGTTTTCTTGTTTTTGATTCTGGGGGATCAGGAGTCGGCGCAGAGGTGCCATTACGTGCAAGGTTGCAGCTTGCAATCTTAGCTGCTCGGAGTATGGTCCATCTTTGTGGAAGGGTTATTACTACAAAGTAGTTCTTCAGGTGTATTCATATTCACTGACCGACGACGACACATGCCACCGAGCCAGCAAAGAGCAGTTGTTGTCCGCAGGATCTTCCCTTTCCGCCTCCCTCCGTCTTTTCGGGGCCCTGTACTTTTTCTTTCCTTTTTGATTCACTTCTAGCTCTTCTTGCTCTTCATCTCCGCCCTCTGACCGACCTCTGCTCAGCGCATGAAAGGATCAGAGGGGTATTATTAGATTAGGTTGAACAAGTTACTACCTTTCCCCAGATTATATGTCTCTGGTGCTTTTTTCCGTTGTCGATAATTACCAATGGCACGATTCCGGTAGCCTCCTCCGCTGTCCGTCCTCTTCAACCCCAGATCAATCCACTGATCCTTCTTGATTCCAGGAAGAGAGGGGCACGGGGGAAAACAACCAACGATGTTGCCTCTTGGCTCTCTGGAACTGGGTCCTCTCCTCCACTTCTTTTGTTTACTCACTCCCGTCGTCGCATGGCTCGAAAGGAGGGGACGCGGGGAAGAGAAACCATCAACCTTGCCAGGCCCTCTGTGCAATGCATAATAAACAAAGTGACTTTGTCACTGAATCTGGTAGTCTTTGTTTCTTGGGTACTGCCCTCGTGGAGCAGAAGCCGTGGGCATGATGATGTCGACGCTTTTCCCTCACTGCAACGAGAACCAAGGCCACGACCAAGGAAATGGGATTTTGGCGGCTTGGATGACGCACATGTCAAAATCGAGAACAAAAAGGAGAGCTGCAAAAACAAGCGTCTCTTTCCCACGGAACCTTCCTCGACGCCTTTCCCGAGGTCCTAGAGCCGAAAAAAGGAAATGATGTGCACTGTGCCCTGTACGGCCCTGGACGATTTCCCGTTTGAACGAGAGAGGGGGCTGGTTTCTCGCTTTCACTGAGACCTCGACGTTTTTTGACAAGACTCGAACAAGCCCATGTTTGATTCCGCTCCCGTATCCTCCCTTGTCTCCTCCTTGATCGTTTGTTGCACATGCTTCCGTCCCCTTTTCTTGTAGACTATTGTAGACTATTCGGAGACTCGATGTTCAATGCTAATCTCGGTATGCCGAGTAGTATTCTCCCACCATGAATCGCTTGCTCACTTCCCAGGGATCTGAGTCTGCATGGGCAAATTTGGAAGGGTACATGGACCCCAGTAAGAACGATGGGTGGGACAAAAACCCGGAACCAATACTGAAAACCCGATATTATACGGGGTATGAGGGTGGGTGGGCCAGCCAAATTCGATCCGTCAAGCTTGAGATCAACGGGCTGGTCTGTGGCCTGCCTCTCTCCCTGGTTCGCCAATTGAAAATTAGTACATCATGTAGAAAGAAGGACTTGATCAAGAGAATGGGGCCAGAGGTCGACATGGAGGTGTGGAGAATCATGCCGCACATACAATAGGAAGCTCCCTTGGTCCCCCTCAAGCTTTCTTCCGACATTGTTTGTGTCGGACAGCAGAAAAAGGAGAGAGGGAGGCTAGGGAGAATGGTACGCTACGGACTTCTCAAGGAGATGAAGGAATAAGGGGAATACACCCCTTGCTGGTCCCATTGCGCTCGTCAACTCACCTCGCATCGAAAAAGCTGATGTATCGACGTGCGTGGTGTTAAGGCTTGTAGGACCAAGACAGCCAAGACAACATTGAATATACCTGTGTGCACAAGCGCCACTTTATCTGCTCCCGAAACATTGATGCGTATAGGTATTCAAGCATCATGGCCCCTTTCCCACCTAGCCAGCCAGTTCGCCTGTATAAAAACGGGTTTGTATAGTTCTTGGCTCGAATTATACATTGATGCTCGAGGTGTACATGAAGCAGAACCTAAAACCCTGTATAATATATCGCTTCCCGCCTCTTTGCCGTGTTTAACGGGTGAGCTGCTTACCCATGAAATCGTCCGAGAGGTTGATTCAAACAGCCGCGGACAAATGAAGTCTCGGGGTGCGTCGCTGAAGCGCCACCCGCGAGGTGGTGGAACATGCTTATTCTGACCATTTTCACGGTTCACTTGTTCTTCTTTGTTCATGACGAACTGGAGCGAGGTATTAGGGAAAGGGACTGGAAGAAAGGACATGTTCCTTTCCAGGAATAGTGTCTTGGCTTTGAAAAGCAGGGAAAGATAATACAAGTTCGAGCCATACGAAGTCTTGGATAGGACCGGGTGGCTGCTGGACCTGTCAAGGAGACCGCAGTGACACACAGGGGAAGGGGGAAGTGTGGCTGGTCGGGATTTTTCTTCTTTGTTGGATTGATCATCGATCGATTGGATCGCTCCGTCACTCACATTCCCGGTTGGGAGCAGTGATCGGCGTTGGGACGCGCAAGTGTTCAATCAAGTCTCCCTCCTCTGGGCTGGCCTGGGCCCCTGGGCCCTGATGGCAGTGCTCTTCTTGCAGCCATGCCCCTTTGCCTTTTTCTTGTTCTACGAGTAGATTCATCGATGACGGAATAAAATCGGAGGAGACTCGGTCGGAGAGCGCTGGCACACTTTATTCCAAACCAAGGGCGTCCAGAGTCTACTAACTAGCGCCACCACCACGCCCTAATTTTCTTCTTCTTTTGTATCAACTTCCTTATCAATTTTTTCTTCCATTTTTTTTTCTTGATGGGGGCTTATACCGTTTCCCGGCAAGAACGGCCAATATCCGATTGTGGAACAAGTGCAAAGGTAAAATAGCAACCAGCGTGTAGCTTGAGCTTGACCGCACTAGTAATGATCCATCCATAAAATGCCCACTCCGAATAGCCACGGCTGGGCCGTCTCTGGCATGACCATGAGGATCATTGGTATGGAGTTGGCACTAAGATTTTTCTTTCATCCAGTTTTGGGCCTTCTTCTGTTGCTCTGCAAATACATCCACATTGGATAAACTTATAGAAGGGGAGTGAGGAAAATGACCCCTTGTTGGCCCAAGACGTTCTCTCGAAATGATACATGTGCTGATGGAACCGATTGATTCATTCACCCATGGATTTGTTTTCATGTTTAGTGAGCAGTGGGATCAAGATACGTTGTAGCAATGCATCAACCAGCACTGTGCCTTCCCCAGGTCTCGCCTCACTCATCCCGTGTGGTGGTGGGGTCGCTCATCACCCCTCGAATTTCCATTTGTCCCACTCGACCCCGAATTCGAGACATTGATAAAAATGGCAACCGAATTGTGTATAGTAATCTAGCATTATGTGATCAAGGTGATCATCAGTTAGTACCGGCCATCCAATTGAGAGCTCTAATCAATCAAATAGATCCCGGCGAGACGTCCGCTCGCTCTTGACCACAACGTTGCGCAATACCTTGGTACAAGTACATAGCAGGCTCCTCTTTTCGTCATTGAACGTTTGTTGGCTGTCGAAAATTAACAAACCGGTTGTGGCTCGACAGTCCGCTTGCATCGTGCACTCAGCATGATGAAAATCAATTTCTCCGCTATCAATGGCACGCCTCCAGGAGACTTAAACTTCACTAATAAACCACCGATGAACCATTGCGAGCACTGATGGCACCGCGGGACAATTGCTTTTACGTTCTAACTGCTTATATCAATAGCCTCGCTCGTTCTGGAGAACGAGCTCCAGTTCCTGCATACAGGGCTCCCT